GTTGCCGTCAGAGTAGAGGGTTCCATCGCGGTACAGCCGGTAGCGAATGCACCCCTTCTGATCCAAGCGATCCAAGATGGGGTCCACTGACTGCAGAAGGGGGGCAGAGAGGAAGGGGGAGACGATGAGGGGCAGTGGGGAGAGCGAAGGCGAAGGGGTTGATACAGACAGAGTAGAGGGTTCCATCGCGGTACAGCCGGTAGCGAATGCACCCTTTCTGGTCAAAAGGGTTCAAGATGGGGTCGACTGACTTTAATACGGGAGACAGGAGTGCACAGGGGTTGGGGGGGGGTATAGATGGGTGGGTTGAGTTGGGCCGAAAGCAACACCAATTGTCGACTGACCGCATGTAATGAGTCGATTTTTGAGTCGACTCAAAAGTTGAGTTGGGCTGAAAGCAACCAATTGTCGACTGACCGCACCAAGGGGCAGAGGGACTGAGAGGCGACATGAGGGGAGGAGGGGTCTAGTTTTGAGGCGCCTCAAAACTAGACTCCTATCACGCGGTTTTTGAACAGAGAGGACTGTTGCTGCATGGAAGGCTGGGCATAACATTCAAAAGTTACTTCTGTGCGCAAGGCTCCCCGAGCTACCAGTTGGCGAACTGTTACATTTACACGACATCACCTCGAGGACTGATAACTTGATCCCAGGACCTTTCCAGGGTGTTCAGGATTGGCTGCCTAGATTTCAGCCTTGGTTGTTGCATGGCTAGATTTTGGTACTGTCGAGGGATTTCTTGCTTAAGAGCTTCTCTTAATCGCTTGCATAGTTCCATTCTGCACTGATGAAGATGTTCTAGGGTCCTTACCTTAGAAGTCGAAACATGTTTGCTTTAATCTTTAAAATCGGAACTAGACATGGTCAAAATGCAATGCGATGCGATATCGCATCGCATTTTGACTTATCGCGCATTACATCGCGGCGATGCGAAAAAAACCCAAAATCGCATATCGCGTTTTGGGTGCGATATTTTTAAATTTGGCGCTGTAGAGTGCGATATATCGTGCGATGCGATAAAATATCGCATCGCCAGGGCTAAATTTCAGGGCAAAGTAAACTACAGTAGTAATTTGGATAGTTAGATAACTGGGAACTGCCGAAGGGTTTCAAACAGGGGCACAACACACCATTACAACGTCGGTTCTAATAAATAAACAGCAAAAACAAATTGGCGAGCTCCAAATAGCGCGGGCGATTTTTTTAATATCGCGGATCGCATTTTATCGCGCCAAAAAAAGTGCGATATGAATGTGATATCGCAAAATCGCGCGATATTATCGCATCGCATCGCCGCGATATTTGTTTAAAAATAATAATAATAAAAAATCGCCATCGCAAAATGCGATATAACGCGATGCGATATATCACGATGCGATGCGATATGACCATGTCTAATCGGAACTGAGTTCTAAGATCTCGGCTATTACACGGGCAACTTGTGTGTTTTTTACTGTCTATCTTTTTGCTAAAACTCTCGATTACACTGCTGCTCATCTCTATCATGGCTAAACAACGAGTATCCCCACTGAAGAAGGTGATGCCGGTGTAAACGACACGAGTTACGCAATGATTCTCCGCGGGGAAGGTCACTCCTCGAAAACTTTCAAGGTTAGGCGAGGAAAAAACTAGCTCGTTTTTTAGAATTTTCAAAAACCCACTGCAGTAAAAGGCACTGAGTGACGAGAGTGCTATCAATAGTCTCAGTGTTCGAACACCGAGTGCTATCGTCACTCTCGTCACTCGGGTTATTCTCGAACACCGAGTGCTATCATCACTCTCGTCACTCGGGTTATTCTCGAACACCGAGTGCTATCGTCACTCTCGTCACTCGGGTTATTCTCGAACACCGAGTGCTATCGTCACTCTCGTCACTCGGGTTATTCTCGAACACCGAGTGCTATCGTCACTCTCGTCACTCGGGTTATTCTCGAACACCGAGTGCTATCGTCACTCTCGTCACTCGGGTTATTCTCGAACACCGAGTGCTATCGTCACTCTCGTCACTCGGGTTATTCTCGAACACCGAGTGCTATCGTCACTCTCGTCACTCGGGTTATTCTCGAACACCGAGTGCTATCGTCACTCTCGTCACTCGGGTTATTCTCGAACACCGAGTGCTATCGTCACTCTCGTCACTCGGGTTATTCTCGAACACCGAGTGCTATCGTCACTCTCGTCACTCGGGTTATTCTCGAACACCGAGTGCTATCGTCACTCTCGTCACTCGGGTTATTCTCGAACACCGAGTGCTATCGTCACTCTCGTCACTCGGGTTATTCTCGAACACCGAGTGCTATCGTCACTCTCGTCACTCGGGTTATTCTCGAACACCGAGTGCTATCGTCACTCTCGTCACTCGGGTTATTCTCGAACACCGAGTGCTATCGTCACTCTCGTCACTCGGGTTATTCTCGAACACCGAGTGCTATCGTCACTCTCGTCACTCGGGTTATTCTCGAACACCGAGTGCTATCGTCACTCTCGTCACTCGGGTTATTCTCGAACACCGAGTGCTATCGTCACTCTCGTCACTCGGGTTATTCTCGAACACCGAGTGCTATCGTCACTCTCGTCACTCGGGTTATTCTCGAACACCGAGTGCTATCGTCACTCTCGTCACTCAGGTTATTCTGGAACACCGAGTGCTATCGTCACCGGGTTTTCTTTACCATCCATTGTTTTGCAGATTCCCATCGGACGGCGCGAAATCCAAAAATTATTACCAGTCAATTCGGAATCTAATTGCAGCCGTCAAATTGCGTTTTTGCAAATCTGACGGCCCACAAACTTGCGATTCGCGAGGTGAAACACCCTTGCGATTTTTTAGCGTGCTTCGTGCTACCTTAGCTCAAAGTTCATACGCAGTGCGTTTGAACAGTTTGGGATGCGGGTTTTAACGGCCCAACCACTGCCTTCTTCTGCAGGTAAACCAACCCGACTCACCAGGTTCAGCTGGTCCGAGAACACCACCACCTCAAAGAACTGCGCCATTCGCTCTAGGAACGCCTCTACGCCTGGCCTCTTGAATGTGCGCCACCCGCGGTCACGCTGGCAGTGGGGGGTGGGGGGGAGAGGGTGGGAGGGAATGCATACAGCCATCATGCGTACATGAGACACCACCACTCCAAAGATCTGCGCCATCCGCTCTAGGAACGCCTCTACGCCGGGCCTCTCGAATGTGCGCCCCATGGTCAAGGTGGGAGTGGAGGGTGGGGAGGGGTGGTTGGGATGTGGAAGGGGGAGGTGAATGGGAAGGGTTGGTTGGTTGGGGTTGTGAAGGGGGGGGGGGGAGAGGAGGAGGCCATAAGGGGCCCCTCTACGCTGGGCCTCTTGAATGTGCGCCAGTCGCGATCACACTGTTGGGGGGTTGGGGGGGGGGGGGGGGGGGGGGCGGTTGGGGAGTGGAAGTGGGGCGGAAAGGGGTGGTTGGTTGAGGTTGTGGAAGGGGGGGGGGCGGTTGGGGAGTGGAAGTGGGGCGGAAAGGGGTGGTTGGTTGAGGTTGTGGAAGGGGGGGGGGAGGAGGCCATAAGGGGACGCCCACGCCCAGGGTCACGCTCTCATTGGGCCTCTTGAATGTGCGCCACCCACGGTCACGCTGTTAGGAGGGGGTGGGGGGGGAGGGGGAAGGGAGGGGCGGTTGGGGTGTGGAAGTGTGGGGGGAAGTGCCGCTTGGTTGGAGGTGTGGAAGGGGGGGGAAGGGAGGGGTGGTTGGTTGGGGTTGTGGAAGGGGAGGGAGGGAGAGGAGGCCATAAGGGGATCCTCTGTCTTGGTCGCGTACTCGTTACAAATCACGACTCAATATAAGGCACACCAAAACCTTCACCTTCCAATCGGATTGCACGAGACTCCCCTCTAGGTACAGCACCAGAGTGTGCACGTGCTGCTCCTGTGACTCGTTACAGTGTGTGACTCGATATTAGATTCACCAATCCTTACCTTCCAATCCGAGTGCACGAGAGTCCCCTCGAGGTCCAGCACCAGAGTGTACACGTGCTGCTCCTGGGGTGTCAGGTCGGGGAGGAGTCGGTCCGATGCCGGCTGGTTGAAATTCTGCTCGGGGAGGGGGGGGGGAGGGGGGGGGAGGGGGGGCGGGGGGGGGGGATGTTAGGAGGGGTGGTTGGGATGGCACAGGAGCGGTAACGGAGGATGGATGGGGATGATTTTTGAGGCGCCTCAAAAATGGATGGGGAAGGGGAGGAGGAAGAGGGTAGAGTCCCCTCGAGGTCCAGCACCAGAGTGTACACGTGCTGCTCCTGGGGTGTCACGTCGGGGAGGAGTCGGTCCGATGCCGGCTGGTTGAAATTCCGTTTCAGAAGGGCTAGTTAAGATGGCATACGAGGGAGATGAGGAGGACGAGGAGGACGAGGAGGAGTGCTTCATAGGTCCAACACGAGAGTGTACACGTGCTGCTCCTGCGGCATTAGGTCGGTTTGATGCCGGCTGGTTGACTTTTAGTTAAGCGAGGGTGGGGGAGATAGTAAATTATACTTGGGAAGTCTCAAAGCAGGTTGAGTTGAACAGGTGGTTGGGTTGGGAGCTTGCAGGGGGGAAAGGGGGGGTCAAAGTGTGAGGGGGCGTCAATGCTACAGAAGGGGCAGGGAGGGTCCAATGCTGCTGGAGCATGTACTCATGCGGATAATGCAGGGAGAAGTAAGGAGAAGTTAAAAAGGCGAGAGGGAAGATAAAAAGGAAAAAGGCAATGCAGAGAAACGTAAGGAACGAGGAGAAGGCAAAAAGGACAACAATTATGGAGCAGAAGGCACTCAAATATGTCAAAAGTAAGGAAAACAAAGAAACTCGCATCCAAGCTAGTGCCTATACAAAGCCAGCCTTTAAGAAACGCACGTGGATGCCACAAGGCACTCATGCATACGAACATGCAAGGCGTGTGCAAGGCACAAGCATGCATGCTTGAACTTACATGAATGCGCTCCTCCAGGTCTGACCGCGTGTCGACGTACCATTGGGCCACGTCCACAGCAGCTGAAGCGCAATGGGAGAGGGAGATGGGGAGGGATGGAGAGGGATGGAGAGGGATGGAGAGGGATGGAGAGGGATGGAGAGGAGTGTAAAGGGATTAGGAGTTGAATGGCACACCATAGAGAGAATAGGAAAACGCTTGGTAGAAAGGGGAGGGAAGGAGAGGAGGGAAAGGAAGGGCAGGAGAGGAGGGAAGGGGAGGGCAGGAGAGGAGGGAAGGGGAGGGCAGGAGAGGAGGTAAAGGGAGGGCGCGGAGGCACGGAGAGGGCAGAAAGTTTTTGAAAGGGTCAATGCCACCCCACCATTTACACCCCCACCAGTTACACCCCTACCAGTTACACTCCCACCAGTTACACCCTCCCAGTTACGCCCTCCCCTGCACTCACCGTTCAGGCCCTTGGTTACCACTCCATCCAGTCCCTGTCGGCAGCAGATAAACCCTCCCCGGTTGCCCCCCCCCACTCCCCACTCCCTCCCCCCCCCGCCCCCCCCAATCCACTTCACTCACCGCTCAGCCCCTTGGTTACCACTCCATCCAGCCCCTGCCAGCGATTGCAGGGACGAAAGGGGAGAGAGGGGGGAGGGACGAGTTGAATTGGCATTTGAGAATCCTCAACAACCAACTTGGGGAGATGACGAGGGGAGGAGGCCAGAGGGATGGGTCATGAAGGTGCAAAACGTTAGAGGGGTGAGCGCTCACTTGCTGCCGAAGCGACTTTTGAGCCGAATCAAAAGAGGGAGAGAGGAAAGGGGGGGGGGGCGAGGGGGAGATGAAGAGGGAGAGGATACCAGAGGGATGGATCACGGAATTGCACAAGGTCAGTAATTGAGAATTCTAAAAAAAGGTCATGGCACAAGATCCATCCCTGCACAAGGTCAGTAATTGAGAATTCTCAAAAATCACCTACAAGGTCAGGGGAGAGCGCTCACTTCCTCACCCACTCACGCACCCTCTCGCTCGCTCCCTCACTCACTCACCCACACTCACTTCCTCACCCACCCACTGACGCACCCTCTCCCTCGCTCCCTCCCTCACCCACACTCACTGACTCACCTCCTGTCGTCTCCTTCTGCCGGATCTCCTCCCTTCTCTCCTTGCTCCACTGCGCCACCTCCTCGGCCTCACACATTCACACGCACACGTTCGCACTCCTGCGTCCCCCCCCCCCCCTCCCCCTCTCCCCCTCCCTCCCCTCCAAACTCATACACACACTCACTCACCTCCGGGGGCCTCTGGCGGAGGTCCTCCCTCTTCCCCTTGGTCAACTGCGCCACCTCCTTGTTTTCACGCATTCCCATACGCACACAGAGTCGCCCCCCCCCACACGCGCACTCATGCGCACAAAACACACATAACCCCTCCACCAGCCTCCAACGCTCACCTCCTGGGGCCTCTGGCGGATCTCCTCCCTCTTCCCCTTGGCCCACTGCGCCACCTCCTTGTTCTCATACGCTGTAGGTGGGTGGGGAACGGCGGGAGGGGTGGGGGACGGCGGGAGGGGAGGGAGTGGAGGGAGAGAGGAGGAGGGAAGGCATATATAGACGCCCCAAGGTGCTCTCTTCTCCTTGGCCCACTGCGCCACCTCCTTGTTCTCATACGCTGTTGGTGGGTGGGGGACGGCGGGAGGGGTGGGGATGGGAGGGGAGGAGACGGGAGGGGAGGTGAGGGGAGAGAGGAGGAGGGAAGGTATATAGAGACGCCCCAAGGTGCTCTCTTCTCCTTGGCCCACTGCGCCGCCTCCTTGTTCTCATACGCTGTTGGTGGGGGTGGTGTTGGGGGAGAAGAGGGGCGGGCGCGCGAGGGGAAAGGGGAGTGGGGTGGGGGGCGGGGGGAAGGGGGAAAAAGGGGGGGGGGAGGGCGGGGGAGAGAGGCAGGGAGTGTGGGGAAACGTACCATGGGGCAAGATAGGGGCGGTCACTGTCTGATTTCTGAGTCGACTCAAAAATCACCTTTGGAGTCGACTCAAAAATCACCTTTGGAGTCGACTCAAAAATCACCTTTGGAGTCGACTCAAAAATCACCTTTGGAGTCGACTCAAAAATCACCTTTGGAGTCGACTCAAAAATCACCTTTGGAGTCGACTCAAAAATCACCTTTGGAGTCGACTCAAAAATCACCTTTGGAGTCGACTCAAAAATCACCTTTGGAGTCGACTCAAAAATCACCTTTGGAGTCGACTCAAAAATCACCTTTGGAGTCGACTCAAAAATCACCTTTGGAGTCGACTCAAAAATCACCTTTGGAGTCGACTCAAAAATCACCTTTGGAGTCGACTCAAAAATCACCTTTGGAGTCGACTCAAAAATCACCTTTGGAGTCGACTCAAAAATCACCTTTGGAGTCGACTCAAAAATCACCTTTGGAGTCGACTCAAAAATCACCTTTGGAGTCGACTCAAAAATCACCTTTGGAGTCGACTCAAAAATCACCTTTGGAGTCGACTCAAAAATCACCTTTGGAGTCGACTCAAAAATCACCTTTGGAGTCGACTCAAAAATCACCTTTGGAGTCGACTCAAAAATCACCTTTGGAGTCGACTCAAAAATCACCTTTGGAGTCGACTCAAAAATCACCTTTGGAGTCGACTCAAAAATCACCTATGGGGCAAGATAGGGGCAGTCACTATCTGCGCCCAGAACTGCAGACTAGATTTGAGGCGCCTCAAAAGTAAACTCCTATCACGCGGCGGTTTTTGAAGCGCCTCAAAACTAGACTCCTGTCACTGGCAGCGCCCGGAGCTGCAGAGAGCCCACTACTGCGTCGGCTTCAAACGGAAGCAGCTTTCCGCGCAACGTACCATAGGTTACATAAGCGCACCCTCCGCCAATGCCCAGAACGGCGGAGCCAACTATTGCTTGCGCCGCGCGCAGGAACGGATTGCGGGCTCCCCCGGATCCCTTCTGCGCCGCCTCCCCCGCCGCTCCTCCCGCCGCTGCGCCCGCCGCGGCTCCCGCTGGTGCGGCGGCGGCGGCGGCGTTCGCAGCGCTGGGGGGAACCTCCGCAGCTGCGCCGCCTGCGCTTCCGCCGGCGGCTTCCGCCGCAGCGGCGGGGGAGATGGCGGAGGACGCAGCGGCCGCGAGCGGAGCCGCGAGTGACGTCAGTAGGCGGGCGTGGACAGCTGGATCTGACGTGGACCGGAGCGACGCGGATCCGAGTCGCGCGATGCGGTTACGCGCGATATTCATCTCGTGACGGTCGGCTGGCAAATGGCGTCTTCCGCAGCAATGATGGTGCGGAGGATAGCCGATTCGTGGTAGGAAGGTGGTAGGGAGGTGGTAGGAAGGTGATAGGAAGGTGGTTCGTGCAGCAGGAGGAGACGAGAGGGTCGAAAGGAAGCGAAGAACGTATGACAGGGTTGACAGGGTTACCAGGAACGCTCCTTTCAGACGCTCGTTCGACAGGGTTGACAGGAACGGGATGGGGCGATCCTTTCACGGGCAGATGGGTCCTTTCACGGGCAGATGGGGGCTTTCACGGGCAGGTGGGTCCTTTCACGGGCAGATGGGGGCTTTCACGGGCAGATGGGTCCTCTCTTCTTACAAGAGGCGGATCGGGCAGGCGTGGAGATGCGTGGAAGGCGGTAGGCGGGACGAAACGAGAGTTCTTATGAAGAATGGTGGATCCGGCGAGGAAACGGGGCGACGAAGCGGGGCGACGAAATGGGGCGACGAGACGGTCCTGGCGACGAAACGGGGCGACGAAACGGTTCTGGCGACGATTCAAGGGAGACTCTACCGCCTGCAGGAAATACTCCGGACCGCGACCACCCTAGAATGTGGATCCTATCTAAACCCGCGAATCTCTGCTGCTGCTGCGACCACCACAAATTTGGTTTTGGCAAGGCCGCAAAGAAGATACTAGACGGGGCGAGAAAGAAAAATGGATTTTCTGACTATATCGGGTACGGCGCTGGGGTTTTTTGTGCGCTCTGCTGTGCTGTCCCACGGATGGCGGGGTGCGGAGATTTTGATTATGCCAAATGGCTTACGCGTACATATCTGTTAACAAATACACTACACCGTAGAAAAACTAAGACGGGTTGCGATCAAGTTAATAACTGCTTGAATCATCTTAAATGATGGATCACTCAGGCTTGCAACACCACCCCGCAAATTTGCCAGATAAGCACCACCTTGTCCCCACGCTTTCAAGAATGAATAACCGAATTTGCATTTGACTACAATTAGCCAAGCACAAACACCCAAGCTACATGTACACTTGGAAATAGGCAACCTAGAGACAAGGAGGCAATGCAGCTGAGCCAGCTTCCACGCAAACGGGTCCGCAGAGCTGCTTGTATCAAGCCGCTTCCATTTGACATTAGGGACATCAACCCGGAAGTCCTTACTTGCCACCAGACCTGAATGGGTGAACGGAAATGGGTGAAAGGGTACGAGAAGAGAGCACTCAGACATTAAACGGGTGCATATTAACACCCAAACCGATACAAAGACAATGAAAAAGTACTAAGATAACCTCCAAGAATAGGCTGCTTCGGTCCATTGCTTTGTTATAAGCACGCTTTTAACAGCGTTGGGTGCCCAGCTTCTGCTTCACTATAAGCGCGATCGTTTTAAGCACAGTCAGTAGAAGGAAGCTCACCTCATCTTGCGCAGAGCAGTCGCCATCTCCTCAGGCCTCACCTTGGCGCGCCGCTGGGTGCCCAACTTCCACTCCGTTATAAGCGCCCTCGTTGCGCTCACTCCAGCAAAATACCCTCGATACAAGCGCCTCCATTAGAGTCTCACCTCATCTTGCGCAGAGCAGTCGCCATCTCCTCACGCTTCACCTTGGCGCGGCGGTGGGTGCCCAGCTTCCGCTTTGCGAGCTTCAGGGCGCGCTTGTCCTTGCCGACCTGCGCGGGGGGGAGGACGAGGGGGGGAAGGGGGGCGGCGGAGACCGGGGGGAAAGGGGGGAGGAGGTAGGAAGGGGGGGGGGAAGAGATAACACGGGATAAGCAGGAATCCAGCTTCCGCTTTGCGAGCTTCAGGGCGCGCTTGTCCTTGCCGACCTGTGCGGGGTGAGAGCGACGGGGGGGGAAGTGGGGGAAGGGGGGCGGGGAAGACGGGGGGGGAGGAGGGAGGACGGGGGGAAAGAGAAAACATGGGATAAGCAGGAATCCAGGTGCACAGGGGATACTCAGCGAGGTGCGTGCTCAGTTTCCGCTTGCGAGCTTCAGGGGGGCGTTTCTCCTTGCCGACTTGCGCGGGGACGGCAGGGGAGAGGGGAGAGGGGAGAGGAGAGGGGGGGAGAGGGAATGTGGGACAAGGAATGAGCAGGAAACCAGGATACACAGGGAAGACTCTCCCGCTTCCGGCGCGTCCAACTTCCCGCTTCCGCTTCCGTCTTTCCCGCTTCGGGGCGCGCTTCTCGTTGCCGATCTAGAGTTACGGGGAAAGAACGGGGGAGAATGGAGCGGGGGGGAGAGTTGGGAGAGGGAGGGGCGGGGGGAGGGGGCGGTACGGGGAGGGGGATGCAAGAGGAAGGGAACTGGGAGAGGAGGTAGCGGCAAGGGTCCACGCGGAAATAACATCCAAAAGCTGACGGAAACCGGCTGAACGCCTGACTGCAACCGGCTGACAGGCAGATCCCGAACGGCATCGCCTACGCACTATCGGTTAATTATCTGACAGCCAAACCTGCCTAATTCTCGGATAAACAACCTGCCTGATTGGTAAACCTCCTGGGATCGCCTGTACACGCTTGACCTAATTCTCTGACAACCAAACGGCTGATTCGTGGATTGCCTAGCTGGCCACGCCTCTGTCCACCCGCTTGACCTAGAATTAACGAGCTCGGTTTCGTCCGAAGACGCCTGTTTCTTCGCGTGCTGTTGCTGCCTGTTGCTGCCTGTTGCTGCAGCAGACGCCGATAATAGCTAGGGTTGAGAGACCCCGGTAATACCGAGGGTTGAGAGGAATGCCCGAGAAATCTGAGATCGCCGCGACGCCACTGGTTTACGTTCCGTGAATAGACTGGCCTGCGAACCTTACACCGCTCTGCACACCGGATTGCACCGGTCTGCATACCGCATTCACACTAGTTTTGCTAATGTGGCATGGCTGCGACGTCGCATTCAGGCCCACTAGTGCATCCCCGATGTCGCCACATTCAGAATAATAATCTCGTCGCTATCAAATATGCCTCAAAATGTACCGTCCGCTTCCGTCTCAGGGATCCACCTTGACCGCGGCGATTCACGGCTGCGCGGGCATCATTGGCCTACTACCCACCAGCGCTTCATCGTTCAGAGCCACCCGGAACTACGAAACGCACCAGGCCAAAATCCACCGCTTCTCCCGCTTAAGCTACCAAAACCTCGTCCTTCGCGGGTGAAGCTCGACGATTTGATCTAGTCGGCATCGAGGCATAAGAGATATTCAAAGAGCCTCCGTAACTTGAGCAGCTCCATAATCCGCTTCTCGTATAGCGATTTTTGTTTTCGTGCCTTACAGAGTGGCATTCGGCGATCCAACCCTGCCGGAACAAGGTAAGCGTACCTTGAGCAGCTCCATAATCCGCTTCTCGTACGGCGAGAAGCCCGCAACCTCGCGAATCAGACCGCGGACGAAAGCACCGCGCTTAGACTGCAACAAAACAAGCGAACGAAGGTGATGGAAAAAAGAATTTGGTAAACGGCATTTTGAGAGACGAGAACCCCATGGGCGTTGGTCAACTTCAAAGGAAAGCCCGAAATATGCCTCCGACGTTCCGCGATGCTCGACAACGTCCTAAGTTTCCGAAAGAATCAGATGTAGAGAATTTCAGCGATGCTGAAATAAACCTACCGCCCGTGTCTTGGGCTTCGAGATCTCCCTCTTGGTCACGATGTGACCCTTGTTGAGGCCTACTGCGATTCCAGCCATGGCGGTCGTGGGAAGCTAAGGGAAGAGGGACGAACTAAGGACGTTCCCACTAAGGGTCAGGAAAAGGAAGCAGATTAAGAGAGAGAAACCCTAAAGAGCTCCCTGCACGGGGCTTAGGAGGCAGGAGCAGCTGGAGGAGAGGCGGGTACAGTTTCGTGCAAATGTTTCTTAACCGAATACACCAGAAAACGAGAGACTGTAAAGAACCCGAGGATGTGCACAAGAGAGGACGAACAGGAAAAGGGGGCTGGCTGGTGCGAGAAAGCTATTTTGGGCTTCGTGGTTCCCATGGACAGCGGGCGAAGTAGCTGCTGCGCCTTTTCACACCTATGTCCAACTCGCAATCGATCATCGCTTCTTTACTAATAACGCAACCGCTTGTCCGGGGGATTTTTGCTTGCACTACAGCTGCACCACCTTCACCCTCTTTCCGTGGCCCATTTGGCCGGTAGCTAAGGGACAAACACAAATGGACAAGGTGAGGCGACGCGATGTGGCACGCTGACTCGAAGGAGCACAGCAACACTCCGAGAAGCGGAAAAAGTCCAGTCGCGACGCGAATAGCCCATTCACATTCGCCATCCACCGTCACTCGTGACGAGGACTGTCGAGTCGCGGTTTGGACGGTGGTTTGGGGAAATTTGCGGGTTCTGCTAGCTCATAATCGGTACAAATTCGGCGCCCCTCCCTCATTTCCGTTCATCAAACCAACTCGATTCCTCCAAGCAAGACAACTCGAACGTCTAAATTCTCGGTGCAAGCCCATTTCCTCTTCCATATTCCACGCCCTACTACGTTCTTCAGCATTTCCAACAACCGATCGACCTAATCTAGCTGTAGATATTTCTTACGTCCCACTCTTACTTTTGGCTTAGCGCAGTCGTAGAGATACTTCTTTAGTAGAAGTATGGCTTCCAACGCCTCAGTCGCAAAGCTCGGAATCACAGCATCCACCGAGCTTTCCACCAGATACACACTTCTCGAGTTCCTAGGCGAGGGTCAGTACGGCACAGTATGGCGCTGCCAGGAGCGCGCCACGGGTGACCTCTTCGCGCTGAAGTACGTCGACCTTACCAAGTGCAGCAAAAGGGCGCGTCTCGCCGCTCTAAGCGAAGTCGAAATTCTCTACAAGATCCGCGATTCTGGCTTCTCCGATAGTGTCGTAACGCTCAAGGACGTGTACGGGGACGACGACTCGCTTTATCTTGTAATGGAGCTGTGCACTGGCGGGGATCTTCTCGAGCTCATTCAGAAGCAGCCCGGCGCGTTTCTTAGCGAAGCGGAGTCCCGCCACGTGTTCGCATCTGTAGCGCGCGCCGTCAAGCAGTGCCACGTCAGCAACATCGTCCATCGCGACATCAAGCCCGAAAACATTCTCCTCGCACCCATCTCCGCCGCCACCGCCGATAATGGCGCCGCTGACGGCGCCGCGACGTCGTTCGCGTACATCGCGAAGCTCGCAGATTTCGGGCTCGCGGTCGACGTCCCTTGGTGGCAGCAGATTCGCGGGTATGCCGGCAGCAAGCCGTATGAGGCGCCGGAAGTTATGGCGGGCGTGGCGTATGACGAGTCCGCGGATATCTGGAGCCTCGGAGTGACTCTCTACGCGATGCTGTCAGGAAAGTGGCCGCTGTTTAAGGGTGGGAAGCGGGTTCTTGATGAGAAAGCGGATTTCGCATCGGACGACTGGAAGAACGTGTCAGATGATGCGAGGGATCTCATCCGTCGGATGCTGCGCGTGGACGTGAACGAACGGTTCACGATTGACGAGGTTCTGGCGCATCCGTGGGTGGCTGGACGCGCAGCAGCAGCCGCGCCGATCGAGACTGCAGCTCCGGAGGACATGGAGACCGTCGATCTGTCCGACGAGCTTTCAACTGCTGTTGTTTCGCAATCCTTCGCTGACATCACCTCGGGAATTGCGGGAGCCGACTCAGAAAGCACCGGCACCAGCACTTGGTTCGTTCCCCCCGAAGCGAAATCTGTGGCAAATATCCCCCAGAGCCGCCTTGTCCCCGATACGAAGCGATCCGAGACCGCGGATAGCACGCCTTTCGCAAGCAACACCAACAGCACCGACAGTGATGGCGGAAGCAGCGGGGAGAAGCGGCGGTGGGGCGGAAAACTGTCTCCGCGCACCGTTCTGAACCGCGTCATGAAAGTTTTCTCCCCACTCACGCGACAGAGGGAGGTGCCGTGCATCCCCATCGAGGTTCTGTGAGCATCCTTGTTTGTAGGTCATCCGGAACTGGATGGCCACCTTAGCCTGGCGTAGCATAGACTGTTTATACAGCAGCTACGGAGAACAGGAAGAGTTGCTATGGTGCCCGGAGATCTTATGGTACGATCCCGGGCACCCTAGCAACTTATTCCTTGCAATGTAGTCTGAAACGTACCCCCTTACCAAGTATTTATCAATGTAATGTTTGTTTTTCATAAACTTCATATTATTTTGCCAGAATTGTTCTTACACATCTACCAACATTTGCATACCGCTATTCCTGGAACTTCCTGTTGAATTGAGCTCTGCACTGTAGCCATTTCCCGCTTTCGAATCAAGGGTTTCCAATTCCTTCTCTCCTCCTCCTCCCCCTGGCTTTGCTGCCATTCGGCATCACCATTTCTGTCATGCAAATGGAATCCTCCTCACCGTAACTCACCGTACAGAAACCGTTTCAACCTTAACCCGCCACGAACGTGACCAGAACCGTTGTACCACGTCTGTGCTATGTCATTGGCGAAGACCATTCCACCGTCTCCTCCATGAGAGGTGGATTCCTGCTGCATCGGTGTCATCCGCACGTCAGATACTGATCCTGCTACGGACCCGAACCGAGAGATTCTGATTGCGGTTGGGTGAGGTGCTTCGCAGGTCAGAAGGATCAAATAACAATCTCAAACGATTGGGTAGGGTATTGAGGGAGAACGCACCCGTCGGACACGCCCTCAGATAATTTAGGGAAGCTAGACAAGGTTCGGTGTTCCGAGCAGTCTTGGACTAACGTACCAGGACTAACGTACCTTAGAAAGGTATATTACGGTAGCTATCCTAGCGTAAGTCATCGGCTTTTGTGGTGGATAACTGTGCCAAGCTTCAGCGTTGCTAATCAGCTTATCAGCTTATCATTAATCAGCAGCGACGCTTATCTTCACTGATGCTCATGAAGAGAGATAATTGCTGCTGGCATAGAAAACAAGTAGTTCGGGTTACGCAATAGTGCTGCTAAAATTCAGGACCGTGACGTCCGCGTGGAATTCGTTTACAAGCAACGACCAACCCGACAACTTGCTTATAACGCAGCTGCATATATGAGAGCCATCGCTAGACGCGGCAGCAGGCCGCGCAACAGCGGGGGGGGCTTGACGCCATGTAGCCTCGTTGCAAACGGCGTTTTGAGCGAGGCTCGGTGTTCTAAGCGAGGCTCGGCGCGCAGTGAGCCGCGCAGCAGCTGGGGGCCCTTGGCGCGCAGTCAGCCGCCCAGAAGCTCGGTGCCGTTGACGCTATGTTCGTTTGTCGCGTTCCTAGCCGCGTGTCAGCATGTCGCCACGGTTGCTGGCGTCATCATCATGATTACTCCGGACAACTCCACGTACTCGTTTGAAGACGCCGACGCCGCTTTCGGTACGCGCTTTATCGCCTCTTATCGAGTTCAGAGCTTTCCTCGGGATTGTTTTCTCTGTGTGTGCTCGAAACGCCCTTGATCTCCAGACTATAAGGGAGTAAGGAGGTGACTTTTGAGTCTACTCAAAAGTCGCCTCGGGATTGTTTTCTGTGTGTTTCGGAACGCCCTTAATATCTAGACTCTCAGGGAAGGTTGTACGGCAAGTCGCTGTTTCTGAAATCGGGAGCCTCTTTTCCGTGAGCCGCTTATTCTGGCAAGTTCTCTTCCCCCTCGCTTTCCCCCCTCAAGCCCTGACGAACCCCCCTTCCGCTCCCCTTCCGCTCACCCTTCCGCTGCCCCCTTCCCCCTTCCCCAGGCGGCCTTATCTCCTCTACGGGCATGCGCGGAGTGCTCCGCCGCGCCGTCCCCTACGACGCGTGCGAGGAGCTGACGAATCCCGCGGGACGAACGGGGGAGCTGGAGTTTGTGCTTATAGAGAGGGGAAACTGCCTGTTCGATATAAAGGTGCTCAACGCGCAGAGCGCGGGGTACGCCGCCGCGGTCGTGTACAATAACGAGCCCGGGAAGAGGATTATAACGAGTACGTGGCGTGGCTTTGGTTTGTGGTGTTGGGAAGGGACGGGGTGTCAGAAAGTTTATATTTTCACGTGGACGGGTTGGGAAGGATTGGGGGGTGGGGGGGGGGGGGGGGGGGGGGGGGGGGGCGCGGGGCGGGGAGAGAGGGGAAGGGCCGAGGGAAAGGGACGGGGAAGGGAAAGTGGGAAACTCTTGAGAAAGGTGGGATTGTATCGTTCTGCCCGTCCCCTCCCCCTTCCCCTCCACCGCACCGCACCCCTTTTGAAAGGCTTTTCCCTCCTTTTAGTCCCGTTTTGTCTGGTGCACGCACCCCCCTCTCATATCTTCGTCTCATCCGATCCCTCTACCTCCGACCACACACACCTCCCTTTATCTCCCGTCTACCCTCTCCCGCCCCCCCCAATCCCACCCCGACGTTTTGTCTGGTGCTCGCACCCCCCTCTCATATCTTTGTCTCTTCTGATCCCTCTGCCTCCGTCCACTCACTCACGCCCCCCTTTTACCTCCCATCTATCCCTCTCCCCCTTTGGTTTCTCTCCCTTCCCCCATTCTCCCCTCTCTCATGTCCTCGTCCCTTCTTATCCCTCTTTTTTGCAGGGTGTTTTTGAGAATTCTCAAAAACACCCTTTCCCCATTCTCCCCTCTGTCATGTCCTCGTCCCTTCTAATCCCTCTGTCATGTCCTCGTCCCTTCTAATCCCTCTGTCATGTCCTCTTCCCTTTTCATCTATCTCCCGTCGACCTCTCCCTCTCCCCCCCCTTCCCCCGCAGTGTCAGGGCGGCACATGTGGGAGATCTTCATCCCAGCAGTCTTCACCACCCAATCCTCTCCTCTCCCTCCTTATGCTCCGCCTTTCCCCGCCCCCACCCTCCCCCCTTCCGCCTCCCCACCCTGTCCCCCATTTCGCCCCTCCCCCACCCTCCCCCCTCCCCGCAGTGTCAGGGCGGCACATGTGGGAGATCTTCATCCCAGCAGTCTTCACCACCCAATCCTCCGGTCGTGCTCTTCTGCACCTCATAGACCGCTTCCCGCCCCCATCCGCCTCTTCCCCCTCCTCCCCCTTCTCCTCCCCCCCAATCTGCGTCCTCCTCCCCACCTTCGACAACGCCGCATGGTCAGTAATCACCGCCTCCCTCGTCTCCCTCCTCTCCCTCTCTATAGTCCTCGCCTCGTTTCTCTTCATAAGGCGCCACAGGCTCAGGCAGGCTGTAGCGGCGGCCGCTACAGCCATGGGCGCGGCCGGCGCCGGCCGGCTGCTAGCACGGCAGGAGCCGCCCGGGCTGTCAGAGGAGGAGGTTAAGGCGCTGCCAGAACTGGTTTTCCCGCCAAAATCGAAGCCTGCTAGTGTGTCGGGATTCAGTGGCGGCTGTAGCGGTGCCGGCTGTAGCAGCTGTGGGGGGAAGGGGTTTATGGGGAAAGGCGGAGGCGGCAATGGGGGAGGCGTGAGTGGGGGTGAAGCGGTTGTAGCAGCAGCTGTAGCGGCAGCAGAGAGAGGAGAAGCAGGGGGTGACAGGTCAGCAGGAGGAATGGCGACGGCGCAGCAGCAAAGGGAGGAAAGCCGGCCGCTGTCAGCAGTGACTATATCAGCGCTGCAGCAGCAAAGGGAGGAAGGCCAGCCACTGTCAGCAGTGACTATTGCAGAGATGATACCCAGCGGCTGCGTGGCACTGTCAGTGCTGGATGGGAGTGAGGATGGTGATAGTAACAGTGGTGATTGTATCAGTGGTGATAGTAACAGGGATGGTACTACCGCCGCAGCCGCTGCTGCCGTGGGAGCAGAGGGAGCAGGGGCAGCAGAAGCAGCAGGGAGGGCAGCAGAAGCAGCAGGGCAGGCAGCAGAAGCAGCAGGGCGGGCAGCAGGGAAAGAGAGGGCGATGGAGACGTGTGCGATCTGCCTGGAGGACTACGAGTGGGGGGATAGGCTGCGCATCCTGCCCTGCTCCCATGGTGAGTTGCTCTTTTTCCAAGGTGCGAATCGCATGGGGGGCACTGGTAGGTGTATGGGGAGATCTGCCTGGAGCGCTATGAGTGGGGCGACAGGCTGTGCATCCTGCCCTGCTCCCATGGTGAGTTGACTGCTTGATTGATACGTAGTGTGGGGTGGAGGGGGCATTCTCTTATGAGTTCGCTGCTCAGGGTGGGGAGAGAGGGAGCAGTGCGTTTTTTAGAATTCTCAAAAACACCCTGCAAAACCAGAGCAGGGCCATTCTCGTATAAGTTAGCTGCAAAAACACCTTGCATAGCCAGAGCAGGGCCATTCTTGTATAAGTTAGCTGCAAAAACACCCTGCAAAACCAGAGCAGGGCCGTTTTCGTATAAGTTAGCTGCAAAAACACCCTGCAAAACCAGAGCAGGGCCATTTTCGTATACGTTAGCTGCAAAAACATCCTGCAAAACCAGTGCAGGGCCATTTTGGTATAAGTTAGCTGCAAAAACACCCTGCAAAACCAGAGCAGGGCCATTCTCGTATAAGTTAGCTGCAAAAACACCTTGCAAAACCAGAGCAGGGCCATTTTCGTATAAGTTAGCTGCAAAAACACCCTGCAAAACCAGTGCAGGGCCATTTTGGTATAAGTTAGCTGCAAAAACACCCTGCAAAACCAGAGCAGGGCCATTCTCGTATAAGTTAGCTGCAAAAACACCTTGCAAAACCAGAGCAGGGCCATTTTCGTATACGTTAGCTGCAAAAACACCCTGCAAAACCAGTGCAGGGCCATTTTGGTATAGGTTAGCTGCAAAAACACCCTGCAAAACCAGAGCTGGGCCATTCTCGTATAAGTTAAGCTGCAAAAACACCTTGCAAAACCAGAGCAGGGCCATTTTCGTATAAGTTAGCTGCAACAACACCCTGCAAAACCAGAGCAGGGCCATTCTCGTATAAGTTAGCTGCAAAAACACCTTGCAAAACGAGAGCAGGGCCATTTTCGTATACGTTAGCTGCAAAAACACCCTGCAAAACCAGTGCAGGGCCATTTTGGTATAAGTTAGCTGCAAAAACACCCTGCAAAACCAGAGCAGGGCCATTTTCGTATAAGTTAGCTGCAAAAACACCCTGCAAAACCAGTGCAGGGCCATTTTGGTATAAGTTAGCTGCAAAAACACCCTGCAAAACCAGAGCAGGGCCATTCTCGTATAAGTTAGCTGCAAAAACACCTTGCAAAACCAGAGCAGGGCCATTTTCGTATACGTTAGCTGCAAAAACACCCTGCAAAACCAGTGCAGGGCCATTTTGGTATAAGTTAGCTGCAAAAACACCCTGCAAAACCAGAGCTGGGCCATTCTCGTATAAGTTAGCTGCAAAAACACCTTGCAAAACCAGAGCAGGGCCATTTTCGTATACGTTAGCTGCAAAAACACCCTGCAAAACCAGTGCAGGGCCATTTTGGTATAGGTTAGCTGCAAAAACACCCTGCAAAACCAGAGCTGGGCCATTCTCGTATAAGTTAAGCTGCAAAAACACCTTGCAAAACCAGAGCAGGGCCATTTTCGTATAAGTTAGCTGCAACAACACCCTGCAAAACCAGAGCAGGGCCATTCTCGTATAAGTTAGCTGCAAAAACACCTTGCAAAACCAGAGCAGGGCCATTTTCGTATACGTTAGCTGCAAAAACACCCTGCAAAACCAGTGCAGGGCCATTTTGGTATAAGTTAGCTGCAAAAACACCCTGCAAAACCAGTGCAGGGCCATTTTCGTATAAGTTAGCTGCAAAAACACCCTGCAAAACCAGTGCAGGGCCATTTTGGTATAAGTTAGCTGCAAAAACACCCTGCAAAACCAGAGCAGGGCCATTCTCGTATAAGTTAGCTGCAAAAACACCTTGCAAAACCAGAGCAGGGCCATTTTCGTATACGTTAGCTGCAAAAACACCCTGCAAAACCAGTGCAGGGCCATTTTGGTATAAGTTAGCTGCAAAAACACCCTGCAAAACCAGAGCAGGGCCATTCTCGTATAAGTTAGCTGCAAAAACACCTTGCAAAACCAGAGCAGGGCCATTTTCGTATACGTTAGCTGCAAAAACACCCTGCAAAACCAGTGCAGGGCCATTTTGGTATAGGTTAGCTGCAAAAACACCCTGCAAAACCAGAGCTGGGCCATTCTCGTATAAGTTAAGCTGCAAAAACACCTTGCAAAACCAGAGCAGGGCCATTTTCGTATAAGTTAGCTGCAACAACACCCTGCAAAACCAGAGCAGGGCCATTCTCGTATAAGTTAGCTGCAAAAACACCTTGCAAAACCAGAGCAGGGCCATTTTCGTATACGTTAGCTGCAAAAACACCCTGCAAAACCAGTGCAGGGCCATTTTGGTATAAGTTAGCTGCAAAAACACCCTGCAAAACCAGTGCAGGGCCATTTTCGTATAAGTTAGCTGCAAAAACACCCTGCAAAACCAGTGCAGGGCCATTTTGGTATAAGTTAGCTGCAAAAACACCCTGCAAAACCAGAGCAGGGCCATTCTCGTATAAGTTAGCTGCAAAAACACCTTGCAAAACCAGAGCAGGGCCATTTTCGTATACGTTAGCTGCAAAAACACCCTGCAAAACCAGTGCAGGGCCATTTTGGTATAAGTTAGCTGCAAAAACACCCTGCAAAACCAGAGCTGGGCCATTCTCGTATAAGTTAGCTGCAAAAACACCTTGCAAAACCAGAGCAGGGCCATTTTCGTATACGTTAGCTGCAAAAACACCCTGCAAAACCAGTGCAGGGCCATTTTGGTATAGGTTAGCTGCAAAAACACCCTGCAAAACCAGAGCTGGGCCATTCTCGTATAAGTTAAGCTGCAAAAACACCTTGCAAAACCAGAGCAGGGCCATTTTCGTATAAGTTAGCTGCAACAACACCCTGCAAAACCAGAGCAGGGCCATTCTCGTATAAGTTAGCTGCAAAAACACCCTGCAAAACCAGTGCAGGGCCATTTTGGTATAAGTTAGCTGCAAAAACACCCTGCAAAACCAGTGCAGGGCCATTTTCGTATAAGTTAGCTGCAAAAACACCCAGCAAAACCACTGCAGGGCCATTCTCTTACAAGCGAGTCGTGCGTTTGTCCCGTCAGTCGTGCAGAATTCCACGCTCACTGCGTTGACCAGTGGTTGACCAGTGGTTGACCACCCGCCATCTCTTCCCCTTCCTCCCTCGTTATATTTTTCTGTCTTCTCCATTCTGCTCCCTCTGCCTCTTGGACATCCCATGTTCTTTATCCAAAGTGTCTGTGCTTCTGTCCCTATCCTCCCCTTCCCTCTTGCAGAGTTCCACGTTGACTGCGTTGACCAGTGGTTGACCAGTGGTTGACCAGTGGTTGACCAGTGGTTGATCCCATTCGCAGCCCCCTCTGCCTCTTGGACATCCCATGTTCTTTATTCAAAGTGTCTGTGCTTCTGTCCCCATGCTCCCCTTCCCTCTTGCAGAGTTCCACGTTGACTGCGTTGACCTGTGGTTGACCACCCGCCGCCCATTCTGCCCCGTATGCAAGCGGGACGCCCACCCCAACCCCCCTTCGAACATCACAGCCACCACCACCACTACCATCCCCTCTTCCTCCTCCTCCTCCTCCTCCTCCTCCTCCTCCGCTGCGTCCGCTTCTGCTGCTGCTGCCCCAACACAACTGCAACCCCCCACCCGATTCTCAACCTCCCTCCCCTCCCAAACAGCCTCACTCTTTCTCTCTACCCTACTCTACCCCCTCGTCCGCTCCTTCTCCCCCTCCCCTCCCTGCCCACTGCACCCAACCCCACCGCATCCAACCCCTCCAATCGTACATCTGGAAACACCAGAAGAACCAGACCCCCCCGCTCTTCCTCCTCCTCCCCCTCTTCCTCCTCCCTTTCCTCCTCTCCCTCCTCCTTCTCACCTTTACCTGGCCCCTCCTCTCCGACTAATCCCAGTACCACTCTCAACCCCCCCAGCACCTCTCTCTCCTCCTTTCCTCCCTCCGCCACCCCCCCGTCCTCCATCCCCACTCTCGCCTCCTCCCTCTTCCCCTCCTCCCATTTCATCGCCGCTTCAACCGCCTCCTCCTCCTCCCTCTCGTCCCTCGATCCCTCCCGGGAGCCCTTTCTGCTGCATCACCCAACGATGGATTCGGACGATGAAGAAATAGGGGAGATCCGCCCCGTCCCCATGCCAGGTTTTACTCCCCCTTCGCCTTCACCCTCTCATATAGAGGTGTCGGACTGAGTGGGCAAACGATGCATGGCTCCATGGTAGCCCTATGAGATTTTTGGGTATGATGGTAGTGACAGCTCTTGCTGTGACTCTACTCTACCTTCTAGGAAAGCTGATCTTGACTTGATCTCTTCTTTTCGGCACTGTAAATGTCTGCCTTCTCCTCCTCCCTCTCGTCCCTCGATCCCTCTCGGGAGCCCTTTCTGCTGCATCACCAAACGATGGAATTAGACGATGAAGGAAACGGGGGAGATATGCCTCGTCCCCATGCCGGGCTTCACCCCTCCCTTGCCAGCATGCGGAATCCACACCGCCGTCTTCCCCCCATTGCCAGCACATATGGAGGTGTTGGATTGAGTGAGCACTTGTGCATGGTTGCAATTGTAATACACTTTTTACCATAATCTTTGTGCTACCAGTTGCTGTGCCCTACGCTCCGTCATTGAGCGGGGATAAAAGGCGCTAAAATTCTATTACATAGTGTTCATGATTAACATTATGCTGATTGTCAAGCGCACAAACTAAGTACAGAGCGAAGGAGCTTGAACAGAACTACCGTATGAAGTTTCAACATTTGTCTGAATGCAACACCACCACCGTTGGAGGAAAACAAGGCCGTGGCTTTGCTTGCAAGCCATATATATACGGGGGAGAAACACTACAGCAAAATATGTACGCTACAGTACATTGCACATAAATCAAAGAGCCATGGAGCTTGCACCGAGTATGCCCTTAGGTGGTGTATCCTCTGAAGTTGCGTCAGCATCATTTGCTGCTGAAGCCGACTGCCACACTGTACTGAAAGAAAAGCAAGCCACTGCTGTTGCGTTAGACGTGCCAGTAGGAGTAGCAGGTGTAGTATTATCCATGTGGCGAGGAAGCTTGTAGAGGGAACGTTTGGAGAGATCGGGAGCAGCAGCGAGGAATGAATGCCGGGAGGAGACACGTGGAGGAGGCAGGAGGAGATATATGGAGGAGATGTCGGCTGGGAAGGGGAAGGGGAAGCTGGGAAGGGGAAGGAGAAGCTGGGAAGGGGAGGCTGATTTGTAGGGAGGGAGGAAGAAGTTGCACATTTGCCCGAACCCCGTGAGGTGCAGGAACGGTGGGCAATTGGGCAACTCCCCCTGTAACAGTAACTCCATAGTTACACTGTAGAGCCTTGGGTCTCCTCCTCAGCCGTTACACTGTAACCGTGTCATGAAGAAAATGAAGCGGCAACTGAGTATCTGTAACCGTGTTGGATTGCCGGCGATGAAATGTTTGTGCTGCCCGTTACGCTGCGATTGGGCGGCTCTGCCCGACTGAAGCCGCCCCGTCAAAGGACTGAGAGTGGCAGACAGCTGTCGGCGCCACACGGGACGAATTCCGCCGCCCGGCGCGCATCTTGAACCCCAGGCACGCAGGGACCACGTGCCTCAGCGCTGCTGCCGCGTCCTTGGGGCTGCTGAGATATTTTCCACGAGGAGAAGTTTTTTTCGGGCTGACTGGGGGCTCTGCAGCTTCGGGGACGGAGATGTTCAGCTTCGCGGGTGCAGGTTTGGGGAATCTAGGCTCGGGAAAGTCAGGTTCGGGGAATTTGATGTCAGAGAGTGCAACAAGGGCGGGAAGCGCGGCGGGAAACGCGGCGGGGATGTCGGAAGCAGGGGCGAAGCGGCGGGAGGGGGGAGGCGGGGGCGGAGCCAGCCACGTGTCAGCGAGTACTTGGTCGACCGTGGGGCGCATGAGCGGATCCACGGCGAGCATCCAACGGATGAGATTCTTCGCGTCGTCGGAGATCGACGACCAGCAAGGCGCCTCCCAATCCGCGATATCGTCAAGCTCCCTTACGTTATTACGAAACAGCGGCCATGTACCCGAAAGCATCGCGTATAGTAGCACGCCGAGGCTCCAGATATCCGCGGATTCATCGTACGGCTCTAAAGCCATCACTTCCGGCGCCTCATATGGGAAGCTTCCCGCGTAGCCAACCACCTGCTGCCAGCGAGGCAGCTCCAGCGACAGCCCGAAATCGGCGAGTTTCGCGACGTGCTGAGGGTAACCCGTTGCGGATGGCGATTGCGAAAGGTTTGGCGAAAAGGAGCCCAGAGCAGCTTCCACAGCAGTTGAGTTTTTCGGGAAGAGAAGGATATTTTCCGGCTTGATATCGCGGTGAATGATGCTGTTATCGTGACACTCTTTAACGGCGCGCGCCACCGACATGAAAACGTCCCGTGACTCCGCTTCGCTAAGCAGACCCGCGTTCTGTATCCTCGTTAGAAGGTCCCCTCCGGTACCGAGCTCCATAAGCATGTATAGCGAGTCCTTATCCGCATACACTGCTTCCAATCCGATAACGTGCCCGCAGCCCTTTCCACGAAGCTTCGCCATGATTTCAATCTCCCGCCGCGCCGCGGCGTACGCTTTCTCCCCGCAGGCGGAGCGCGAGACGCGCTTGCAGGCGAATTCGCGCGCGGAGCGGCGGTCGGCGCAGCGCCAGACGACGCCGTACTGCCCCTTGCCGAGGACTTCTATAGCGGAGAAGTTCGCGCGAAGCTCGGCGGTTGGGAGTACCGCGAGGCGTTGGTGATGGTGGTGATGGTGGGTAGGTGCGGTCGAGGGATACTCCATCGTAAATTTATGCGTTGCCGCAAGTTGAACCGTCTTCTTGAGGAGGAACGGCGCTCGCCGGAACGAAACTACGGATCCGAAATATATTCGAGCCTGACTTGCCAATAGTAGGGATTATTGCGAGCGCACAGCAGGGAAGCTGGGAAGCAAGCAAATCCACGGGTTGTAACAAACGATGCCCTACCGATGGTTTTAGCTGTTAATCTGACGGAAAGGAGAATATGTAGGCCTTGCTGTGCTCTGTAAGTCAAGAGCCACGAAGCTGAAAGGCTGACCGTGGAGGTCGAAGGACTGTGGCGTGAAATGCGGGGGCGGGGAAGGGGGCGAAGATTATCTTGCAATACGGTGGGGGGCGCGAATTTCTCCTCTTGTAGTGCGGAGCTTGTTTAGGCTAGTGCGATAGTTTTTTGGCAACATGCGGGGCGGGGGGTGGTGCTGAGGTTTGGCGGAGGTTTGGATTGGGTTTGCGTGGCAACCGGACTCCACTCCACCGCAACCGCCCTGGCTTGTCTCCAATTTCTTGGACTGGCGCGCTCTTCGCTCCGCTCGCGTTCCCAGCGCAAACAGGCCCCTTCCCGCAGCCCAACCTGTCAACGCGGCTCGGCCGAATCGTTCGTTTCGGTGCGTTGGCTCGTTGGTCTCTTCGTTCATTCTTCGCCGGGATGGGGCTCCACCCCTGCACTACGCTCCACCGCAAGTTGCGGTCCAGAAAATTCCCCTGCGCCCCCCTCACCTCCCTAGAAGGAAGAAACGCACTCTTGGACGTCGCAAGTGGGCTAGCTGCGGCAGCACCGGTTGAAATCTTCCCCACTGGTCGCGTGGGGAATTGCGGGGGATTTTAGGGACAGTTGGGCAGGTCGCGGAAATTCCGTTTCGTTGTTGGCCCCCACACGCCTGACCATTCAAAACCGGTTTGCCTGGTTCGGGAATGGGAAAGTGGCTGTGCGTTTGCGCGGAAAGGAATTTGTGGTTTCTTGGAACGGTGGGTTTCGGTGCTCGGAGAAATTTGTCCAAACAGGAGAAATTCTGGATGAAACAGCCCGTTCAACTCACGTTTTGACTCGTTCAGTTCACCTCAGCTTGCCCAGTTGGGCACGTGGGCCGGCACCCAGAACAAACCGTCAAAAGTTATCATCTCTGCCCTAGCGGTCACCATTTTCTTCTTGTTTGAAGTGGCATGACAACCGTCGAGCACACAGTGCTGGGCCGACGTTCTCCAGGCGCAGGAGAGTGACGCGAAACTGCTTTCAACATTGTTGGCAGCGCTTCAACTCCACGCCGCGCGAGGTCCCAAACCGGAACTCACCGTCAAGTGCGGACCATTCCAGGCTTCGCCCAAACGAAATCCCCCCCTGGCCCTGCTGGATTCTTACTGTAGCAAAAGCTTTGTCCGCGCGTTTCATTTGTCAAGAGACGGACGACTCGACAATCCACCTGGAGTGTTCGTTTGTACAGAAACAAGCACTGCATGTGCCATTGACCCACCTTCCTGTTGTCGCATATTCCTGCTATGTTGGATCTCGTCTGCGGTTACAGGCAGCTGCTTGACAATACACGTGCTTTCAACCTATGTGAATACGGATTAACCCTCGCCATGAAGACATACATCTTGTATTAGCACAATCAAATATATAGGAGGAATACAACCTAGAAATGAGATGTATAATGGTTATTCAACTGGACGTAGAGCCAGAAACAGAAGACATGGCTGCTGCTTGCACGCCAGTTATGGCAATCGTCGTAACCAAGTCCCTCACACTATCACTGTTTGTTACGTCACTAACAGGCCGCCTCAAACCCTGCAATACCGGCCCCATGGCAACAGCTCGCGACGCCCGTTGCTGCTTCCTGTACATATTTGTGCTGCTGTGCATATCAGGGAAAATCAGCACTGTAGCTTTGCCGGCCACGTCCGAGTTATCACATAAAATGGACCCCCCCTGGCTTCTATCCTCACCCACAGCAGCGTCATAAGGAAGCGGGCCTTCCACGGCGAGGTTGGGCCTTTGCTCCTTGATTATACTGGCCGCTTCCTCAATGCGTTCTGCCAAGGGGTCTGGGGTGAGGAGCAGCAAGGGGAGGGAGAGGAGAGGGATAGGTGGTGAGGCAGGGGGTTGTGAGTGGCTAAAGGTAGTGATCTCAAATGCAAGCAGGAATACTGTGCGTTTTTTTGTTTCCCATGGCCATTCATCCGACCTATTTGACCCCCCTGATTTCCTCTCCCACAACCCCCTCTATTATCTAATTTATCTCCCAGACCCTTCCCCCCCTTTCCCCCTCTCTTTCCCTAGCTCTGAACCCCTTCATACCACTCCCCACTCCTAGGGTCCGCTCACCTCTCGTGGCACCATGCTGGTTCGAATGACTGGACAGCAGCGCGACACGTGGCTCCACGCCAAAGGCTGCAGCGGTGTCAGCCGATGACATGGCGATCATCGCGAGCTCCTCAGCCGTCGGATCAGCGCTGCTCATCCCCATCCCCATGCTCCCATTGGCCGAACCCAAACTGCCTGCTGCTGTGCTTGGTGGTGGCGGCCGCGCGGAAAAGGCACCAACGGTAGGAACAGTCTTTCCAGTGGGAATGGTGTTACCCGTAGGAATAGTGTTCCCTGCACTATCCCCATAAACGAGCACCTTATCAGGGAGACACATGAAAACCACCCCGGAAACAACGGGCATTTCCGGCCGCGTCTTAATCACCCCTCTCACGATCCTCCCGTTCCCGTTCGGCCGGATCCCCCCAACCGCCATCCCGTCCGCCTCCCCCGCGGCAACCATCGCCGAACCAAAAGATGCAGGATCGGAAAGCAGCAGTCGCCGAGCCTCGTCCACACCCATGGTCACCCCTCGCTCCAACTGCGCCTCGCAAATCAGCTCCACATACCGAGCCAAATCCGGGCTCGATCCGGGATCGACGATATTCGCTCCGGATAAATCCACACACTGGTCCTTAGCCTGTAAAAGCACCTCATCTGGCTTCCCTAGGAGAGTCAACCGGCAGAGCGACCTCCTGAGCACCTCTCCCGCTGCTTGCACCACCTTAGGCTCAGCTCCCTTGGCTAACACGACATGGGATTGTGCCTCCCGCGCCCGGGAAAAGATCCCCCGCTCGAACACCCGTGGGGAGACGTGTGCGGAGTGGAGGCCGGAGGAAGCTTCTTGGAAGAGGATCCGGTGGAGGGTGGGCGTGTCGGCGTGGTCTTGGAAAAGGTCTTGCGCCCGGCGGATCTTGGCGTGGGACGTGGCGTGCAGGGCGGACTGTGCATGGGCGATGGAGAGGCAGATGTCGTGCGGGGTGAGCGGGGAGAGCAGCACTGGGAGCGAGGCTGACAGGTTGGTGGTCTGTAAATGGAGGGGGGGGAACAGGCAGGGAGAAGGAAGTAGGGGAGGGAGAGTAAGGGGGAGTAATGAGGCAGACGTCGTGCGGGGTGAGGGGGGAAAGGAGCACCGGGAGCAAGGCGCTCAGGTTGGTGGTCTGCAGGCGTGGGGAAAGGGGCAGGAGCAGGGAAGGGGAAAGTGAGAGGAAGAGACGCAAAAGGAGCGCTTTGCTAGTGGTTGGGCGCGGTGGAGGGTGATTGTGTCAGGAGAGAAGCACAGGAAATTTTACATGCCTACCTTTAGAAAGAACCATCTAGCCATTTGAGTCTACTTACCCTAGGAGTGTTTTGAGTCGACTCAAAACCCTTGGGAGCTTACCCTTATGATATTGTCCAAAGTGAGAGTGGGTGGAGTGCCCCCAGATAAGACAACTGCCGCCACTCGCTTGTCGGTTTTCGCCTGGCTGAGCTGCATCGTCCCCAGAAGCACGTCCGTGTCGCACGCGTGCGTCACCACGCACACTCCCCCCTCGTTATAGTCACCACCGAACACTGCCGCATTATCGATATAGTCACACACGCTCGGAATTTCTTCCACCAGCTCTTCAAACGGCGATGTTGCCACCACCGTTTTCGTCACATCCATCTGTCCGGCCCCGGGCACAAATCCCAGCTGGCGGCTGACGTGGCAACCGCTGGGTTCGTCGTAGCTGCTGCTGACGTGGCGTGCTGCGGATGCGACAGCTGGCGTCGGTGTAGAGCGATCGAAAAACAAGCTGATATTACTGCTGCTGATGCTGCTTCTGCTGCTGCTGCTTGCACTATTGCCCTTCCTTGTACTGTTATTGCTGCTTGCATTGTTGCTGCTGCTGCTGCTGCTCCTCCTCTCATCCTTCTCAGCAGCAGCGAAAGCCGACGGGGGACCATATAACACCTCCCCCAGGACCGCCTTCCTCAGTTCCTCTACCGAGAGTGACTGTAACGAGGAATCCTCTGGCACCGCGCCGAGCAGCGGTATGGGCTGGTACTGGCGTCCCTCTAACGGGCGGATGTAGGCCTGCGAGCGCGAGTGCGCCTCGATATAGTCACGCAGGCGGAGGGAGGAGTGGAGGGCGGCGCGCGGGGAGGAGGTGGCATTCGGGACGCGGTAGATTAAGGAGCCTGCCACGTGCACGTGGGTGCTTCTTAGGATGCGCGCGTGCTCCAGCATGCTGTGAACCGCGTCGGCTTGCCAGTCCACTTCCTCCATGCTGAAGAAGGGCTGAAGGGGGGGAGGGGGAAACACGGGGGAAGGGGGAAACACGGGGGAGGGGGGAAACACGGGGGAGGGGGGAAACACGGGGAAGGGGGAAGCACGGGGGAGGGGGGAAACACGGGGGAGGGGGGAAACACGGGGGAGGGGTGAAACACGGGGGAGGGGAAACACGGGGGAGGGGAAACACGGGGGAGGGGAAACACGGGGGAGGGGAAACACGGGGGAGGGGAAACACGGGGAAGGGGGAAACACGGGGGAGGGGAGGGCGGAGGAGCGGGGGGTAAGGGGAGTGGTTGAGTATGCTGCGCACCGCGTCGGCTTGCCAATCGATTTCCTCCATGCTGAAAAAGTGGGTGAAGAAAATAGAGGAAAGGGGGAAGGAGAGGGGGGAAGAGGAAGGGGGGAAGCGGGAAGGGAGGGGAATGGGGGACTCCCATTTCGGAAGGCGAAAGGGAAGGAGAGACTAAACCCTAGTGAACCTTGCTTTCCAGTTTCGGCTGGAGTCAAGGGGGAAGCGGAAACGCGGCGGGAAGGGAAGTCGGGAAGAAAGCGGAAGGGGGAAGAGGAGGGGGGGGGGGGGGGGGGGAAGGGGGGGAAGAGGGGGAAGAGGGGGAAGGGGGGGAAGGGGGTGGGAGTGGGAGGGGGAGAGGGGGGTTGGGGACACAATGGCAGGAGAAAAAGCAAGGGCGGGCATAAAAAAGGGCAGGAACAAAGGACTAGAACGGGCATAAGAAAAAGGGCAGGCGGAAAGAGCATACATGGCTGGAGTCCGCAGCAGCGTGCGCGTCCGTCAACAGTATCGCTGGCGCTCCTAACGCGGACGCGATTAGCCCGTTAACCGGCGCCGACACGCTCCCGTCCCTTAAAGACGTCCCTTCCACCACGACAAAATCGTGCTCGCGCTGGCACCGCTCGTATGACGTCAGCACCTCGTCAACTAAGTCGTCGACGCGGTCCGAGTGGAGGAGACTAGTCGCGCGGTCCTGCGACACGCCGTACATGTCGCGCACGGGGGTGGTCAGGCGGAAGATCTTGCGCATGAGATCCGCGCGGTTTCCGCCGTGCGTGGTGCCGTCGACCGGGCGGAAGTAGCCGATTCCCGGGCGGAGCGGCTCGAGCGCGTGGATGAGGCCGACGGTGATCGCGGCGGAATGCACGGCGGATCCCACGCTGCGGATTATTGAGACAAGGGGAACAAGGGGAAGGGAAAAGAGGAGAGGGGGGGGGGGAGAGGGGGGGGGGGGGGGTGGAAGCGGGAAGGGGGAAGGAAAAAAAAAAAAAAAAACGTAAGGGCGCAGTCAGGCGGAAGAGAGACCGAGCGCCGCGTGATCAGGCCGACGGTGATCGCGGCGGAATGCACGGCGGATCCCACGCTGCGAATCATCGGGATTGGGGCACGGGGTAAACGGGGAGAAGGGGGGCAAGGGGGAAGAGGGGGAAGGAGGCAAGGGGGCGAAGGAAGGGGACAAGGGGGACACGGGGGGGTAAGGGGGACAAAGTGGGGGGCACGGGGGACGAAGTGGGGGGCACGGGGGACAAAGTGGGGGGCACGGGGGACAAAGTGGGGGGCACGGGGGACACGGGGGGGGGTAAGGGGGACGAAGTGGGGGAAGGACCCCGGGGGTGCATTCAGTTTCAATAAACCTGACGTCAGTGACCAAAAATCGTGAAACGACAGTGACATTCACTTCCCAGCTATTTCAAGACGCTAACGCTGACGGACAGTGACGGACGGTGACGGACTGTGACGGACGTTGACGGACAGTGACGGTCACCAACCGAAATTGTGCAAACGGCATCGGCACAACCGCGTGGCACGTACTTGGTATGATGAAGGTAGATGTTGTCCGCACCGCATGCAGCGACCATGTCGGGCGGCTTATCTCCGCTTTCCGCGGGGCCATGCGCCATGCTGCCGCCGCTGCTGCCGCCGGTGCTGTCGCCACCACATGCGGCGGGACCGGCGCTGTAGCGCCTCGCGAATGCCAATGGCGTGAGCTGCGCGAAATCGAGATCCAAGGGCGCGTTACTTGAGGCGGCGGCGGCGGTGGCGGCGGTGGCGGCGGTGGCGGCGGTGGCGGCGGTGGCGGCGTCCGGCCGGCATTTTTTCCACACGCTGCCCCACCTGCCCGCCGCAATGCCGCCCATCCCGCCCGCGGCGGCGGAAGCGGCGAGCGCGCTGAGCGCTCGATTGGCGGCGTGGCGCTGAAATTGCTGCGCCGCTCTTGTGGCGAATACGCGCAACATGGCGGTCGGTACGAAGGCGACGCGGCAGCGAGGATTGTGGAGACGAAATGTGACTACTGCGAGATTGCGGTGCAAAAATCCGTAAGGCTGCTACGATGTTGAATCACTATGGAAGGTTATTGCAATCCGCGCAGAAACGTTCACAAATGCGGCTATTTCCGTGGACGACGATTTACTGGTACGCGACTTTTGCGTTCGCTCGAGGATCAACTGAGCTGCGGCGATCGATGATTTTGAAGGATTTTGACCTAGAGGGATTTACAGGATGCAGTCAAGCGGTCGGGGGTTCTAGAGGGACTACTCGTTTCTCTGTGCTGAAATAGGTGTCAAGGTTTCGACGCGAAGGTGGACTAATATGGAGCTGTGCATTTGATCATTGGATAAATGTGGGTTGGAGAGTGACAGGGATGCAGAAAGTGATTTCTAATGGTTCAGGAGAACGAGACGAGGAAGATGGGGGGTTGGGGGAAGAGGGGAGGGAGGAAGGACAGAAAGAACGCGAGAGAGAGAGAGTCAAGCCGCCAGCGATGCAAAGCGAAAACAGCTGGGATGCGGAATGTTGATGTTGTATTGTTGCTGTCGGTGGGACAGAGAAGCTGAGAAGCACATTGGGCAGAAGCAGAATGTGCGGGAGCGCAGCAGGGAGGAGGGAGGAGGGACGGACGGCATTTGCAGGGCCACTATTACACCATGGCGCAATTAGTTGGCATGTCATGGCATACGAGGGGGGTTTGCTGACAGACAGACAGCGCGGTTGTGCTCTGGTTTGTTGTGGTTTTGTATATTTCAGTACGTTTTTCTTTGGTGTAGTGCGATGCGATTGCCAAGCAAGGGCTTGGAGTGGCATTCGATTTGCAGCTTCACAAATTACTGTACAACGCGCTCCGCTCGTGTGACCAACGCGGAAGCAGATTTCCGCCTGCGAGGATTGCTGTGGCAGTTTGGGCAGCAGAAAAAGGCATTTCTGGAGGTAAGATGAGGGTGGGAAAAAAACATTTCGAGTCAACTCCGGCAGAATAAATTCTCCAGCAGTGGCAGATTAGGACCGAGATTGATGAGCCGAGGCGACGCTCCAGCATGCGATCAGTAGAAACTCCCGCACTTTGCTAAGTTGGACGAACTCGGTGTGCTGTACTGTTTTGGGAAAGTCCCAAGCCTACGAGACCACCCGGCAGCCGCAACTCATGGATCTGACGGCGAATGAGCGTCAATTATTTACCCGCCAATCACACACATCGCAGAGGTGCCTTGCCTGGATACATTCTGTTCCGTGTAACCTCGAAAAGGGATTCGCTCTCATTAATTAGCAGCCCCTTTTCCTGCCCTTTTCCCCAGCTGGTCACGATTCACATATCCAGCACTGCTCCTATCTACGTTTTCCCCTACCTCATCCTAAACATAAAGTTCTTTCGCCGTGTCAGCAAGACTCAAAGACATGTCCATTGGCGTCAAACCAAGTCACGCGCCACCCGACAAAACCAAGCATCGCCCACCACTCAGGGTTGTCGGTATTTCGTGCCAGAATTCAAAAAGCTGCCCGCAGAACGAACAGCTCAGATTGTTTTGCTGAGGTGTTCCACGTCATAGGTAAAGCCAATCAGGGCTGGTGTTTTCTGCCTGGAAATCGAGTGTCATCTGTCTGATTAGCGGAACACCTGTGTGTGCCACGTGATCGCCAACCAGGGCAGGATGGTCCGCTTGCTGTGGTCCCAACCGATTATCTGCAACTCCCGTTTGAAACACGGTATGCCAGCTTTATCGAGGAAAGCTCAGTGTACTCAGTGTAGTGTACCATCGATAAATGCCGTACATGTACATCAATTTGTTCCCTAACCACTACATAACATTGGTCCTTTACAGAAAAGCGTATAAAGAAGCTGTTTCACAACACCCCAAGCACGGTACCCATACATTTCCCACTTTCCTGCACTCAATGGTCGGTTATTTAACTTCTCAACCATACGCTCGTGGATTTTTCACTCCGCAATTCCCACCCCACCACCACCTATCTTATGCTGCACCCCCTTGCCTAATGCTACTAGTCTTCATAGCAGCAGCTTGCACGCCCGTCATTGCGATGGTCGTAACAATATCCTTCACTGTGCACCCTCGGCTCAGGTCGTTCACGGGTCTCCTCAACCCCTGCAGCACCGGGCCCATGGCAACTGCCCCCGTGGACTGCGGGAAGGGGGGGGGGTGTGGGGGGAGGAGGGAGGGGGGGAGTGAGTTCTATTTTTTAGGCGCCTCAAAAATAGAAGGGGGGGGGGGGTTGTGGGGGAAGGAGGGAGGGGGGAGTGAGGGAGAGAAGAGAGGAAAGGGGGACGGAGCAAGCGTTCACAGGTCTCCTCAGCCCCTGCAGCACCGGCCCCATGGCAACTGCCCCCGTGGACTGAGGGAAGGGGGGGGTGTGGGGGGGGGGAGGGAGGGGGGGAGTCAGGGAGGGAAGAGAGGAAAGGGGGACGGAGCAAGCACGTTCACATGTCTCCTCGGCCCCTGCAGCACCGGCCCCATGGCAACAGCTCCGGTGGACGATGGAAGTGGGGAGGGGGGGGGGGAGGAGGCACCATTCCCCTACCTGCTGCACTGCCTTGTATGTGTTGTTGCCCGTGATGAGATCCGGGAATATGAGCACCTGCTGCACTAGTACCGGGGCATTACCTGCTGCACTGGCTTGTATGTGTTGTTGCCCGTGTTGAGATCTGGGAATATGAGCACCTGCTGCATTAGTACCGGGGCATTGCCTGCTGCACTGCCTTGTACGTATTGTTGCCCGCGTTAAAGCCCATGTCCCAAGTTACAAGGCGCGAGCGTTTTTGTTAACAAAAACGGAGGTCATCTGACCTGGCGTGCGAAAGCTGTAACCGAACAAGCCCCAGCGGAACTGCACAATATGGCTAAGGGAGGGATTGCCCCTGGTTTGCAATTTGGGACCTGAAAACGCAAGTTTTTCATTGGTCCACGAATTTCCCCCCCTCGCTTCCCAAAAAACTCGAGCTTCGTGATTTTCTCAACCACTCAGTCTGCCGCAGGTCTCGCCCAATCCGCGCACACTTTTCGCAGCTTGCAATTTGGGACCTAGGCTTGAAGACCAGGGGATATGAGCACCGTGGCATGGGGAGGTTGGGACGAGGGGGCACCCCATCCAGCACGCTAACCTGCGATCTACCTGCCACAACTGTCCTGCCAAGAACCTGCCTACCACCAGTGCCCCACCTGCTGCACTAGTACCGGGGCATTACCTCCTGCACTGCCTTGTAAGTGTTGTTGCCCGTGTTGAGGTCAGGGAACATCAGCACCGCCGCCTGGGGAGGCAGGAAAACAAGACACTTCCCTACTACTTGCCACCACTGTCCTGCTAAGTACCTGCCCAGCAATGCCATACCTGCTGCACTGCCTTGTAAGTATTGTTGCCCGTGTTGAGGTCAGGGAATATCAGCACTGTGGCCTGGAGAGGGGGGGGGGGGGGGGGAGGGGCACACGCGGGGTAAAGAGAGGAATTCGAGGGGGGGAAAGAAGATCCGGGATCAGCTTCCCTCAACAGCTTTGTGTTTGCAGCTTTGTGTTTGCAGCTTTGTGTTTGCACCTTTGTGTTTGCAGCTTTGTCTTAGCAGCTTTGTCTTAGCAGCTTTGTCTTAGCAGCTTTGTCTTAGCAGCTTTGTCTTAGCAACTTTCTGTTAGCAGCTTTGTGTTAGCAGCTTTGTGTTAGCAGCTCTGTCTTAGCAGCTTTGCGTTTGCAGCTTTGTGTTTGCAGCTTTGTCTTAGCAGCTTTGTCTTAGCAGCTTTGTTTTAGCAGCTTTATCTTAGCAGCTTTGTCTTAGCAGCTTTAGCTTTGTGTTAGCAGCTTTGTGTTAGCAGCTTTGTGTTAGCAGCTTTGTGTTAGCAGCTTTGTCTTAGCAGCTTTGTCTTAGCAGCTTTGTCTTAGCAGCTTTGTCTTAGCAGCTTTGTCTTAGCAGCTTTGCCTCAGCAGCTTTGCCTCAGCAGCTTTGTCGTAGCAGCTTTGTCTTAGCAGCTTTGTTTTAGCAGCTTTATCTTAGCAGCTTTGTCTTAGCAGCTCTTTCTTAGCAGTTCCCCTTTTCTCTAGAGTCCATCTCCCTTCTTCCCCTGTTCCTCATCTGCCCGGCCACTTCGGTCGTCTTCCCCTTGAGCTTTGTCTTAGCAGCTTTCATGTCGGCAGTGGCGTCGTACTGCAGGGGGCCCTCCATCCCACTCCCTCAAACTCACTCCCTCAACCCACTCCCTCATCCTTGTAAGGCCCCTTTTCTCTAGCGTCCATCTCCCCTATTCCCCTGCTCCTCATCTGCCCGGCCACCTCTGACGTCTTCCCCTTGACCTTGGTCTTCGCTACCTCCATGTTCACAGCAGCGTCGTACTGCAGGCTCCATGCATCCTACCATTGTGCATTGGTACCGCATTCCACCCATCCTCACCTGCCCGGCCACCTCTGACGCCCTGTTCACAGCAGCATTGCACTGCAGGGGTCTCTCCATCCCACCCCACCCACAAGCTACTCCCCCTTTTTCCCAAGCGCCCATCCCCCCGACCCCATCCTCACCTGTCCAGCCACCTCTGACGCCTTCCCCTTGACCTTGGTCTTCGCTATCTCCATGTTCACAGCAGCGTCGTACTGCAGCGGGCCCTCCGCCATCAGGTCCGGCCTGCGCTCATGCACTATGGCCGTGGCGTCCGCCACCTTCTGGATCAGCGGACCTGTTTTGGGGGAAGGAGGCATGGTGAGGGGGCCGGGGGGGGGAAGGCAGAAAGCACCGGCATGTTGACAGCAGCGTCGTACTGCAAGGGGCACTCCGCCATCAGGTCCGGCCTGCGCGCATGCACAATGGCCGTGGCGTCTGATACCTTCTACATCAAGGTGCATATGGTTTGGGGGGGGGGAGGAGAGGGTGGGGAGGTGAAAGAATGGGATAGAAATCCCAAGGCAGTGACTAAAGCGTGGTACCACCATCAGGTCGGGTCTGCACTCATGCACTATGGCTGTGGCATCTGCTATCTTCTGGATCAAATGACCTGGAAGAACAAGAGAAGGATGGCCCACACATCAGAGTCGTTGCCCCCTGCTTTCATGCACTATGGCTGTGTCCTCTACCTTAGTCCTAAAAGTAACATTCCTCCCATCTGTGTTCGAGTCCCCTGTGGCGTACGACAGCAGAGCGACACGTGGCTCCACGCCAAAGGCAGCAGCGGTGTCGGCCGATGATGAAGAGGCACCATAGCCTTACAGTGAGGCAATGTTGCAGTGCGTCTGCTCACCCGTGTTGGAATCCCCTGTGGCGTACGACAGCAGAGCGACACGTGGCTCCACGCCAAAGGCAGCAGCGTGTCGCCCGATGATGAAGAGGCACCATAGCCTTACAGTGAGGCAATGTTGCAGTGCGTCTGCTCACCCGTGTTGGAATCCCCTGTGGCGTACGACAGCAGAGCGACACGTGGCTCCACGCCAAAGGCAGCAGCAGTGTCAGCCGATGACATGGCGATCATCGCAAGCTCCTCAGCCGTTGGATTCGTGTTGATGGCACAATCACCGTACACCAGGACCTTGTCGGGCAGGCACATGAAGAAGACCGAAGAGACAATGGGCGTCTCTGGGAGGGTCTGTGGGGGGAGAGTGGGGCAGGTGTCACACAACACAGGAGAAGGGGGAGGGGGAGGGGGAGGGGGAGGGGGGTGCCAGGAGGCTGATTGAGGGTCATAGAAAGGGAGGTGAGGGTGCTGGTGCAGTCACCGTTCACGAGCACCTTGTCCGGCAGGCACATGAAGAAGGCTGAGGATGCGATGGGGGTCGCTGGGAGGGTCTGCAGGGGAGGGAGAGAAGTGGGGGACATAAAAAAGCGGAAAGGTGGGGGGCGAATGGGCTGTGATAGGAGGGTGATGGTGCAGTCACCGTTCACGAGCACCTTGTCCGGCAGGCACATGGAGAAGACTGGTGAGACGATGGGGATCTCTGGGAGGGTCTCGGGGAAGGAAGGGGGCAGGAACAGAGGGCCGGAACAGAGGGCCGGAACAGAGGGCCGGAACAGAGGGCCGGAACAGAGGGCCGGAACAGAGGGCCGGAACAGAGGGCCGGAACAGAGGGCCGGAACAGAGGGCCGGAACAGAGGGCCGGAACAGGGGAGACAAGGAAGCAAACGCGCTGTAAGGTGGGGAAATCGGGAGAGATGGTGCAATCACCAACGATGGGGGCCTCTGGGAGGGTGTGGGGGGGAGGAAGTGGGCAGGAGCAGAGGGCAGGAGCAGAGGGCAAGAGCAGAGGGCAGGAGCGGGAATGAGAGGGTGCTGGCGAAACTACCGTGCACCAAAACCTTGTGAGGTCAACAGCACCAGACAACATGCTTTCCGCCGCATGCTGTGCTGTCAGTCAGTGATTTTTGAGCCGAATAAAACATCACCTGTGAGCAGCACCATTCAAACACCATGCTGTGCTGTCACAGTCACCATAGCCACACGCAGATACCCGATCACAACCACCACCTACCCACATACACCCCCCACAGACCTACCTTGATGATCTAAAGAGCGCGCCTGACAGTGTTGAAAGTGGTGTGGATAGCTCCAGACACCATGCCATCCGCATGCCCTGTTGCCACCATGGGTGCTCCCACACACCCCACGCGCATACACCCCCCCCAGGCCCACCTTGATGATCTGAAGAGCCGGCCTGACAGTGTTGGCCGTGCTCACCTACATCCCTACCCAAATGCACTTGATCTCAACACCAACGCGACCACAGACGCTCCTTGATGATTTGAAGAGCCGGCCTGACAGTGCTGGCAGTGGTGTGGATAGCTCCAGGCACCTGCCATCCGCATGCACTGCTGCCGCCATGGGTGCTCCCACACACCAGAACCATGTACACATCAACCCAACCACACACGCACCTTGATGATTTGAAGAGCCGGCCTGACAGTGTTGGCAGTCGTGTGGATAGCTCCAGACACCATGCCGTCCGCATGCCCTGCGGCCACCATGGCCGTGCCAAAGTAGTTGGCATCAGTAACCAGCAGCTCCTGAGCCTCTGCACGCGTCATGCCCTGCACAGTGGGAAAAGAAAGGGGAAGAAAAAAGGGAAGGAAAAGGGGAAGAAAAAGGGGAAGAAAAAAGGGGAAGAAAAAAGGGAAGAAAAAGGGGAAGAAAAAAGGGAAGAAAAAAGGGAAGAAAAAAGGGAAGAAAAAGGGGAAGGAAAAAGGGGAAGGTAAAAATAGCGCCTGAGATATGCGCTGCTGCCACCATGGGCCATGGCTGTGCCACCAGCAGCTCCTGCGCCTTTGCACGGGTCATGCCCTGGACTGGAGTATTGGGAGGGGGCCGGAAGGGGGGGGGTTGGTTGGTGGAAGGGGAAGGGAGAGGGTGTTGGGCTTGTTAGCATGCCCTGCTGCCACCATGGCCGTGCCAAAGTAGCTGGCATCAGTAACCAGCAGCTCCTGCGCCTCTGCACGGGTCATGCCCTGCACCGTGGAGAGGGGAAAGGGGAATCCAGAGGGAAGGGCAAGTGGGGAAGGTAAGAATAGCGCCTGAGAGAGTGCCCTGCTGCCCCCATGGCCGTGCCTTGGCCGTGGCCCATGCCTAAATTTTCCAGGGTTTTTTTAGAATTCTCAAAAGCACCCTGTAATTGGCGTCTGTCACTAGCAGCTTCTGTTCCTCTGCACGGGTAATGCCCTGGAGTATGGGTAGGGTAGGGGGGGAGGGGAAAGGGGAAGTCCTCGGTTTATGCTAAGCTGCCCTTGCCTTGGACATCAGGGATTAGGGTTTAGGGCTGAGCCACGTAGAGAATGACTACGTGGCTCTGCAGGTTCGGAGTCAATGCTGCGTTCAAGGAAAGCAGACGTTCAAAGGAATGCCAAGGGGTGCAAAAGTGTGCAGAGGGGTGCAGTATGTCCACTGGGATTCCTGCACTCACCTTGGACTTCCGAGCCTCGTAGAGGATGTCCACGTAGGTCTCCAGGTTCGGCGCCGAGGCTGGGTTCACGAGGTTAGCTCCGGTGAGGTCCACCCGGAGCTGCTTCGCCTCGGTGAGGATGTCATCTGGCTTGCCCACCAGGGTCAATTGGCACAGGGAACGCCTCAGCACCTCCCCTGCCGCCTGCACTGTGCGGGGCTCTGCACCCTGGGAGATGGGAGTGAAAACGGGGGAGGGAAGGGAAGGGGGAGGGGAGGTTATAAGGTCTACCCGGAGCTGCTTCGCCTGGGTGAGGATGTCATCCGGCTTGCCCACCAACGTGAGCTGACAGAGAGACCTTCTCAGGACCTCCCCTGCTGCCTGCACTGTGCGCGGCTCTGCGCCCTGTAGGGAGGTGGGGGCGAAACAGGGGAGGGATGGGGAAAGGGAAGGGAGTGGTTGTGAGGACAACCCGCAGTGCTGCTTCACCATCCAGATTGCCCACCAGGGTGAGGTGGCAGAGAGAGCGTCGCAGCACTTCGCCCGCTGCTTGCACCGTGCCCGGTTCAGCACCCTAAGAGAGGGATGGGGAAAGGGAGGGGAGAGGTTATGAGGTCCATCCCGAGCTCCTTCGCCTGGCTGGGTGAGGATGTCACCGGGCTTTCCCACCAGCGTGAGCTGGCAGCGAGACCTACTCAGCACCTCCCCTGTAGCCTGCACTGTGTGAGGCTTTGCACCTTGTTGGGAGCCAGGGAAGAGAACCGTCGCATTATGCCTTTCTTCTCTCGGCAGCACAGCTGACTGGATCATGTGTGTGGCAGGTCTGGGACAACTTTCAACCAACGGATCCAAATTCTAATCACTTCCTCGAGAGTGTCAAAACCAGAGCTGCGTTCATCCTCCCTTCTGCAGTTGGATACATCTGCACAAAGTTGTATGCCATTACCTAGCCTCAGATCCGGTAGATAATGGCACGCAACTTTGTACAGAAGTATCCAACTCCAGAAGGGAGGATAAACGCAGTTCTGGTTTTGACACTCTCAAGGAAGAGATTAGAACCTGGGCCCTTTGGGTGAAAGAGGTCCCAAACTTGCCACACACATGATTTAGTTAGTTGCGCTGCCAACCCTTCGCTGCTTCGCCTGGGTGAGGATGTCATCGAGCTTGCCCACCCCGATCAGCTGGCACAAGGAACGCTTGAGAACCTCCCCTGCTGCCAGCACTGTACAGGGCTCAGCGCCCTGAGAGAGTCAACGAGTTGAGGGAGGTGGATATGGAGGGTAAGGTTAGCTCCGGTGGGGTCTATCCTGAGCTGCTTCACCACGTTGCAGCACATTGAACCTCAACCCACCTCAGGCAACACCTCGTGCAACTGTGCTGCTATGGTCTTCTAAAGGATGCCGTGCTGGAAGAGCTTGGGGTTCATGCACAGGGGACTGTAGAGCATCACCGCACTGCACCGCAATACACAGGAGCTGTAACTAGCTTCACCAAATTGCACCGCATTGCACCTCAACTCACCTCTGGTAATGCCACGTGCGACTGTGCTGCTCTGGCCTTATCGAAGATGCTGTGCTGGAAGAGCTTGGGGTTCATGCACAGGGGGGGAGCACCTAGCCTCACTCATTGCACCGCCTGCCACTGCACTTAACCGCTTTGTACCATGGCTTTAGCAGCAAACCGCTTACCTCTGGTAAGACCACGTGGGACTGTGCTGCCCTGGCCTTCTCAAAGGTTCCGTGCTGGAAGAGCTTGGGGTTCATGCGCAGGGGAGGAGCACCTGGCCTCATGCATTCACCTTCTTTAACAGCACTACACCGCACAGCACCGCACTGAATAGCTATTGCATACCTCTGGCAACACCACGTGCGACTGTGCTGCCCTGGCCTTCTCAAAGATGCCGTGCTGGAAGAGCTTGGGGTTCATGCGCAGGGGAGGAGCACCTGGCCTCATGCATTCACCTTCTTTAACAGCACTACACCGCACAGCACCGCACTGAATAGCTATTGCATACCTCTGGCAACACCACGTGCGACTGTGCTGCCCTGGCCTTCTCAAAGATGCCGTGCTGGAAGAGCTTGGGGTTCATGCGCAGGGGGCGCTCCTTGAAGAGCACCTGGTTGAGCACCCTCATGTCCACGTGCTCGTGAAACATGACCTGATGGGACGGACATCAGGGAGAGAGACAGGGGGTACAGAGGAGTGCAGGGAAGAGCAGCATAATTGGCTTGTGGGGTTCATGTGCAGGGGGCGCCCTTTGAATAGGACCTGGTTGAACACCCTCATGTCCACATGCTCGTGGAACACGACCTGGAACACGACCAGGGGGAGAGGAGGGAGGAGACCGAGGGGGGAGAGGGGGGCGAACAGGAGAGAGCAGCAAGGTTGACTCATCCAGTTCACATGAAGAGGGGGGCGTGTGAATAGGACTTGGTGTGGTGCACTCCCAACTCAGCGAGCATGTGGAACACCGTTCAACCCGTCACGGCACCCGCCCCTCCCCTGCAAGGAACCATCCTGAGAAACTCACCTCAGCCCTCTCGATCCTCCTGGTTGACGTGGCATGCAGCTCCGAGTCTGCCTTAGCAAGCTCTGCCCTTGCGTCCCTGCGCCTCAGCAAGCACTCCTCACCATCCTCTCCTACGCTTTGTCTTCAGCAGCCCACCACCACGCCTACCCTTTTCCCCCACGCACTCACCCCCCCCCCTCTCCATCTCCCTGGTGGACGCCTACCCATGTGGTATGCAGCTCCGAGACTGCCTTGGCCAGCTCCAGACACGTGTCGGAGGTGGCTTTTGTGCCTAGCACCATGCATGCCTGCCCCTTTCCCTAGACGCACCTCTGCTCTCTCGATCTTTCTGGTCGAAGTAGCGTGGAGCTCCGAGTCTGCTTTAGCCAGCTCCAGACACGTGTCGTAGGTGGCTTTTGGAGCGAGCAGCACTGGCAGGGACACACGCGTGGGGCGGGTCTGGAGAGGCATGAAGGGAGAGAAAATACAGAGGAGAGAACGACACAGAGTGTTAGGGCATGTGGCATGCAGCAACGAGTATGCCTTGACCAGCTCAAGACATGTATCGAAGGTAGCTCTTGGAGCAAGCAGCACTGGCAGGGACACATGAATGGGGCGGGTCCGAGGAGGAGTGGGGGTGGGAACGGGGGGGGTACGGGGAGAGGAAATGCAGAGGGCAACACAGAGCGTTAGGGCAGGTTGCATGATATCCGGCCGGCTGGCATTCTCTGAGTCAACCAAGTCAACCCAAGTCAACCCAAGTCAACCCGAGTTACCCCCACTCACCTGGATGAGCTCGTCAACCTCAGCAGGGGGCGGAGCACCCCCCGTGAGCACCATAGCCGCCACCTGCGTGCTGAGGTGCGTCTCATGCAGATCGATCACCCCCAGCAGGATATCCAGCCTGCTGGCTGCATGCATAGCATTGAGTCAACCCAAGTCAACCCAAGTCGACCACACTCACCCGGATCAACTCATCGACTTCAGCAGGGGGAGGAGCGCCCCCTGTGAGCACCATAGCCACCACCTGCGTGCTCAGGTGCGTCTCATGCAGATCGATCAGTCAAACCTCAGCAGGCTCACATGCTCTGAGTGGACCCAAGTCAACCCAAGTCAACCCAAGTCAAGCCACTCACCCAGATCAACTCATCGACCTCAGCGGGCGGAGTAGCACCTCCCGTGAGCACCATGGCAGCCACCTGCGTGCTGAGGTGCGTCTCATGCAGATCGAACTTCCCCAGCAGGATATCCCCAAGAGCGCGCTATTCAACTCAACTCAACACACACACACCAGCATCAACAACTCACCCGGATCAACTCATCCACTTCAGCAGCGGGTGGCGCCCCCCCCATGAGCACCATAGCCGCCACCTGCGTGCTCAGGTGCGTCTCAAGCAGATCGATTCAACCCCCAGCAGGATATCCCCAAGGGCACGCTATTCAACTCAATACACACATGCCAGCAGGAAAAACTCACCCAAATCAACTCGTCAACCTCAGCAGGGGGTGGCGCCACCCCCGTGAGCACCATAGCCGCCACCTGCGTGCTCAGATGCGTCTCATGCAGATCGATCATCCCCAGGAGAATATCTGGCCGCTGGCTGCATGCATAGCATTGAGTCAATCAAATTCAACCCAAGTCAACCCAAGTCAACCACACTCACCCGGATCAGCTCATCGACTTCAGCGGGCGGAGGAGCTCCTCCTGTCAGCACCATAGCCGCCACCTGCGTGCTGAGGTGCGTCTCATGCAGATCGATCATCCCCAGGAGAATATCCGGCCGGCTGGCATGCGCTATAACGAGGGCGCCTCTAGCGGGGTCGTCGGAGGGCGGGATGAGCGTGAGGATCTCGGCCAGGTGCAGCGTTGCCACCATGGTCTTCGTGATCTCCGTGGCCATGCTGTTGGCTGCATGGGGGGTGTCGCCGCCATAGAGGACCTGAGCATGGAGCACTCTCCTCACGTCCTCCACCTGAGATCAGTAGAAAGAGAGGCAAGCATAGGGGCAGGGAGAAAGGGGGGAATGAGGGCCAGGAGCAGCGTGGCCACCATGGTCTTGGTGATCTCGGTGGCCATGCTGTTGGCTGCATGGGGGGTGTCCTCGCCATAGAGCACTTGAGCGGGTGTATTTTGAGTCGACTCAAAATACACCTCGCCATAGAGCACTTGAGCGTGCAGCACACCCCCTGAGCCTGCTGGTCCCCCACCCCCGCTGGCCTTTCAGCAAGATTCCGCCAAGGCCGTGAACACAGTGTGTAAGCAGAAAAAGCCAACGCACCTGGAAGGATTCGAGGGACTTGTCGGCAGGCAGCACTCCCAGGAACGGAATGCCGGCCTCAGAGATGTGCTCCCTGAGCCTGCTGGTTCCCCGGCTAGTCCTGGGCGTGCGGCAGAGCAGCGCCCCTGCAATCTTGGGCGTGCGGCAGAGCAGCGCCCCTGCAATCTTGGGCGTGCGGCAGAGCAGCGCCCCTGCAATCTTGGGCGTGCAGCAGAGACTTGATTTTTGCTAACTGCAAGGCCCAACAGCAAGCAGCGCACCTGGAAGGATTCGAGCGACTTGTCGGCGGGCAATGCTCCCAGGAATGGGATGCCGGCCTCAGTGATCTTCTCCCTGAGCCTGCTGGTCCCGCGGCTGGTCCTAGGCATGCGGTACAGCAGCGCTCCTGCGATGTCCACGCTGCTCTGCTTCATGATGCGCGCATGGTCCAGGATGCAGCTCGTGGCTTCCTTTTCAAAATCCCATGCTTCGAAATTGCCTCCAGCCTGGAGGGGACGGCAGGAGGGAGGGAGTGGAAGCGGACAGTGGGTAACGTGCTGTAGTAGAGAAGAGAAGAGAGAAGAGAGAAGAGTGAAGAGAGAAGAGAGAAGAGAGAAGAGAGGAGAGAAGAGAGAAGAGAGAAGAGAGAAGAGAGAAGAGAGAAGAGAGAAGAGAGAAGAGAGAAGAGAGAAGAGAGAAGAGAGAAGAGAGAGAAGAGAAGAGAGAAGAGAGAAGAGAGAAGAAGAAAGCCCTGGCGATGTCGACGCTGCTCTGCTTCATAATGCGCGCATGGTCCAAGATGCAGATCGTGGCCTCCTTTTCAAAGTCCCACGACTCGAAGTTGCCACCAGCCTGGAGGGGAAGGCGGGGGGGAGCACCAAAAGCAACCCGTTATAGTACAGCTTCAAATAAGTAAGTGTCATTCTGCTTCATGATGCGAGCATGGTCCAGGATGCAGCTCGTGGCCTCTTTCTCGAAATCCCAGGCCTCAAAGTTGCCGCCAGCCTGGTGATGGTGAAGAGAGGAGGGAGGGAGTGGAAGAGGATAAGAAGCACTCATTGGATAAGAGCCTCAGATAGGCGCTGCAATGTTGATGTGTTGCCCTGCTTCGTGATCCAGAATGCTTCGTGATGCGAGCATGGTCCAGAATGCAACATGCAACTCGTGGCCTTTTTCAGAGTCCCACAATCATGGGCGGGTTGAAGCACAGACCGGCAACAGCAAAGCCCGGGACTTGACTATCGACACAATGAGCCATCCCTTAGGGTGAAAGGTGTTAAGGGTGCTGCCTTTACCCCGTAGTGCTTGGGGTGGTGGTACGACGCAGCAAGGCAGTTAGTCAGCAGCAGAGCCGGGGGGACTCGAGCGCCGATTTTATCAATCAGCCAGTTATGCTTCATAGAGTGGATGGACAGGGTGACGGCACAGAGGGTGTCAGTCAGTAAGGAGGGTGTCTGGGTTGGGGGCGCCTTCACCTCGTGGTGCTTGGGGTGGTGGTGCGAGGCAGCGATGCAGTCAGTCAGCAGCAGAGCCGGGGGGACTCGAGCGCCAATTTAATCAATCAGCCAGTTTTGCTTCATAGAGTGGATGGACAGGGTGACGGCACAGAGGGTGTCAGTCAGTAAGGAGGGTGTCTGGGTTGGGGGCGCCTTCACCTCGTGGTGCTTGGGGTGGTGGTGCGAGGCAGCGATGCAGTCAGTCAGCAGCAGAGCCGGGGGGACTCGAGCGCCAATTTAATCAATCAGCCAGTTATGCTTCATAGAGTGGATGGACAGGGTGACGGCACAGAGGGTGTCAGTCAGTAAGGAGGGTGTCTGGGTTGGGGGCGCCTTCACCTCGTGGTGCTTGGGGTGGTGGTGCGAGGCAGCGATGCAGTCAGTCAGCAGCAGAGCCGGGGGGACTCGAGCGCCAATTTAATCAATCAGCCAGTTATGCTTCATAGAGTGGATGGACAGGGTGACGGCACGGAGGGTGTCAGTCAGTTAGGAAGCTGTCTGGGTTTGGGGCGCCTTCACCTCGTGGTGCTTGGGGTGGTGGTGCGAGGCGGCGATGCAGTCAGTCAGCAGCAGAGCTGGGGGGACTCGAGCGCCGACGCAATGAGTCCGTTGATGGGGGAGGTGTTGGACCCATCCCGCATGGACGTGTTAAACCCATCCCTCATGGGATGGATGCTATTTAGAAGGGTGACAGAGAGGAGGGTGCTTCCGGCGCTGCTGCTTTTACCTCGTGGTGCTTGGGGTGGTGGTGCGAGGCGGCAATGCAGTCAGTCAGCAGCAGAGCCGGGGACTCCAGGGCCGACGCAATGAGTCCGTTGATGGGGGAGGTGTTGGACCCATCCCGCATGGACGTGCCCTCGATCACCACAAAGTCGTGATACCGCTTGTGGCGCTCGTATGCTGGGAAGACGGGAGCGCATGGGGAGGGGAGTGGGGGGGCGGGGTTGGGATCCACAGAAACAGAACATGCGAGATGTTGGAGCCATCCCGCATGGACGTGCCCTCGATCACCACAAAGTCGTGTTACCGCCTGAGCCGCTCGTACACAGGGAAGGGGTGTGCGGGGGGGGGGGGGGGAGAGGGCAAGAGAGAAGGGGAGTCCGAAAGCGAGGAGGGAGGGGGCGAGGGGTGGTGGAGATCTTGTGACAGTGTACGTGCGGTCCTGAGTGGATAGACTTGTGCGTCCAATTATTCGCTCTTCATCCATGCCAGGTTTCATCACCCCGCACCAATGAAACCGCGAGTAATGAGACGACTTCTGAGGCGCCTGTTAAATCCGGAGTGGATTGACTTGTGCGCCCAGCTGTTCGCTCTTCATCCACACCAGGTTTCATCACTCAGCACCCACCTGAGATGACAGCTCCCAGCAGGTCGTCAATCTTATCTGCAGCCAGCACCGAGAACGCCTGGTCCTGGGTGAGCGCGAATATCTGGTGCCAACCATTCAGCACCGCAATCCACCGCTCAGCACCCACCTGAGATGACAGCCTCCAGCAGGTCGTCGATCTTATCGGCGGCCAGCAGCGAGTACGCCTGGTCCTGGGTGGGCGCAAACGTGTTCTCTGGCTAGGGGTGTGGTGATGTCTACTAGAAGTTGTTTCTGAGCCGATCCTAGTCCCAAAGATGCCGACTGCAACCCACCCGAGTACCCACCTGAGATGACAGCCTCCAGCAGGTCGTCGATCTTATCAGCGGCCAGCAGCGAGTACGCCTGGTCCTGGGTGAGCGCAAACATGTCCTCCGGAGGCGTCTTGATGTGGAACACCTTCTTCATCAGGTCCACGCGGTTACCACCGTGCGACGTCTGATCGATGGGGCGGAAATAACCCACACCTGGACGCAGCACCTGGAAAAGAAAAGGGGGAGAGAAGGAGGAGGTGGGGAAAATGCCTTTTGAGCCAATCGAGTCGATCTGCGCTGGAACCAGACATGTCCTCTGGGGGTGTCTCGATCGGTCGGAAAATAGCCCACGCCCGGACGCAGCAACTGTTCGAAAGGGAAGGGAAAAGGTGTAATTTGAGCCTTCTCCAAGAACATGTCCTCTGGGGGCGTCTTGATGTGGAACACCTTCTTTGCGCGGTCCACGCGGTTACCGCCCTGCGGCTCCTGGTCAATGGGGCGAAAAGAGCCAGTTTCCAAACACCTAATCCAGCATGGTCATAGATTGGTCACCAGGGCGACGAATTGTAACAATTTCAGAATGCTTAAAGCTTTTCGCCGAAGCTCACCTGCAGCGCGTGGATAAGGCCGACGCTGAGAGCAGCGGAGTTGACCTGCCTCCCGACGCTGGTGTGCGGCAGAGAGCGTCGCACGGGGCAAGCACGAGACAAGCGTCGCACACCAGCCAGTTGTTGACAGTCACGCCAGGCGTCGCAGACAGCACAGCAGGCGTCGCAGACAGCACAGCAGGCGTCGCAGACAGCACAGCAGGCGTCGCAGACAGCATAGCAGGCGTCGCAGACAGCACAGCAGGCGTCGCAGACAGCACAGCAGGCGTCGCAGACAGCACAGCAGGAGCACAGCAGGCGTCGCAGACAGCACAGCAGGCGTCGCAAACAGCACAGCAGGCGTCGCAGACAGCACAGCAGGCGTCGCAGACGTGACACAGCACACAGTGGATCACAAAACACATCACCATAGGCAAGACACGCCACATTGGCGATCCCCGACCACATTTATTCAACGGAGGAGGGGAGAAGTTGGACAGAGACAGAGGAAGAAAAAGAGTTTGTCAATGCTTCGTGGAATGAAACGGAGATGCATGAATTAGGACGGTCTAAGGCCTGGCCCTGGCGAATTTCAAGATGGCACCACATTCCAGTAATCCCTATGTTTTCTCGTTGGCGACGGTAGTAATCACCTTCAAGCTCATTTTGCTTTGCTTCAACAAAATGCAGACAACTGACGAGAAAGCTTACCAACTAAATTTGAGGCGTACACCGAGTCCAACTAGGCAACGCGATGCGAGGCCGAAATGGGATGAACCGCGCGTAATTTAGGTTTTTTTTCCTGATCGAGTAAAACTAAAACAAAAGAGACGAGAAACACGTACTCGGAGTGGTGGAGGTAGATGCTCCCTTCAAAGCCGCCGGCTTTCCTCGCGGCCTGCTCCTGCTGGCGAGCTGCGGAGCCGCTGATAGGCCTCCTGAAAGCACCCGATGCGACTAAATCGCTCGCCTTCTGTCGCACATGCGACGGGTCCAGCAAGTGACCCGGTTCTGCTACCGCCACCTCCGGCGCGACTTGCGCGGAGCATCCGCGGGTTATCGGATTCCAGCCACGTCCATGGCTAGTGGAGTAGGGTCGGCTCGAGCGTTGCTTCGCTCCGTGCTCGAGAGCCTTTTTTCCGAGAAACCGCAACATGGTTCCAGCTCACTTCAGCTCACGCCGGAAACAGAACGTTCCGCGGTTTAGCGTTTCGTCCACCGCCGAGCGAGCCTTGCGATCCAAAATAAGGTTCTCGAAAATCTGACAAGGCGACACGAAAGCCGCCTAGAGATAAAGGCGTGGCTCTAGCGAAACTGCTAAGAGTCACGTACGAGCTGGTGGAAATGGTAAGAGTGTGTGGTGGAGCTGTAATAGTGAAACGGTTGGTGTATCTTGGCCTTGGAAATGCCTGGTGGATGGTTGTGGTGCGGAGAATCCAGGAATGGGGGGGAAATTGGTTCCGTAGTTCCGCTTCGTCCGCCAGCTCGGCGGGAGTAGCATTGGTTGGTTGAGAGATTCCCGAGAGGCAGAGAGCCAGAGGCCGGAGGGGGGAACGCGGAGCATAAGGCGGAAATAGTGTTGCGCTGCGCGGCAGTGGGAATTGGTCAGAGAACATGCGGAGGGTGAACAGAAAGTCTGTGCGAGCTCCATGGCAACACCTGGCAGAACAGACCTGCCACGCTCTTCCCGCGTGTGTCGAGCTGGAAATCCCGATGTGTCGACGATCCCCGAAAATTGGGCTGCCTTCTGGGCATCAGAAAGATCCCTTATGCTGGCGTGGCACACACTGACCTCCCTGGACTTTTGGACAACATCAGGTTGACTTGAGTGGCGAGGCATGGTCATTGCTGTATGCACATTGAAACAGGCGATCCATATCACTGAATAACAAGGAAAAGTGAGGCTTAAATATTCAAAATTGTTATTGGCCACACATGTGTCAGCACCTTTGTTTCATTGAGTCAATCAGTTGGTTCACTAGGCGGCTGCAGGTTGTTAGCTGAGTCTGCATATCATCCATCAAGGGCAAGCCAAGCTTGGAATCCACACATCCCAAAACCGCCTCCAAGATGCCATTTGCTTCCGCTATCTTTTGTGGCAGCACTGCCAGCTCAGCATCCTGCCCCGTCTCCATTCGCACATCTTGTAAATTGTTTCCTTCCACGCCATCCAGGTCAATACAATGAGTATTTCCCTTCACAGGTGGCTCCAAAGCCTTGGGCAGTTTCTCTTGAGCTCCTTGCTCCAGCCTTTGAGCATCCATCCGTAGAGAATCAATGTGAGTTGCCAAGATTTCATGCTGCTGCTGCTGGTGGCGGAAAAGTTCATTCAACTGCTGCTCAGCTTCTTCAGGAGTCCACCCGGGCTTCATCAGCTCGTTCACCACAGTGCCAGATCCAGGCTGTGGCAGGACTTTCCTGATGAAGGTGTACTTTCTGGTTTCCATGCCTGTTGTTGAGTGGCAGGCTGCAATTGCTCCATGCAGGGTAGAGAGAGATGAGTATGATGCGGGAAGATGGTGAGCGGAGAGCAGAGCATGAAGCAGCTCCAACGCAACTGGCTTGTGGATCATCTCCTGCTGAGTCCGAGGGCTTGCAAAGAGCTGGGAAAGCAGCACGGCAGCAGCAGAAGCCATGTCTTCCATCACCATTCTTGCCCCACTCGATGACTCCCGCCCAGATCCACTTTCTTGGGAATGTACTCGTTGAATCGCATGCAGCATGGCATGGAGGACGGGTTCCACGTCACTCACACTGATGCCATCTGAAGTTCTGCTCATAGCAGCAAGCAACCTGGCGGATCTTGCAAGCAGTGGCTGCTGTGTTGCACCATTGAGCTTCTCCTTGGTACAGCCATCCAAATCAATCATGGGAGCGTTTAAATAAGGGCTGCTGCTCTGGTTCCCTCTGGAGCCACTGACTTGACCATGCCTGCTGCTTCCAATCAGGAGTGCACCATCGATCATATTAGATGAAACACGCAGAGGTGCAGCGTCTGCAGCCAGCTTGAGCAGGTCCTTCGTATTTGGAAAGACAGAAGGAAGCCCGCTAGTGCCACTCGTAGCAGATTCGGCCCTGAAACCAGGTAGAGACACCATGAGCACAAAGCACACAAAGAAAATGGAGAGAAAAAAATGATATGCTGGGAATATTACCTCCCACGGAGCACAGCAGTGATGCTCGTCAGCATGCTTCCAAGCAGAGCCGCCTGCTCCCATGAAAACTCCTGGGACCCACAAGCCATGAGATTGGCAGTGGCTGCCCGTGCTGCGCCAAAGCACGCACGAGCGACTGGGAGGAGAGCAGCAGACTGGCGTTTGTTTATCCCTGCTGCCATTCCTCGATCCAGAAGTAGAGAGAAAGCCAGGACAGAGGCGACTTCCTGGCCGATAGACTTCGGAGGCCCGGGCATGGAAGTGTGGCTGTGTTTTGACGTTTCACTTGCAGTTCCTGCTGAGGCTGAAAACCTTGAGAAAGATGAGTTGATGTGCCGGACAAAGGCCTTCAAGAATACGTCAGATACAACGGCATCAGGGCATGCCATGAGAACATCAACGGCTGCTGTGGCTAGCCGCTCCTCCAACCCGGTCACAAGGCCCAAAAGCACTCCTGCAGCGTTGTTTCCTCTCAGATTGTTGGACCGAAGCATGGATGAATTCTTCACGGCAGTTTGAAGAGACGCCTGAAGAGATAGAAGCAGCAGCTCTGCATGCCTTCTTGCAATCTGAGGGTCTGCATGTCGAATAAGAAAGCACCACGTGTCCCGAGCAAGCTCTGAACAGATGGGATGCGGGTGCACTGCATTCTGAAAGAGGAAGGCCTCAATCTCCTCCCAAAGCGGCAAAGATCCCAAATTCTTCTGTTCCACATCCATGGAAGCGGGCTGACAGGAACTGGTAACTCTGGCACCAAGGACAGACACAAAGACCTTGAGCCCATGGGTTAGTTGTGAAAACAACAAAACCTGCCTCGTTGCCCTTGCTGCTGTTGCTGCTGCTGCCCCCCCCTTGTCTGTCCCTTCCTTCCGCTGGTTTGGAAATGGCCAGATGGCTTGGGAAAGCAGTGGGGCGTACGAATGCTGGCCTGCTGCAAGATTATTGAGACTACCCAGGTTATTGGTCAACAGACTCAGCATTTGATCACTGTATGAAGCGGCGCCTTCAAGGACTGTGGTGGCAGCCACTAGCCTCCCACAAGCCTGCCACTCAGCCATTTCTAAGCTGTGCTGCTCCAGAGCAATCAGATTGGTACGTGTTGTTGAACCCTCAGAGCTGCCTGCAGATGAAACCACCCTCCAGATCATATTCGGCTGCGGTCCTCTGGATACAGCTGCAGGGATAATGTGAAGCACAAGGTTGGACTTGGCAGCCTCTGACACCTTCTCCGAAGTAAGGATGTTGTGAACAAGCCCAAACATTGTAGGACCCAGCATCTGAGCCATGGCTTCTGCAACCAAAAACGGAACCGGCCACTTCAAACCGCTCCCCTTCTGTACACTGCCTTCTGCAGACCTCCCATGTCGGTCACTGAAGTGAAGGAGACCAGCGTATGCGAACAGCAGGCCGACCATGTCTTCTGCAGCAGCTGGATCACACGCTTCTACTGGGTAGAGCAGTGCCACGCGAATCGCGTTATTCTGGAAAAACTTCGTCAGCATGAAGATTCGCTGAAGGTTCTTACAGAGCTTTTCCACCTCTGCTTTGTAAGCCACATCTCCTTCTGACCCCTTGTCAACCTCCCCAACACAGGTCTCCTCAAAAGCTCCCTTCTCCTTCCTGCTTGCATGCGTCCCATGCTTGGCATCAAAATCTTCCAGCACCTGCCTTCCAGCCTCTGCTCCCAATACCAAACCGCGTGCAGTATGCTGGAACAGCATGCTGATTGCCCGCACAACATCTTCACGGCTCCATGGAGGCAAATCCACCTCATCGATTTCACCAGGTCCACTGTCGTAGTTACTTTCGTGCTTGGGAGGCTGTTGCTGCACTGTACGTGAAGGTGGAGCAGGAGATATTCGGGCCATAGTCGCAAGAATAGACACAACTGTCTTCCAGGCCAGGTTGATCGTAGCATAGTGAGAGCCCATACGCGCTGTAACGGATCCAACCGCTTCAAAGCTTCGAAAAAGAAGAGCAACCAGGCGGTTAAAATCTTCACTGACTGCCTTGCTGTGATGGTCCATGTCAGTATCTTCATCAGCTTCGTTGGGTGACTCCGAATCCCAGTGACTGTGTCTCTTGTGAGTAACTGACTCCAGATGTTTCAATGCAGACGAACTGACGTTGTGGAAGGCACCGAGCACATCGATCAAGGGTCTCTTAAAAGCTTCTTGCCACCGAGCTGGGAATGGCTGGGAACACAAAGAAAACTAAGTCAGAATGCAGATCCTACACTTAGTGATCAGAAATTCTAACGAGGGTCATGGTAATACCTTGGTGGAGAAAAATGATGAAGTCATCATTCTGAACGATTCCTTAATCAGATGGCCGATTTCTCTGACTGGAAGTAGCGGTTGTGATTCCATCAGACTTAAGAGAGCTCCCGCGGACAAGGAAATCAGTCTCATAGCCTGAAAACAGAAAGTCCAACTGTCTGTGAAGGTCACTAAGAATACAAAGCGGAGATAAAGTCAAGCATACAAAGAATACCTGTTCCGTAAGGTTTTGAATGCTTGAGATATTTGAAGTCACGCCTTCAAAGTGGTCCTCCAGGATTGACGAAACGTGCCTGCAAGCCTGAACCGAAAATAGATATAAGCATATTCTCGTTTCCGAACGGAAGTTTATGATGAAAACCCATTTGAACGGACCTCGGTGGTTAATTGCCAGAAGCAAAGCATGCAATCCACCGACGGTTTTTCCATGGCTGCAGCGTGGTACGCCGTTTCAAGGCATAATGCCCTCCAAATAGAACCCGCGAGCAGGTCTGAAGTTTCATTTGCATCCTCTTCGATATCCGATGGTGATTGCCAGCAATCCTGCGTAGAATACGAATAAGGTGAGCTTGGCAGGCCAGGAATCCATTTCAAGAGCAAAATATGACCATTACCGACCAGTAATCCTTGAAGGATTTGAGTACGCGATGATAGTCGCTTGTTGCCGCTAACAGACGCGAGGATTGCTTTAAGGAGCTGTTCTCTCCCCGATACGGCCTGACCTAACACATGCGACAGGATAAGCGTTCTTACAATGCAACTGATGCGAAGCAGAGAAAAGAACGAATAAAACGGTAACATTAGCGCTTGCCTCGCCAGGAAGCCGCTGAATGAACTCAAAAATCTGCTCGTCATCAGGATCACAAACAGCGTCCGTCTCGTCTTCGCCTAGATCTTTCTGTGAGCTCGCCGACATGGCTGGCGAAACGCGTCAGCCAGCAATGCGAGAAACACCAACTTCAAGCCTTGGTAGTAAGATACTGACTGTTACGCGTACGATGGACAACTAATTCGCTGTCAGCAATGTACCCGAGGTCCGCGGAAGAAACTATACCACATATGTGTTCTGCCTGATTGTGCTGCTTCTGTGCAGCGTGACAGTGACGGAAGATGTGACTTCACAGATTTGGACAAAGAATCTTGCTAAGGGCGCGGTGCTTTGGGTTCGGAAAAAGCCGAAAGCTCGAACTTTTGAAGGGGTTGCACAAGATTTTTTGTGTTTTTAAAACGTTTAAGTACGTTATAGTATGGTTAAAATTCGAATTTTTGCATTTTCCGCCTAAAGCACCGCGCCCTAACAACCCAACCAGCATCACAGCGAACAGAATCCCCACAAACAATTACACAATTTGTCCCCAATATCTACATCGCAACACCGCACAGCGAGTACACATTGTGCGAACTAGTCTGCGATTTCACTGGGTGTAACGGACATTCAGTTCGCGATTCGCCAAACGAGTTTTTTTCAAACATTTGAACATTTAGGTGAACCAGAGGGGACTGACGTGGCGATTTTCAGCTCCAGCCTGACACCATCCCTGACATCGCTACTTCAACAAGGAACCGCCTTTTTACACGGCTGGCATTCTAGATATATTTCCTGGAACTGTAATAGCAGATGTTTATTCTTTTAGCGTCAACCACCCGGCGGTCCTCTCAGTCATGCTTTCCGACGAAGGAGCTGTGGCAAGCACTTGTCTCGAGCGAGTCGATTCCGGTGCTCAGGTCACCTGAGCTGCACCATCGACCGATCATTAGGCAGTTGGCGCATGGCGTTGACGCACGTACAACCGAATTGCGTCGTATGTAGCTCGTGGTTCCTGAGTTCGGATCCCTAGTAGCGTGGCCACTTCACCAGGACTCTCTTTCCTCAGCTGGCAGGTCACTGCTGCCAGTTTGTGAGGCGCCTCAAAAACAGCTAGCCGAATCATCCGCTGATACTACTAAGTCTCCCCTTCACCCGCAATGAGCGGTGAGGGGAAACAGCGACCTGTCCGCACCACGCGGCTGCGCGAAACCTCCCTCAAGAGCATTTTCCTCCGCACGCGGACCCAGCCGCTGGGTGGGCCCACTACTGCTATTACTAGTAGGCCGTACGGCGATAGTATCGCCCCTTCCACCGACCCTGCTCAGGTCAAAGCCACCGAGGCTTTCCCGGATGCCTCCGACACAGGAGTGCTGGTAACAGATCATGTAACCGTTACATCACCAGATGCATCTGTAGCAGCGCCTGACGGACTGGAATCACCAACAGATACACCACCGATGACGGCAGACGCGGCTGCTCTGATGGCGTCAGACGCTGCTCTGGCAGTTTCTAATTCACGAGGTGTGCGAGAAGACGGCAACATACTTGCAACGTCCACAGCAGCTCCTGGTTTAGTTACAGCATCAGCTTCTGGCGAAACAAGGCTTACTGACCAGGGTGTAGCAAGTACGGGAGGAAACACTGTGCAGGTTGTTCCACTGGAGGCTGAGGGAAGCAAGGAGAAGGCAGTGGCAGAGGGGGGTGCGTCCGTTGCATCGACAGCAAAGAATGGTGAGGCTATCTGTACAAGGCTTCAGACGTTGGAATCAGAGAAGCCCAGTGCTTTCAAAACATTGTGCACTGTGGCAGGCCTCACTTCTGCCTTCCACTCCCCTACGCAATCCCCTCTGCAGACTTCTTCCTGCCCGTGTCAGAGAGGAGAAACGTTGTGCCATTAGCAGAGGAGAAACATTGTGCCCTGTGCATTCGAAACATTGTGCACTGTGACGCGCCTGACTTCTGCCTTCCATTTCCCTACGCAATCCCCTCTGCAGACTTCTTCCTGCCCGTGTCAGAGAGGAGGAAGCGCAAGCAAGCTGAGAAGCTAGCGCACAAGCTAGTCCAGCAGAAACAGCAGCAGCAGGAGGGGGAACCGATGCAGCAGCAGCAGGAGCAGAGGGTGGGTGAGGTAAAACGTAAGCCAGGCAGACCAAGAAAGGGAGAGAAGCAGCTGGAGGTGGTTATGGGGTCTGGAAAACCACAGGAGGGGGAGCAGATGCTGTTGCAGCAGCAACAGCAGCAGCAGCGGGTGGGTGATGTAAAACGTATGCGGGGTAGACCAAGGAAAGGAGAGAAGCAACAGGGGGGGGCTGTGGGATCTGGGGTGGTAGCAGGAGCACAGGCTGATGCTGCTGTGGCTGTTGAGGTTTCAACCATCCCTTTGGCTGACGTGTCACTCACCCCTTTAGCTGACGTGCCAGTCACCCCGTCCGCGGACATGGCAGTCGCCCCTTCAGTCGATGTAACAGCCGCCCATTCAACGGTCGCCGTCGTCCCTTCGACATCCTGCGTGGGTTCGCCCATGGGCGTTGGTGTCGGGAGGAAGCGTGTGTGTGCTATGGAGGAGGACGGGGAGCACGTGCGAGATCAGGTGCAAACGGGGAGTGAAGGGGTCGAAGGGAGTGAAGCAGGAAAGGGAAGAAAGGTGAAGGGTAAGCGTGTGTGTGCTATGGAGGAGGACGGGGAGCACGTGCGAGATCAGGTACAACCAGGGAGTGAAACGGCAAAGGAAAAAGAGCAAAAGGAGGTGGCGGAGGAGGATGGGGAGTCCAAGCGAGATCCGGTGCAAAGGGAGAGAGAAGCGGCAAAGGAAAAAGAGCAAAAGGAGGTGGTGAAGGAGGATGGGGAGCACATGCGAGATCCGGTGACGAGAGAGAGTGAAGCGGCAAAGGGAAGAGAGCAAAAGGAGGTGGTGGAGGAGGAGAAAGTGGAGGCCTTTGGGGAGGAGAGGGTGGAGGCGAACGGGGCTGAGATTGGGCCGTGTGGCAAGGGGGAAGAAGAGAGTGCGGATGCTGCTGCGACTTCTGGGTCTCCTGCTGCAGAGAAGGCACCCGGGACTGCTGATGCTGCTGTCAATGAGGCCGTTGCTGCTACCACTGCAAGTGAGCCTGTTGCTCCAGCCGCTGTTGCTGCTGCTGACACCCTGTCGCATGCTGCTGCGGCTTCTGGGTCTCCTGTTGCAGAGCAGGCACCCGGGACTGCTGAAGCTGCTGCTGTCACTGACGCCGCAGAAGCGGTGAAGGGAAGAGAGCAGAGGGAGAGAGTGGAGGTGATTGGGGCTGATACTGGGCTAAATGGCAAGGGGGACAACGAGAATGAGGGTGCTGCTGCGGCTTCTGGGTCTCTTGGTGCAGAGCAGGCTTCTGGGACTGCTGATTCTGCTGCTTTCACTCAAGCTGTTGCTGCTACAGTTGCAAATGAGCCTGCTGCTGCTGCTGCTGCTGCTGCTGCTGCTGCTGCTGCTGCTGCTGCTGCTGCTGACACCTTATCGCGTGCGAAGGCGCAGACACCTGCAGCAGCAGAGGCACTGGGCCAAGTGGGGTCCTCACGCTTTGGTAACTCCCCCAGCTCGTTCGAGCTCCCCTGGTGTTGAAAGCAGCCCTTTCGGACTCTCAAATATCGCTCTTTTCAGGCAGAAGGGAATCTCAGGGCGAGAACGCGGCCCTTTCTGGATTGTTATGGAATCTCAGGCATCAGCGTTCTCGCTCTTGAACGATTCTCGATCCACTCCCTCTGCGTGTGCCTACTCCCATTGCCGTCCCCCCCCTGGATTCCTTCCCAGGACGAAGGCTGAAGCAGAGGAGTTTCTTCGCGCCCCAGCCTGTGCAGGAGCGCCCAACGAGGCACAAAACACTCGCTGACTCGACTCAAAAGCTCACGTGTGTGCCTACCTAATCCCCTCTCCCGTTTCTCCCCCCCCCCCCACCTCTCCCCCCGGACTCCATGCCAGGCCGAAGGTTGAAGCAGAGGAGTCTCTTCGAGCCTCTGCCTGTGCAAGAGCGCCCAAAGAGGCGCAGAAAGCTTGCTGGAGCGACTCAAGAGCCTGGGCATGGGAAATTGTCAAAAGCGGCGAACCGAGAATGCGCGTTGGAAGCCAATTTTCAAGGGAAGAAACGGCTGCAGCAGATGATGCTAGGGGCTCGTTTAGTGCATGGTGCTGGTGACACAGAGGCCGTAGCAGCAGCGGCACCGGTGCGCAGGTGTGATACAGACGAAGTTGGTAATGCTGGTGGGGGGGTGTGCGAGCGGGGCACAAAGGAAGGTGATAGCAATGGAGAGGAAGCAGTTGAGCGAGGTACAAATGAAGGTGATTATAGTGGTGAGGAGGTGGATTTGACAGCATCAGGCGATGAAGCTGAGGTGGGGGAGGAAGAAGGAAGAGTTGAGGTTGGGGGAATGGGGATGGGGGCGGGGATGGGGGGGGAGACAAGAGACGGAGCATTGGAAGGAGAGGGGAGGAAGGAAGGGGAGGAGGGGAAGGAAGAGGAGGAGGGGAAGGAAGGGGAGGAGGGGAAGGAAGGGGAGGAAACTGATGATGATGTGGAAGTAGTGGAGGAGGAAGAGGGGGAAGAGGAAGAGTACAAGGAGGAAGAGGAGGAGGAGGAAGAGGTGGAAGAGGAGGAGGAGGACGGAGAGGAGGAGGAAGAGGAGGAGATGGAGGCAAAGGTGGAGCGGGAGAAGGCGCGGATGCGAGAAGAGGCAGCCAAGGCAGCACAGGTGAGCCTTGGTCCTATGTCTTCCTTACTTGGACTTAGACAGTGGGTTGTGCGAGGAGGAAGAGGAGGAGATGGAGGCAAAGGTGGAGCTGGAGAAGGCGCGGATGCGAGAAGAGGGAGCCAAGGCAGCACAGGTGAGCCTTGGTCCTATGTCTTCCTTACTTGGACGTGGGTTGTGCGAGGAGGAAGAGGAGGAGATGGTGGCAAATGTGGAGCTGGAGAAGGCGCGGATGCGAGAAATGGCAGCCAAGGCAGCACAGGTGAGCCTTGGTCCTTTGTCTTCCTTACTTGGACTTAGACAGTGGGTTGTGCGAGGAGGAAGAGGAGGAGATGGCGGCAAAGGTGGAGCTGGAGAAGGCGCGGATGCGGGAAGAGGCAGCCAAGGCAGCACAGGTGAGCCTTGGTCCTATGTCTTCTGATCCTCCTCCTTTCTCCCCAGGCAACTCCTCCTTTCTCCCCAGGCAACGCCAGCCAAAGCCAGCCCGTGCTACCGCTGCTGCAAGTGAGGCTGCTAATAACCCATCCCCTTGTTCCACTACGTCCCATTTCCCCTAACCCCCACCCCCCTTCAGCTCTTTGCCAAGACCACTGCTGGTCGCCCACTGCACTCCTTCTTCCTCCCCAGGCAACGCCACCCAAAGCCATCCCCTGCCACTGCTGCTGCTGCTGCTGCTGACGAGGCTGCTAATAACGGGAGCGGCTCTGGTGCTGGTGCTGGTGCTGGGGCAGCAGTTGCGGCAGGGGTAGTAGACTTGTCAACAGGGGAGGAGGTGGAGGAGGTGGAGGGGGTGGGATGTGGAAAGGGAGGGGTGGAAGGGAGGAGGAGAGGAAGTGGAAGAGGGAGAGCAGTAGTGAGAGGGAGAGGAGGACTGGGCGGGAGAGGGAGAGGAAGAGGTAAGGGAGGTGGACAAGTGCGAGACGCAGGAAGAGGAGGAGGGGTGAGAGGCAGGGGGAGAGGGGTGGGTAGAGGGAGAGGGAAGGGGAGAGGGAGAGGTAGAGGTAGAAGGGGGACCAAATCAGGGGGTTATTCGGATGAGGAAGAGGAGGATGAGGGGGAGGAGGAAGATACGGACGAGGAGGAAGTAGAGGAGATTGGAGAGGAAGGACGGGGGAGAAAGCGTCACAGGGGCAGGAGAGCAGCCGAGAAGAGGGGGGGGAGGCAGATTGAAAAGGACGAGAGCCGGAGAGATGAAATCCGGATTGATCAGGAGAAGCAGGAGAAGCAGGAGAAGCAGGAGGAGCAGGAGAAGCAGGAGGCAGGAGGGGAGAGGGAAAAGAGGGAGGCAGAGGACGGGGTGGCGGTGAAGCGGCCAAGGGGGGAGTGGTACCAGGCGTGGAAGCAGCGGGCTGGCAGGGGAGGGGTTGCTAGCTGGGCTGGGGGTCCTGTTGACGATCTGCAGGGTGTTGTTGATGGTTCAAGGGGTGTTGCTGGCCCAGGGGGACTTGCTGGTGGAAGCAAAGATCTTCCTTGTGCCATTGGGGGGGTTACTAGCAGGGGAGGGCCTGCATGGGTAGGCGGTGGAAAGGCCGGCGGTGAAGGGTTCTTTGCTGCACGAGTGGTCAGGTTTTCGAGTCGGAAGGCCCCCTTGCTGCCGTTGAATCCCTTTCATGTGACCCAAGCGGTGGTGGGGGAGGGAAAGGAGGAGGCACAGCAGCAGCAGCAGCAGGATCCGTGCTCTGCGACCCTCTCTTGTTTCATTGGAGCATCACTTGTCTTCTCTTCTCGTTCGCAAGCAGGCGCTCTCCACTGCAGTCCCCCATCGCCCTCCAAGTCCGCTCCTCTCCTTTCCTTCTCCACCCCTCTCTCTCCCCCCAATTCCTCCCCTCCCTTGCCACCTCTCCCTCCCCGCCCCTCCCTTGGCCAAGTGCTGTTCGGTCGCCGTGCGGCTGAGGTGTATGGGGGGATGCTTCAAGCAGGGGAGGAGATACGGGGGAGGGAGTTAGGGGAGAAGAGTGGAGTGGGGGAGATGTTAGAGGGTGGAACAGGCGGTGGAAAGGCCGGTGCTGGGTGCTCAGCAGCAGGGGATGCAGCAGTGCATACGAATGTAGCAGTTGATACGGTTGATAGGGCAGTCGATACAGCATTTGATAGAGCAGTCGATACAGCATTTGATAGAGCAGTCGATACATCAGCGAATGAGACAGCAAGGGAGACATCAGGGGAAAGAGTGTCAGCAGCAGACGTTGCAAGGGGCACAGAAGCAGCAGCTGAGACATCTGGAACGGAGGGTTCTGGAGCAGGCTTGACAGCTGGAGCAAACGGAGGATCACGAGCAGCAGCTGCGTCAGGAGCAGGTGTACCAGCAGCAGCAGCAGCAGTGGCAGCAGCGGCAGCCTCAGCGACTGACCTCTGGTCGCGCCATTACCAACCAAAGAGTCCCGCAGAGGTGAGGCAAAGAGAAATGACAGTCAGAGAGAAATGGCAGGCAGGGAGAGGAATGACGCTGGGTCTTGGGCCTTACTACAATGAGCTTGGCTGGCCTCTTCCAGGGTTCCTCTGCTAGCTGTTCCTTCGTAGCCGTCATCCCAAGTCACAGCATCACTCCCCTGCCAGAGCTTGGTTGGACTCTTCCAGTGTTTTTCTGAGTCGACTGAAAAATTCTCTGCTTGCCGTTTCTTCCGAACCGTTAGTTGTTGAGTGACGCTGCTAGCTGAGCCGTTATCCCTCCACCTCTCTGATCTGGCTCCTGCCCTTCTTCGCGCCTCGCGTTTCCTTTTTTTTTTCTCTCATTGTCAGATGCGTGGTAACGAGACTGCATGTGACAAAAGCTTTCACGCCGACTCAAAAGCCTTCTATGCCTCTTGCGTGCTTTTTTCATTTTGACCCCCTTCCCTTCTCCTTGCCAGATTTGCGGTAACGAGGCTGCTGTTAACGAGTTGCTCCAGTGGCTGAAGCAGTGGCAGGGCCGCCTTGGATTCACACCCGTCTGTGATGCTGCTGCTGCTGCTGCTGCTGCTGCTGCTGCTGCTGCTGCTGCTTGTGGTGATGCTGCGGCTGCTGCTGCAGATGCAGATGCAATTGCTTCTTCTGGCAATGCTGCTGCTGCCAATGCCGTCGCTGCTGCTGCTCCTGCTGCTGCTGCAGGTGCTTGTGACACTGCTACTCTGAGTGCATACGCTGATAATGCTGCTGGTAGTGATGATGCGGGGGAGGTGGGGCGTGGGGGCCACAATGCTGATGGTGAGGGGACCGGGGGAGGTGAAAGTGGGGGAGCTCGAATTGGGGGAGGTGGGATTGGTGCAGGTAGAACTGATAGACTGGGAAGCAGGGGAGGTGAAGACGGGAGGGGAGGTTATCGAAGCAGGCGGGGGAGGACTGTGAAGCAAAGGAGGGCGTGGGGAGCAGATAAGGCAGGAGATGGGATTGAGAGCGGTGAAGAGGGATGGAGTGGTGATGACAGTGATGGTGACAGGGGGGGTGAGTGCGAGAGTGACTATAGCGCACAGAGTGACGACTATGGCCAAGGAAGTGACTCTGACGGATGGTTGGAGGAGGAGCAGGGGGAGCAGCTGCCATGTGCTGTGCTGCTAACAGGACCTGTGGGGGTAAGATCCTATCTTTGTCTATTCCCTCGTCATAAGATTCTGCATGGTTCTGGGTTTGTCTGTTCCTTCTTGGTCTGGCCTGTCGATGGTTGGAGGAGGAGCAGGGGGAGCAGCTGCCGTGTGCCGTGCTGCTAACAGGACCTGTGGGGATAAGAGCCGCCCTGGTCCCATGTTATCTTTGTCTGTTCGGTCTTGGTTGTTTGTGTCGTCTTGGTTGTTTGTGTTGGTAAGATGAGGAGGAGCATGGGGAGCAGTTGCTGTGTGCTGTGCTGCCAACAGGGCCAGTGGGGGTAAGAGCATCCCTTTTCTCTGTAGCTTCTTCCTATGCCTGTCATTTCGTGCCTGTGCCTGTGTCGATGGTTGGAGGAGGAGCAGGGGGAGCAGCTGCCGTGTGCCGTGCTGCTAACAGGACCTGTGGGGATAAGAGCCACCCTGGTCCCATGTTATCTTTGTCTGTTCGGTCTTGGTTGTTTGTGTCGTCTTGGTTGTTTGTGTTGGTAAGATGAGGAGGAGCATGGGGAGCAGTTGCCGAGTGCTGTGCTGCCAAAAGGGCCAGTGGGGTTAAGAACAACGTCAACCTTCCTAGCCGCCATCACGGCATACTCTCCTGCACCATTCTCTCTTTTCCCATCCCCTGGCTTTTTCTCTCATCGTCACCTTCCTTGAGTCGACTCAAGAGCAGCTGCTGTGTGCTGTGCTCATTTCGGCTTGTCGCCATCACGGCATACTCTCCTGCCCCATTCTCTCTTTACCCATCCCCTGGCTTTTGAGTCGATTAAAAAGTCAGGGGGAGCAGACCCTTGAGTCGACTCAAGAGCAGCTGCTGTGTGCTGTGCTCCTTCCGGCTTGCCGCCATCATGCCATACCCTCCTACACCATTCTCTATCTTCTCATTCTCCCCTTCCCAGAGCGGCAAGACTCCGGCGTCATACGCCTGTGCCGCTTCCCGCGGATTCTGAGTCGTTGTAGTGAATGCTTTGGACCCCCGCCTGTGACGCCTGTGCCGCTTCCCACTTCAAACCCCCAATGCTCAACCTCACACTCTCCTTATCCTGTTCGTCCTACCCTTCAACACACTCACTCCTTTTCCATTTCAGAGCGGCAAGACAGCAGCGGCGTATGCCTGTGTGGCTTCCCTCGGCTTCTAGGTCGTGGAAGTAAATGCCTCCGATTTCAACCCCTCAACCATATCCCTTATATCCACCCCACCCCTCCGAACCTCCTTGCACCCCGTATCAGAGCGGCAAGACAGCAGCGGCATACGCCTGTGCAGCTTCCCTCGGCTTCCAAGTCGTCGAAGTAAATGCCTCTGACCCCCGTGACGGGGCGTTGCTTCGAGGAAAGTTCTCGGAGCTCCTCTTCTCGCACCGCCTCTCCGCCAATCGCGCTGTGCAACGTGGCATTTTCAACTCTCGTGCTGCTGCTGTAGCATCCAACTCCCTCTGCTCTCCTCCTCCTCTTCCTGCTGCTGCTGCTGCTAGTAATGCTGCCCCTGCCACTGCACCCACTGCTCCCACCGCTCCCACCGCTCCCACCGCTGCTACAGCCAGGCCCATGGGGGCGTCGGTGCTCCTATTCGAAGACGTGGACGTGCTTATCGATGAAGACAGGGGCTTCATTCCGCTTTTGGTGCAGCTCTTGTCGCCGTCTCGCCAGCGCAACAAGCGACCCATCATTCTCACTGCCAACTGTAAGTGCTGCAACCCTGAAATCCAAGCCCTGCTGATGTTTGAAGGCGTGGTTGTTTCGTATAGGACGACAGGGGCTTCATTCCGCTGCTCGTGCAGCTGCTGAGTCACACTCGGCAGCGCAACAAACGGCCCATCATTCTCACTGCCAAGTGTACGTGTTGAACCGCCCTTAATCCTGCAACCTTATACGTGGATGTGCTTAAAGCGAGGGTCTCAAGAAGCAAAAAACCAAACCCAAAAGTTTTGGTTTTGGGGGGTCTCGGCAATTGCGAGGTGCGATGAGGGGTGCTGGTTGGGCGTTGTAACTGTTTCGCAAAGTTCGTCAACCCAAAACCAAAACCTTTGGATTTGGTTTTCTGCTTCTTGAGACCCTCGCTTTAAAGAGGAGATTAGGGGTTCATTTCGCTGCTGGTGCTGATTTTGTTTCGTTTTGTTTTGGCCGCTAAAAGGGCTTTTTTTTAGGCTTTTTTTTTCCCCACTCAGTGTCCTAGTGGGCTGGAAAAAAACCTCAGAAGGGAAAGGTCCTGGGTTCAAGACCTGTCGCCCACCGCCCACCGCCCACCGCCCACCGCCCACCGCCCACCGCCCACCGCCCCCCGCCCACCGCCCACCGCCCACCGCCCACCGCCACCGCCCACCGCCCACCGCCCACCGCCCACCGCCCACCGCCCACCGCCCACCGCCCACCGCCCACCGCCCACCGCCCACCGCCCACCGCCCACCGCCCACCGCCCACCGCCCACCGCCCACCGCCACCGCCCACCGCCCACCGCCCACCGCCCACCGCCCACCGCCCACCGCCCACCGCCCACCGCCCACCGCCCACCGCCCACCGCCCACCGCCCACCGCCCACCGCCCACCGCCCACCGCCCACCGCCCACCGCCCACCGCCCACCGCCCACCGCCCACCGCCCACCGCCCACCGCCCACCGCCCACCGCCCACCGCCCACCGCCCACCGCCCACCGCCCACCGCCCACCGCCCACCGCCCACCGCCCACCGCCCACCGCCCACCGCCCACCGCCCACCGCCCACCGCCCACCGCCCACCGCCCACCGCCCCCCCCCCCCCCCCCCCCCCCACCGCCCACCGCCCACCGCCACCGCCCACCGCCCACCGCCCACCGCCCACCGCCCACCGCCCACCGCCCACCGCCCACCGCCCACCGCCCACCGCCCACCGCCCACCGCCCACCGCCCACCGCCCACCGCCCACCGCCCACCGCCCACCGCCGCTTTCAACGTTCCTCACTCCCTCCCCCTCCCTCCCCCGCCTCCTTCTTCCCCCTTGCTCTACTCCACATTATCTCTCTCCCACCCGCACAGCTCCCAACCCGAGCCTCCCCGCCGCCCTCACTCGCTTCGTCATCCCCTTCAGTTTACCTCGAGCACACCAAGTCTTGCCGCTTCTGGACAAGGTAAGACTGGTTGAGTTTGGAAGGAGAGGTCGTGCTCCATGGGTTTTGGTGCTGCCCCTAAGTGCTTTCAGGATGCCGTGGTAGGCACACCAAGTGCTGCCGCTTCTCTCAAGGTAAGACCAGCCATATGCAAAGCATCTCTCAAGGTAAGACCAGCCATACGCAAGGGCTGTTTCTTCTAACTGCTTCTTTACTCGAGAGCACTCTGGGTCATTCTTGCTGTTTTCAAGTCGACTAAAAAATCACCCAGGGCACTCTGGGTCATACTTAATGTTTTCAAGACGTATTTTCTTCTTTTATATGGTTCCCATTTATATTCTTCCCATTTGTATTCTTATTTTACATTCTTCCCATTTATATACTTCTTTTATTTTCTTCCCGTGCATTTTTTGCATTTCATTTATTTCTTCTCCCCTTCGTTCAGACTCCTGATTTTTTTTCCATCTCCCGCTACCATCGCAGGTTTGCTTGGAACAAGCACCTCTCGCTCCTCCCCCGCTTCCCGCCCTCCTCTCCCTCCTCCTCTCCCCTCTCTCCTCTGACCTCCGCTCTCTCCTCGTCTTCCTCCAATTCTGGCTTCCTAGGGGTTTGCCACTTCCCAACCCTTTATTCCAGGCTCCTCCTGGGGTTCAGCTGCCTCAACCTGTGGATTGTACGGATGATAGTGGTAATAGTGGCTGTGATTGCAGCAAAGATGGATGTGATCGTAAAGGAGAAAGTTTGGCAGGAGAGAGGGGAGTCAGGCGGGAGGAGTTGGTTAAAGCACTCTGGGTGCAGGGAGCCCCACACCGGTCCCTGCCCGGATTTTTCGGGCATGTTCACAGCAGGGTTATGGCGCCCGTGTCAAACTTTTTGGCCGCCCGGTTGGCTGCGGCTGTTGCTGCAGCAGCAGAGGAAGAGACAGAGGCGGTTGCAGGGGTGCTCGGAAGGAGGTGGGAGGGGAGGAGGAGGAGGGAGGAGAGAGGGAGGGAGAGGGAGGCGAGAGAAAGGGCTGAGAGGAGGCGGATGGAGCGGGCAGAACGGGCAGCGGAAAAAGAAAGGGAGAGGGTGGAAAGGGCGAGGAGGCGAGCAGCGAAATTGGCAGCTATGGAGGAGGAGGAAGGGGAGGTGATGGTGATAGGTGGGGGAGAAGGGGAGTGTGGAGAGGGAGGCGAGGGAAGTGGGGGAGATAAGGGATTTGGAGTTATGGAGCGCAAAAGTGAGGCTCGTAGAGAGAGTAGTCTGGTGGCAAGGGTTGCAACGGTTGCAAATGGCAGTCTGAGGAGGCTGAGGCGGGGGAGGGGAGCGAAAAGGAGGCTTTCAGGGGAAAGGGGGCTGGACAGGAGGGATAGTGATGGAGGGGAGGGTGGGGTTGAAGAGAGAATGGGCGAGGAGGGAGCAGATGCTGCTGGGGATGGTATTGAGGAGAAGGTGGGAGATGAGAATGTGGCAGGGGTTGGGAAGGAGGTGGCTAGAACAAGCAGTGAGGAAGGGGCTGGTTTTGAGTTGAGTCGAAATGAGGAGAACAAGGGTAGATTCGCTCGGAAGAGGAAGCTGAGGGCGGTTATGAGCTCAGACGAGGAGGAGGAGGAAGGAGAGAAAGAAGAGGTGGAGATGGAGGAGGGAATGGGGGGCTACAGCCAAGGTGGGGTGCGACGACGGCAGAAGAGACTAGAGGATCTAGGGCGTTTCAGTGGGGATGTGAACAGCAGTGAGAGGTGTGAGGGCACGGATGCACCTGATGTTGAGCGCTTGAGGCGCCTGGAAAGTGGTCTGAGTGGGGATGTGAACAGCAGTGAGAGGTGTGAGGGCACGGATGCAAGGGAAAACCAAACGGCTGAGGCTCAAGGGATTGTTGAGTCGACTCATAAGTCACCTCGACTCAAAAGTCACAGCAGTGAGAGGGGTGACGGCACGGACTCAAGGGAAAACCAAACGGCTGAGGCTGAAGGCATTGGGAGTGGCAGGGGGAAAGGAAATGTGGAGGAGGTTGCAGAAGTGAGATCAGGGGAAGGGTCGCGTGTTGAGGTGGCGAGGGGGGAGGTGAGAGGAGGTGAGAGCGCGTATGCAGTTGAGGGTGAAGGGAGGGGAGGTGGCAAGGTGAAACCAAGTTTGGTGGCGGTTGCACAAGTGAGATCAGGGGAAGGGTTGGGTGTTGAGGTGGTGGGGGGGGAGGTGAGAAGAGAGGAGCAGTGTGGGGAGGGGGTGACTGGGGAAGGGGCGACTGGGAAGGGGGGAACTGGGGAGGGGGAAACTGGGGAGGGGCCAGGCGTTGAGGTGGGGGGAGAGGTGAGGGGAGTTGAAGGGCAGTGTGGGGATTGGGCGACTGGAGAGGGGGCGACTGGGGAGGGGGCGACTGGAGAGGGGGCGACTGGGGAGGGGGCGACTGGAGAGGGGGCGACTGGGGAGGGGGCTACTAAAGAGGGCGCAACTGGGGAGGGGGGAGGAGGGGAGGGGGAGACCGGGGTGGGGATAACTGGGGAGGGGGAAACTAGGGAGGGGGGAGCTGGGGATGGTGCAACTGGGGAAGAGGCAGTTGGGGAGGGGGAAACTGAGGGGGGAACTGGGGAGGGGGCAACTGGGGAGGAGTGTGGTGTGACAAGGGACGAGTGTGAAGAGGGGAGGGAGGAAGAGGATGAGGTGGCTTTTGAGTCGACTGAAAAGTCAGCTCGGGAGGAAGAGGATGAGGTGGCTTTTGAGTCGACTGAAAAGTCAGATCGGGAGGAAGAGGATGAGGTGGAAGCACTGAGTGACGTGGAGGGTGACACAGATGGGCTGCTGGAGGAGCTGCTGCCAGGTGGCAACACGCGATTGGAGGAGATCTGCTCAGCCAGCGCAGCAGATACCTGGAAGGAGCTCAAGCTTCAGGCGTCCGAATCTGATTGGCTCAGAGCGAACAGGTCCGGTACCGAGGCTAAGACCGAGGCTCGGCAGGAGCTGACTCTGTTGACTCGGCTGACCGAGCTGACTGCCAGGCTGGCAGATGCTGACGTCATCACAGGGGGATTGACCTGCCACAGGGTGCCCATGGGGTTGGAGACTGACGCTGACTTTGACTGGCTCAACAGGAAGACTGGCGTTGACTTTCTTGACTGGGGGGCTCCAGCCCCTTCCCACATGTTCAACGCTGCCAATGCAGCCGATACATGGAACAATGCAAGTCATTCAGGGGCTGCTGGTGATGCTTCTGCTGCTGCTGGTGCTGCTGCTTGCAAGCGGCCATGTCTTGAGGCACTTCAAGACATGTCCGAGCCTGCTGGGGTCTGGCCATGGGCCAAGACGGGTCATCGGGGTGTTGATGAGGAACAACCAGGCAGGGAGGATTGGTGTGACCTGCCTGTTTCTATCGAAGCAGCTCTTAAAGGAGACAGCAGTTCCGCAGAATGTGATCTACACAGCTCCCATAAGCAGCAGTGTTTGAGTACCGGCATGACAGCTCCATGTAGCAAGGCTGGCAAGGCCGGCAAGGCTTCATCTAGACTGGTGCTTCCTGGGGAGGGTGTAGAATCAGAAATAGCCCCTGTCTTAGCTTACTCGGCTATGCTCTTTGCGCTCACAGGCTGTCTCCCTGCCACGGCAACTCCAAGATTGGATGGTCGGACTGCCCCGCTCCATGCTAGTGGGAGTGAATGTGACAATAGCGAGGGTGATTGTGGGCGAGGTGATTGTGAGGTAGGAGGGTGGGCGAAGGAGGCCAGAGGGAAGTGGTTGTCGATGCGTCGAATGCTGGCAGTGCATGGCGATGCTGATGCCATAGGGTCGTTGATGGCTTCTCATGAGTGTCTTATGTGAGTGGTCGTTGGTGGTTATCGAAGTAACATCTTCGAGCATCCTACCGTGGTGATGGGTTGGTTCGATGGATGGTGGGCGGGGAAGGCCTCTTGGATGTGGTTGTCTCTGGGTAGAATGCTGGTCGTGCATGGTGATGTTGATGCAATAAGAGGGTTTATCTTAGGGTTTATTTTATGCTGCGTTTTTCTTGGCACGTTAGTTCCATGATTTGATATCAAATTGGCGATTATGATCGGTTTTGTGCGCAGGTTTACTAGTGTTTTTTTAGCGTATTTGAAAATTTCTTCTTAACGAGTCTTTTCTCCCCACCACACAGCATCGTCATTGACGTGACAGCATCAAAGGAGCATCAAATATTTTATTGCCACGCCTCGCAGGGCGTGTCACAAGAGTACGTTTGCGTGAACTGCCGTACTAGACCGTTCACAATGGCTTTGTGACTGCTCTAGAACGCGGAACATCTTACCTAACCGCAATCTGACGTACTTCAGTGACAGGCCCTCGAAGCAGCTCAACTTGTTCCAAGAATCGTGCCAAGCATATTAGTTTATTTATTTACTACACAACGCCCGTTGTACTAGGAGAAGCCTTGACGTGCCGACTAACCAGGAGGGACTTTTTCAGCGCGAGTAATAGTTTTAACGGCGTAGCGCCAGCAGCGGCGGTAGGGTCAGCTAAGAAAGCGCGTTTGTTCGCGTCTCAAGGCAGCTAGTAGCGGAGCGGCTAGAGCGAGGCGAAAAGGAGATAGTACTCGGCTTGCCTCGATGCGTCCTTATAGCGCGGATGAACGACGTAGCGAGACGAGATGTTATAACGATCGCGCGGAGAGTCAGCAGAGCGTGGGAAGCCGCGAATCTACGGGAAGAACTTTTGAGTTCAACGTTCTGCTAAAAAGTAATCTCGGAAGCCAATCTACGGCGGGAGTTAAAGACTCGTTCTTGCGGCCCCGTTCCCGCACGCCTCACGACGGTTTGAATTCAATCCGTGGATCAGCAAGCGAATCTACGGCTGAAAGTAAAGACTCGTTCTTGCGGCCCTGTTCTCGCACGCGCCGCCGGGTGACGTCGCGCGGTTCGAGGTTGTACCCGTTAGAGTCAGCCTCGATCTATCGAGTTCCCCGGTTCTTCTCCCTTCGCAGCCGCGTTATTATCATCCATCTCTTTCTTCTACCAGTGTTCTCAGGCACGGGTCCTCCAGGCTCGCAGAGCGTAGTACCCGATACAAGCAACCCCTATACAAGCTACCCTGATGCAAGCAACCCCGATACCAGCACGAACAGATTACTCAACAACAAGGCGGCAAACCCGATACAAGCTGATTCGTCACGCGCTGTAGAGAGAACTAGCGCCAGACACGTTTCTTTCTACTGGCTAAGCCTTTCTCCATCCCTCCTTGCGTCCGCAGCGCCCCTGCGTACCGGACCTAGAAGAAAGCTTTGGCCGCGGCATCTGACGCCCAGGCTCGGACCGAACCAGACTGCCAGGTTCGGCGGCTCCCTAGTGTCAAGCTTCGAATATAAGGGGAATGGAGGCAATAGCAGCAGCGCGTCAGACAGTAACGGGGATAGCAGCAGGAATGGTAGCAGTAGGAGCACTGCTACCACCAACAATAGCATCAACAGCACCAGTAGCAGTAACAACAGCACTGCCAGTAGCAGCAGTGGCAGCGGTACTGGCAACAGCAGCAACAGCAGCACCAGCACCAGCATCAGCACCAGCAACAGCATCGCCGGCAGCCCTTCCGGTAGCAGCAGCAGCAGCAGCAGCAGCAGCAGTGGCAGTGCTAGCAGCGGCAACAGCAGCAGCAGCAACAGCAGCAGCGGCAACAGCAGCAGCGGCAACAGCAGCAGCGGCGGCAGCACAGGATTCGGCGACTGCAGCACGACATGCATTGCCTTCTCAGTCGCCATAACCCTCTGCATTGTCATGTGGCCCTGCGCTGTAGTTTGCATAATCTGCGCCATCTGCAGTATTGCCGCGGCTAGACGCCGCCGCCGCCGAGCCGCGTGGCGAGGCTCGGAGAACGGCAGGCTCGGGGGATGGTTCGGGGGCGGTCGGACGCCGTCCAACCCTCTGCTCCGGTCGTTGCGGTTGCTTCGGCAGCAGGGGCAGGGGCAGGGGCAGGGGCAGGGGGAGGGGGAGGGGCAGGAGGAGGGGAGAGGAGGGGGAGAGGAGGATGTGGAGACTCAGCAGCAGCAGGTGCTTCCGTGGCGGGAACGATGGCAAGAATTGGAGTTAGAGTTTTTGCAGGGAAGGCAACAGCAGGAGCATTTACCGGGAAGGCAGCAGCAGGAGCGGGAGCAGCAGCAGTTGTGGCAGCAGCTGCTGCTACAGCCGCGCATGAACAGTGTCGCCCGGGGGGCGGGCGGCAGCGGTTCACTAGCGGACGATCGTAGCCGGCCGTTCGGGCTCCTATCTCCCACGGCTGCTGCTGCTCTCTCTTCTTCGCTTGCTGCTGCTGCTGCTGCTGCTGCTGCTGCTGCTGGTGGGGGGAGAAGCAGGAGAGTTGGGAGTGGAGGAGGAGTAGGAGGAGGAGTAGGAGGAGGAGGAATAAGTGGTGGGTCGTATGTGTTGCCTGTGCATGTGGTTTGGGGGGAAAGAAAGGGCGAAACTGGGGGAGAAGGGGAGGGAGGAGGGGTGAACCGAGACGGTCAGATGGGGGATGATCATGGTAAGGCAGGGAGTTTAGAGGTGGAGCAGGGAGCAGGAAAACTAGCAGAGGTGGGGGAAGCAGAGGAGGCAGAGGCAGCAGCAGAGGGGGCAGCAGAGGGGGCAGCAGAGGGGGCAGCAGAGGGGGCAGCAGAGGAGGAAGCAGCAGCAGCAGCAGCGGTGTTGACACCTGGCATGCTGCGATTGGCTGCTGCTGCTGAGGCGGCTGCAGCAGCAGCAGCAGAGGCGCAGGAGAGGGGAGAGGAGGAGTTTTTCTGCCCCATCTGCCTGTGTGACTTTGAAAAGGGACAATCCGTCTGCTTCCTCCCCTGCACGCACTGTAAGTCTTTACTGTTTATCCTATTCCCTCTGAATCATCTGCAGCGTCAGCAGCAGCAGAGGCGAAGGACAGGGGAGAGGAGAATTGTTTTTTTTTAGAATCCTCGAAAACCAATTCAAGGGGAGAGGAGGAGCTTTTCGTTCCCATCTGCCTCTGCGACTTAGACAAGGGACAATCCGTCTGCTTCCTCCCCTGCACGCACGCACTGTGAGTCCTCCTGTCTTCTCTTCTCCTCTCCTCTCCTCTCCTCTCCTCCTCTCCTCTCCTTTCCTCTCTTCTCTTCTCTTCTATTCCTTCTATAACTTTTTGCGCCATTTGTTTTTTCCTGCTCTGCAATCTCAGCCTCCTATCGTTCCCTTCCCTCTCTTTCCCCTCTCCACCCATCCCCCCTCCCGTCTCCTCTTTCCATGCTCCAGCCTACCACTCGGAGTGCGTAGTGACTTGCCTTGCCAAGTGCCCCATGTGCCCCGTGTGCAAGGGGCCATATAGAAGCACACTCACTCACTCCACCCTCCCGATACATCACCCTACCTCCCCTCCCGTCTCCTCTTTCCATGCTCCAGCCTACCACTCGGAGTGCGTAGTGACTTGCCTTGCCACGTGCCCCATGTGCCCCGTGTGCCTGGTGTGCAAGGGCCCGGCTAGCATACTCATTCCACCTCATTCCACCTCACTCCACCTAACCTTCTCTGCTCCCCTCCCTCCCTCCCCCTTTCCCCGTCCCCCCCTTGAAACATCCCAGCGTACCACTCGGAGTGCATAGTGAATTGGCTTTCCAAGCGCCCCGTGTGCCCCGTGTGCAAGGGGCCGGCCTTTGTGCTTGATTCAGGGGAGGAAGAGAGAGGGGGGCAGGGCGCAGGGGAGCAGGGCGCAGGGGAGCAGGGCGCAGGGGAGCAGGGCAGAGGGGATCAGGGCAGAGGGGAGCAAAGGACGCCTCAAATGCAAGAAGAGCCGCAGGAGCAACTGGCGCAGCAGCAGCAGCAGCAGCAGCAACAGGAGGAAGTCGAAGAGGAGGGGGAACAGGAGCAGCTACCCCCATGGCGGGAGCCTTGGCAGGAGGGGGGGCGGCAGGTGGGGGATGCGGAAGAGGTGGTGGTGGTGGTGGAAGGGGAGGAAGAGTGGGTGAGCCAGCAGCAGCAGCAGCAGCAGAACCAACACCAACAGGATCAGCAGCAGCAGGAAAGAGAGGACGTGCCTCTAGCTGGTGCAGGGTTAACTGATGCAGGGCTAACTGATGCAGGGGTAACTGGTGCAGTGGTAGCTGATGCAGGGGTAAGGGAGAGTTAGGCGCCTCAATACATTCATCACTTAAAGCCCAGTCCCCTGCCTCTCGTCCGCACGCCCCTTAGCGGATCCAGTTCCGCTGCTTGCATCTCCAACTGCAAGGGGAGAGTTAGGGGGGTTGAGGGGTTTTTCAAGGGGTCAGGTTAAAGGGTAGGCGTCTCAACACATCCATCACCCCTCTCCGTCCGCCCCCTGCCTCTTGTCCGCACGCCCCTCAGCGGATCCAGCTCCGCTGCTTGCGTCTCCAACTGCTAGGTTCGGGAGGAGGACGGAGGGGAGGGGAGGGGGGGGATGATTGAGGGGGCAGCAGCAAGAGCAGCAGCAGGGTGAATAATCTCGGAAGTAGAATGAGCAGCATGAGGAGGATCCGAGGAGGAGCAGCACAAGAAGTTGGAACATGGGTGACTGGTGTAGGTTCAAGGGGTGATGCTGCAGGGTGATCATAATGAGGAAGGTTTGGGGGGGAAGCAGCAAGAGCAGCAGCAGGGTGAATAATCTCGGAAGTAGAACGAGTAGCTGGAGGAGGATCCGAGGAGGAGCAGCAGCACAAGTAGCTGGAACATGGGTATAAAAGAAGCACTTGATGTGTGTGGATTGGAGAGATTGGAAGATCGTGATAATCTGATAAATCAGCCCATGGTGTGAGTGAGTGGCGATCAAAGATGGTGGTGATGCATGTATGGTGAGTTCAATCTTGAACCCCCCATGTGGCACTAGGTCAGGGGAGTTTGTCTAAGCCATGCCCTGTTGAAGGATTTTTGTTATAACTTGGGAGAGTCCTGGAGTCTATTACTTCAATGTGCCCCAAACAGAGCAAGGGTAGAATGGAATTGAACGTGTGCTGTGTGCTGAACCAAAGAGGGGACTCAAATGAATGGGTGTGGCAGGTGGTGTCAAACATATTTGTGTCAAACATGTCTATTTGTTATGTGTGTATAGACTGTATAGGGTAGCCTCTTAGAGGGTACAACACTTAGCTATATTGTGTGTACTCTCTCTCTATCACTATCACTTGAATTTCTGATATGGTATCACGCGTAGGTAGGATCCCCCCCCCACCTACCGCTTCCGCTCGCCCCCCTAGCCCCGTCGCGACCCCCTCTAGCCCCGTCGCGCCCCCTCCTGGGCCCCGTCGCGCCCCTCCCAGGCCCCGTAGCGCCCCTCCTGGGTCCCGTCGCGCCCCTCCCAGGCCCTGTAGCGCCCCTCCTGGGTCCCGTCGCGCCCCTCCCAGGCCCCGTAGCGCCCCTCCTGGGTCCCGTCGCGCCCCTCCCAGGCCCCGTAGCGCCCCTCCTGGGTCCCGTCGCGCCCCTCCCAGGCCCCGTAGCGCCCCTCCTGGGACCCGTCGCGCCCCTCCTGGGCCCCGTAGCGCCCCTCCTGGGCCCCGTCGCGCCCTTTCTGGGCTCTGTAGCGCCCCTCCTGGGCTCTGTCGCGCCCCTCCCAGACCCTGTCGCGCCCCTCTTGGGTCCCGTCGCGCCCCTCCCAGGCCTCGTCGCGCCCCTCCTGGGCCCCGTCGCGCCCCTCCCAGGCCCCGTAGCGCCCCTCCTGGGTCCCGTCGCGCCCCTCCCAGGCCCTGTAGCGCCCCTCCTGGGTCCCGTCGCGCCCCTCCCAGGCCCCGTAGCGCCCCTCCTGGGTCCCGTCGCGCCCCTCCCAGGCCCCGTAGCGCCCCTCCTGGGACCCGTCGCGCCCCTCCTAGGCCCCGTAGCGCCCCTCCTGGGCCCCGTCGCGCCCCTCCCAGGCCCCGTCGCGCCCCTCCCAGGCCCCGTCGCGCCCCCTCCTGGGCCCTGTAGCGCCCCCCCTGGGCCCTGTCGCGCCCCCTCCTGGGCCCCTGCAGCGCCCCTCCTGGCCCCCCCGTCGCGCCCGCCCGGTCCTGTCGCACCAGCCCGGCCCCGTCGCCCAGGCCCGGCCCCGTCCTGCTCGCCCGGCCCCGTCGCAGCCGCCCGGCCCCGTCGCATCAGCCCGGCCCCGTCGCGCCCGCCCGGCCCCGTCGCACCGGCCCGGCCCTGTCGCCCCCGCCTGGCCTAGTCGCCCCTGCCCGGCCCCGTCGCGCTCGCCCGGCCCCGTCGCCCCGGCCCGGCCCTGTCGCACCAGACCGGCCTTGTCGCGCCCGCCCGGCCCCGTCGTCCGCGCCCGGCCCGGTCGCACCTGCCCAGCCCCGCTGCCCCGGCCCCGTCCTCCTCACTGGTACGGTTCCCCCCCACCCCGCCCAACACAGCCCTGCACCGTACCGCCACGCACCACCCTGTACTGCCTTACACCGCACGGCACCGCACTGCACCGCACTGTACCGCACTGCACCGCACTGCACCGCACTGCATCGCACTGCACCGCACTGTACCGCACTGCACCGCACTGCACCGTACTGCACTGCACTGCACCGCCCTGCACCGCCCTGGACTGTTCCTAATGGCGGCGGAGCTTCGCTTCGACGCTGAAGGTCAGCCCCTAGAGTTCGAGGCGTGGCTTGCCGACCTCCGCCGCCAACTCACTGGCCAGCGGCAGGATGGTGAACCGCTTTCCGCACACCTTGACGGTACGCTCCCCTGCCCAGACCCTCCTGCTATTCTGCCCGCTGACCCCACACCCACTGAGCGTGAGTCTACTGTTGCCACTGCCCGTGCGCGCTCTGTCTGGCTTTCTCGCGATGCTGTCGCCCAGCTTGCCATTAGCAACGCCCTCCCCCCGTCCGAGCGTCCTCGCTTTCGGTCCCTCACTACTGCTCAGGCATACTTAGATGCTGTCATCAAGCGCTATTCCACCCCTCCGGCTGCCTCGGTGGGTCGCCTGATCCTCCCGCTGCTCTTTCCTGACCTTGCTTCGTTCCCCACTGTCTCTGACCTCGCTGCCCACCTGCGCTCGATAGAGGAGATCTGGCGCGCCGCATGCACTGACGCACAGCTTAGAGCCCACCAGCCGCCCATTACCTCTACCCTCTACCTGCTTGCCACCCGCCTCCCTGACCGCCTTGCTGTCGCCCGCGACCGCTTCCTTAGTGTTCACCCCGCAGACCTCACCCTCACTGACTTTGTCGACACCCTGACTGTGATAGAGACCCGTCACCGCTCCATCGCCCAGGCGAGCGGTGTCGTGCCGGTCCCTATCTTTCAGGGTTGTGCCCCCGCTCAGTGCACCTTCTCCGACGGCTCTGCCGCAGTGGCTGAGACTGCTGCTGCAGCGCAGGCCCGTTCTGGGAAGGGCCGCCGCCCCAAGGTTGGGCGCGGCGGAGGGGGCGGCGGGGGTGCGGGCGGGGGTAGTGGTGGGGTCGGGTCGCCTGGTGCTGGAGCGGACGAGGGGACCCTGCCCAGTCCAGCTGAGTCGCCTGGACGACCTCTTTCGTCAGCGCTTCGGCCCGTCGCCAGACCTCCCGGACTGGCACAGTTTGCTTAGTCGTCAGATTCAGATCTTTGATATGGACATGGATGCCATTGTTTCTGCTCTGCATGTGATGTATGCTGATGACTCTAGTGTGCTTCCCGCTTATTACTCACTGTTGCCTAGTGTCGGTGTGCCTAGCTTAGCCTCCCCTGCTGCGTCAGGCGTAGGACCCCCTGCTTTGTGTAGTCTTGGTGCTTCTGCCGTCGTTCCGTCGCCAGACCCCAAAGCTTCGCTTTCCTTCACCTTGGACTCTGGCGCCTCTCGGTGTTTCTTCCGCGACTCCACCACCCTGACGCCACTTCCTGTTCCTGCTGCCGTTTCTCTTGCTGACCCCTCCGGCGATCCGGTAGTCGCCCGCAGTTCCACCACCCTTCCCTGTCCGGCGGTTCCTTCGGGCTCTCTTACAGGTCTGCATATCCCCTCGTTCTCCAGGAACCTAGTTGGTGTCGGCTGCCTCCAGGACCTTGGCGTCACCACTACGTTCCCTGGTCACGAGCGGTATGCTGTCTGTACCGAGGCCGCCACTGGTGCCCCCCTGTCCACGTTCCCCCGGGACCCGGTGTCCGGCCTGTTCACTCTTTACACCGTGCCCCCCCCGGCTGGAGCGCCCCCTCAGGTGGCTGCTGCCTGCTCCTGTCGCTCCCTCACTCACCCGACCCTCCTGTGGCACCACCGCCTAGGTCACCCTGCGCTCCCGCGTCTGCGTCACATGTCCCAGCACGGTCTTGTCCTTGGTCTCCCAGGTTCCCTCCCCGCGTTTCCCTCCTCCCCAGCTCCACCTTGCACGCCTTGTGTCGAGGGTCGGCTTCGCCGTGCCCCTCACTCCTCCTCGTTCCCCCCTACCGCCGCGCCGCTGCAGACCCTGCACCTGGACGTCTGGGGCCCCGCCCCCGTCCCTGGGCCGCGTCGCGAGCGCTACTTCCTTGTGCTTGTCGACGACTTCACTCGTTACACCACAGTCTTTCCCCTGGAGCGCAAGGCCGACGTGCCTAACACCCTCATCCCCTGGCTTGTCTCTGCGCGTGTCCACCGCGGTCTCCCTGTCTTGCGTCTTCACTCAGACCGTGGTGGCGAGTTTGCCTCCGGTGTCCTTGGTCGCTTTTGTCGTGCGGAGGGCATCACCCAGACGTTCACCCTACCGGACTCCCCACAGCAGAATGGGGTCGCCGAGCGACGCATCGGTTTGGTCATGGAGGTCGCTCGCACCTCCATGGTCCATGCCGGTGCACCCCATTTTCTGTGGCCGTTCGCAGTGCGCTACGCTTCTCACCAGCTTAACCTGTGGCCGCACCCTCAGCAGCCGCAGGTTTCGCCGACCCGTCTGTGGACTGGGTCTCCTAGTGACGCGTCTGCGTTCCACGTCTGGGGCTGCCTTGCTCACGTCCGTGCCTCCGGCACGGACAAGCTCACTGCCCGCACCCTTCCCTGCGTCTTCCTCGGTTTTCCCCTTGACGCGTCCGACTGGCACTTTTACCACCCGCCGTCTCACCGCTTCTTTCACTCTCGTGACGTCACCTTTGACGAGTCCGTCTCCTACTACCGCCGCTTCCCCCACCGTGGTCCCCCGGTTACCCCCCCCCTATTCCTGGTCACCCCTTCCCCGGTAGTCCCTGCCCCTCCTCCTCCTCCTCCCCGTCCCGCCCCCTCTGGTGTCTCCGACGTCACCCCCCTTCCGTCCGTGGACCCGGTTGAGGAGTCTTCTGACTCTGGTGGCCCTCCGGTGCAGTCCTCGCCGGCCGCCCCTCCCCAGGTGTCCCCTCCCCAGTCCCCTCCTCCGCCGCCCCTGCCGCCGCTGCAGCCGTCGCCGTCGCCGCCGCCGCCGCCGCCGTCGCAGTCCCCGTTCGCTGACTCTGGGGGTGCTCGTCCCGGTCGCCCTGAGGGTGGTCCCTCTGGGGGTGCGGGTGTGGAGAGTGCCGGTGGTAGCCGAGGAGCAGCTTGCGGTCCAGGTGTCGCCGTTGTGCCGCCGCAGCAGCAGTCCCCACCGGTGTCCGCCCTTCGCCTGCTCGGCCTTCCGTCCCCCGACCCTGCATCGGTTCCTCCCCGACCGTCTCCTCCTCTTCCTGTCTACGGCCCTGTTTTCCCTCCGCCGAACTCGTCCCCGGCCCGTCTTCCCCCTCGTTCCCCTCCTGTGTCCCCTCCCCTGTCTCCTGACCCGACTCCTCCGTCCCACGTCTGGTCTCACCGTCCCTCCCGTGCTCGTCCTGCCTCGCCTGTCTTGCGCTCCCACCCTATGTTGCTTCGTTCCCACGCGTCTCGTCCTCCCCTTCTGCCGTCGCCTCCTCCGTCCTCCCTTGTTGTCGCGCCCCCCCCGCTGTCCGACTACCTTTGTGCCGCTCGTCCTCTCGTTCCTCGGGTCCTTGCCTCTCTCGTTACCGACCCGTCTGTTCCGGTCTCGTGCCTTGACGCTCTTGTCGCTGCTGTCGCTGACTTCGCCTCTACCCGCCGCCTTGACTACGCCACCGCTCTGGTCTCTGACCCTGCCTGTCCTCAGTCTGTCGGGGGTGCTTCTGCCCTTGGCAGTGACGTCCTGGAGGACCGCCAGTTCGAGCTTGCTTTCCTCTCCGAGGCTGCTCCCCATCTCTGTTCCATGCTGCTAGTCCCTGAGGGTGACCCAGACGCTTTCGACATCCCGACCCCTCGCACTTACGCTGAGGCGACTTCGGGACCCTGGGCCTCGCAGTGGATAGCTGCCATGGAGCAGGAGATGGCATCTTGGAGATCCACCGGCACCTTCGTCGACGCAGTTCCCCCGCCTGGGGTGAACGTAGTCGATGGCCGCTGGCTCTTCAAGGTGAAGCGCCCTCCTGGAGAGCCGCCTGTCTTCAAGGCGCGCTATGTGGCTAGAGGCTTCAGTCAGCGCGAGGGGGTGGACTTCTTCCAGACTTTCGCTCCGACCCCGAAGATGACTACTCTTCGGGTTCTGTTACACCTAGCTGCTCAGCGTGACTACGAGCTTCACTCCCTCGACTTCTCCACTGCCTTCCTTCAGGGCAGCCTACACGAGCAGGTCTACCTGCGCCGCCCTCCGGGCTTTACTGGCACCTTCCCTCCTGGGACCCAGTGGCTCCTCCGGCGCCCCGTCTACGGCCTGCGCCAGGCTCCCCGTGAGTGGCACGACACTCTCCGTGCTACGCTTGCTGACCTGCAGTTCTTTCCGTCTTCTGCAGACCCTTCACTCTTCGTTCGTGCTGGCCAGACTCCGTTCTACATCCTCGTTTACGTCGACGACCTGGTTTTTGCCACAGCAGACAGGGACACGCTGGCCTCCGTGAAGGCAGAGCTGCTGAAGAGACACACCTGCACTGACCTTGGAGAACTGCGCCGTTACCTTGGCTTGCAGATCTCCAGGGACAGAGCTGCGCGCACCATCACCCTGACTCAGTCACACTTGGTGCGCCAGGTCCTTCAGAGGTTCAGCCTTCAGTTCTCCTCTGCACAGCCCACCCCTCTGCCTGTAGACCACAGGCTCTCCGCTCCAGTGCCTGAGGAGTTGGTAGAGCCCAGCGGCCCCTACGCAGAGCTGGTGGGTTGCCTCATGTACCTGATGACTTGCACTCGCCCAGATCTCGCATACCCTCTCAGCATCCTGGCTCGCTTTGTGGCCACAGGCAGACACCGACCGCAGCACTGGTCTGCCGCTAAGAGGGTTCTGCGTTATCTTGCTAGTACATCGGGCATGGGGTTAGTGCTAGGAGGACGCAGGCCAGTGGTCCTTACTGGGCACACAGACGCTTCGTGGGCAGACGACGCTGAGACACTCCGGTCTACCCAGGGCTACTGCTTCAGCCTTGGCTCAGGTGCCGTCTCGTGGAGAGCTACTCGCTCCTCGTCTGTTGCACAGTCCAGCTGTGAGGCTGAGATCTACGCCGGTGCCATGGCGGCACAGGAGCTCCGCTGGCTGACCTTCTTGCTCACTGACTTAGGTGAGCGGCCTAGCTCTGCCCCGGTCCTGTTCGCTGACAACAGGGCCATGATCCTCCTGTGTCAGGAGCCTCGACTCGAGGGCAGAGCGAAGCACATTCAGCTACGGTACTTCCTCCTGCGTGAGCTACAGCAGCGACGTCAGGCTCGCGTAGTACACTTGGCCTCAGGTGCCAACACGGCTGATATCTTTACGAAGGCGCTTGCGCCTAAAGATCATCAGCGGCACTGTGTCCAGCTTGGTCTAGTTCCTGTAGCCTCTCACTTGCTAGGACCTTGACTTTGTACTGTCCTTTATATGTATACTCAGACTGGACTTGTGTCCTCTCCCAGAGGCTGGACTAGTAGTGCCGCCCTGCTCTTGTGCTTGCCTTGTCTGTACTCCTTCTGACTGGTCGCTCAGACCCTTGTCTCAGAGGTTGGACTAGTAGTGCCGCCCTGAGCTGTTTGTTTAGGACTTTCCCCTATGCAGTCTAGGGGGTGTGTCAAACATGTCTATTTGTTATGTGTGTATAGACTGTATAGGGTAGCCTCTTAGAGGGTACAACACTTAGCTATATTGTGTGTACTCTCTCTCTATCACTATCACTTGAATTTCTGATAATTTGTGTATGTTTAGTAGATTACATAGGATCTTGTTATAGAAAGTACAACCCACTAGCTATATACTCATGTATTCTCTCATTCTAGTCATTCGTTCTAACTCTGAGATGGTATCAGAGCAGGTTAGGTCCCACCCGCCCACCCGGGCTTCCGCCTTAGGTCCTAGCCTTCCACATCGCCTAGCTCCTAGCCGCCCCGCCGGCCCTGCCACCCCGTTGCCTTGCTGGCCACACGGCCCCGTTCCCTAGCGCCTAGCCGCCCGTGGCCCCGCGGCCCCCTCACCTAGCGCCTAGCGCCCGTGGTCCCGCTCCCCTAGCTCCTAGCCGCCCATGGCCTCGTCGGCCCCCGTCACCTAGCGCCTAGCCGCCCGCGGCCCCGTTGCCCTGCCACGTCGTGCCTAGCCGCCCCGCTAGCCCCGCGGCCCCGTCGCCAAGCGCCCAGCCGCTCTGCGGCCTAGCCGCCCCTTCGCCTAGCCGCCCCGTGGCCCCGTAGCCCAGCCGCCCCGCAGCCTCGTCGTCCAGCCGCCCTGCGGCCCTGTCGTCCCAACTGCCCCGCGGCCCAGTTGCCCAGCCGCCCCACGGCCCTGTAGTCCCAGCTTCCCCGCGATCCCGTCTCCCAGCTGCTCCGCGGCCCCGTCGCCCAGCCGCCCCGCGGCCCTGCTGCCCAGCTGACCCGCGACCCGTTGCCCTGCTACTCTGCGGCCCCGTCGCCCAGCCGTCCTGCGGCCCCGTCGCCCAGCCGCCCCTCGGCCCCGTCTCCCAGCTGCTCAGCCGCCGTGGTTCCCGGTCCCCGCCCGCTTCACCTGCCCTCTCTACCGTCCTGCACCGCGCCCCACCGCACTGCACCGCGACCCACCTCACTGCACCGCACTGCACCGCGCCCCACCATACTCTACCGTACAGCGTCCTTCCCACCGTTCCTCCCAATCAGCCAGTATGCCAAGAAGAATCCGACCATGCGACTTGAAGACATTGGGCGTTGGTGCCACACCAGATACGGCCTGTGGCCAAAGAGCAGCACAGTCGGGCGAATTCTGCAAACAGAAGAAAAGTGGCAAGCGATTGGGCTCAAACGCACCAAGTTCAAAAGGGTGCGGAAACCATATTGGCCTTTACTCGAAGCACGACTCAAGAGCTGGCTAAAAGGCACCAACGGAGCCGGACTGCCAGTCATTGGCGCGCTTATCCAGCAGCGCGCACTACTCCTAGCACCTGAGTGCAATGTGCCGAGCGACTTCAAAGCATCGGTTGGATGGGTTCAGAAGGCATTGCGCCGGATGAGATTGAAGTGGCATAAGATGAGCGGCGAGGCGAAGTCTGCCGACGAGGGCGCCGCTCTGATCGTGGAGCTTTATTTCCCGAGGTTGTGCGGCCAACTGGGCATGACACCAGAGAACCTCTTCAACTTCGACGAAACATGCTTCTACTACAGTCTCCTCTCGGACCACACGTTCTTCATCGACCCCATCCCAGGCAAGAAGGTGTGCAAGGACCGGCTCACTGTCGTGGTGCTAGTGAATGCGGACGGCTCGAAGCTTTTCAAGCCGCTCATCATTCACAAGTTCGAGCGGCCCCGGTGCTTCCCCTCGCCTGATCGCTAACACTGCGCCTGGCACCGCGGAGGAGGAGTACCGTAATCACGTCCGCGGGGCGACGACGGTAATGGCCGGATATCCGGACGCGGGCGAATGGATGACTTTTGGCGCGCAGCCTGCTGCCTACCGCGGGTACTAGGCTATTAATTCTAGGGAGCGGGGATTGCGGGACGGTGAGTCATGGCGGCACGTTTCGGCGTGGTGCGCTTGTGCTCTGAGTGGGGTCTCGCAGCACGGTATCTGAAAGCGTGGATATGGAGGATCACGAAGCCTTATGCTCTGCCTACAAATTCGGAGGAGTGGGGTGTGTTGGGTTTTGCGCATGTGCTTTGAGTCGAGGAACGTAAGCATGATTTTTAGCTTGATTGAAGTGTCAGGTCTTGGCTTGTGTCGAGTTCTGCCTCTGTCGAGTCGTTGCTGTTTGTTGCTGGTTTAAAGCCCAGGTCCCAAATTAGCAAGGTTGACCATCAAACTGGGCCCAGTTTGATGTGGTTCGGGTTGGTAACCCAATCCACCCTCACCCAGACCGGGAAAATGCCGAGGGGCTAACCACCCCTTTTCGCACAAGAACATGCCACCTCCCCTGCCAAACCAGCCAGCCAGGGACGGAAATAGCATGGGCCCAGTTTGATGGTAATTTGGGACGAGGAGGTAGACAGATCCCACAAGGTCCACCCATTTACGTCGGGGAGTTAGGAGCAAAGCGCGTACTTCCAGATATGGACGAAAAAGCCAAGACAAGTCTCAGGTGATGAATTGACTCTGTCGCAAGTGAGGCATCAGAATAGGGTTTAGGGTGATGCGAGAGGATAATGACAAGGCAAGAGGCGAGCGGCTCTCGCTGGAGGAGAGGCGACGCGATAGGAGAGGCTTTGCGGTAGGAGAGAGGGGACGCGAAGGAATGTAGCGACTCGATAAGAGAGAGGCCTCGCGGTAGGATAGAGTGAGACGAGGCGAGGGGAGAGATGTGAGCTGAGAGGAGAGAAGTAAGGCGTGAGGAGACAGACGACGCGGGAGGACAGAGGCATCGCAAGAGGAGATGGGCGGATCGAAATTCGAGAGGCGACGCCAGAGGAAATAGCGACACGTGGTGAGAAGAGAGAGGTAAGGCGAGAGGACAGGCGATGCGGGAGGACAGAGGCTAGGCATGGATAGAGGCTAGGCGAGACGAGAGCGGCGACGAGACAGGGGAGAGGCGACACGAGAGGAGAGGAGCGAGGCGTATGGTAGAGGCATGGCGAGAGAAGTGAGCAACACGCGAAAGGCACGGGCTAGACATGGCTGAAAGCGGCGGCGCGAGAGGAGGTAGGCGAGGAGAGGGGATAAAGGCGAGGAGGGAGGAGAGAGGTGGCGGGAGGTGAGACAGGAGACGCGGGAGGAGAGAGGTGGCGGGAGAGGAGAGAGGCGCCTAAAGAGAGGAGAGGGGCGAGGGGGGATGAGGGGAAGCACCGCGAGATAGGAGGCGGGTTGAGAAGGGGAGCAATGCAACATACGAAGCGAAGTGGGAGGGGGAGCCACGCGGGATAAGAAGCGTGGCAGAGAGGGGAGGCGAGGCAGAGAGGGGAGGCGTGGCGGAGAGGGGAGGCGAGGCAGAGAGGGGAGGCGAGGCTGAGAGGGGAGGCGAGGCGGAGAGGGGAGGCGAGGCAGAGAGGGGAGGCGTGGCGGAGAGGAGAGGCGAGGCTGAGAGGGGAGGCGAGGCGGAGAGGGGAGGCGAGGCAGAGAGGGGAGGCGTGGCGGAGAGGGGAGGCGAGGCAGAGAGGGGAGGCGAGGCTGAGAGGGGGGGCGAGGCAGAGAGGGGAGGCGAGGCGGAGAGGGGAGGCGAGGCAGAGGGGGGAGGCGAGGCTGAGAGGGGAGGCGAGGCGGAGAGGGGAGGCGAGGCATAGAGGAGAGGCAAGGCAGAGAGGGGGGGCGAGGCAGAGAGGGGAGGCAAGCAGAGGGGGGAGGCGAGGCAGAGAGGGGAGGCGAGGGTGAGAGGGGAGGCGAGGCGGAGAGGGGAGGCGAGGCAGAAAGGGGAGGCGTGGCAGAGAGGGAGAGGCGTACAGGAGAGGCAAGGCAGTGAGGGGAGGCGTGCCGGAGAGGGGAGGCAAGGAAGAGAGGGGAGGTGAGGCGGAGAGGGGAGGCGAGGCGTAGAGGAGAGGCAAGGCAGAGAGGGGGGGCGAGGCAGAGAGGGGAGGCAAGCAGAGGGGGGAGGCGAGGCAGAGGGGGGAGGCGAGGCGGAGAGGGGAGGCGAGGCTGAGAGGGGAGGCAAGGCAGAGGGGGGAGGCGAGGCAGAGAGGGGAGGCGAGGCTGAGAGGGGAGGCGAGGCGGAGAGGGGAGGCGAGGCAGAAAGGGGAGGCGAGGCTGAGAGGGGAGGAGAGGCGTAGAGGAGAGGCAAGGCAGTGAGGGGAGGCGTGCCGGAGAGGGGAGGCAAGGAAGAGAGGGGAGGTGAGGCGGAGAGGGGAGGGGAGGCGTAGAGGAGAGGCAAGGCAGAGAGGGGGGGCGAGGCAGAGAGGGGAGGCAAGCAGAGGGGGGAGGCGAGGCAGAGGGGGGAGGCGAGGCGGAGAGGGGAGGCGAGGCTGAGAGGGGAGGCGAGGCGGAGAGGGAAGGCGTGGCGGAGAGGGGAGGCGAGGCAGACAGGGGAGGCGAGGCTGAGAGGGGAGGCGAGGCAGACAGGGGAGGCAAGGCGGAGAGGGGAGGCGAGGCGGAGAGGGGAGGCGAGGCAGACAGGGGAGGCAAGGCGGAGAGGGGAGGCGAGGCGGAGAGGGGAGGCGTGGCGGAGAGGGGAGGCGAGGTGGAGAGGGGAGGCAAGGCAGAGAGGGTAGGCGAGGCGTAGAGGGGAGGCGAGGCAGAGAGTGGAGGCGTGGCGGAGAGGGGAGGCGAGGCGAAGAGGGGAGGCAAGGCAGAGAGGGGAGGCGTGGCGGAGAGGGGAGGCGAGGCGGAGGGGGGAGGCGAGGCAGAGAGGGGAGGCGAGGCGGAGAGGGGAGGTGAGGCAGAAAGGGGAGGGTGGTTAGCGTACAGGGACAGAGGGGAAGCAAGGAGGGCTAGTGCATGGGGCGAGAGGGGACGGCGGGGTGGTTAGCGCACAGGGACAGAGGGCCAGCATGGAGGATTAATGCACCAGGGGGAGAGGGTAAGTCTGGGTGGTTAGTGCTCAGGGAAAGAGGGGCAGCAAGGGGGGTTACTGCACAGGGTGAGAAGGGAAGGCAGGGTGGTTAGTGCACAGGGAGAGAGGGGCAGCAAGGAGGGTTAGAGCACGGGGTGAGAGGGGAAGGCAGGGTGGTTAGCGCACAGGGACAGAGGGGCGGCAAGGTGGGTCATGGTATGGGGTGATAACTAAGGGTTATGGGATAAAGGCGACACGAGTTTCCCACAAAGACCCACCCACCTCCCCCTCACCACTGTCCCCCCCCCCCTCTTCTACGTCTCCACATCATCATGACCCGACTCCCAGTTTCGGGCTCCAGGACCAGCACAATGGCACATCCCAGCATAAACTCCCTCGGCTACGCTTTCTTTTGCGGAATGCAACGACTGGGCCTTTGTGCTCAGATTCCATCCCAAAAGCGACTGCAAAAGACTATCACCGGCACATGCATGATCTAGGCAATGCAGCAAAGTGTATTTTGAGCCATCGGCCAAACCCAATGACTTTCACTAGGTTAGTTGAGAAACTGTCAGAAGGCATCCCGCCTTGCAATATCGGCATGGAGGGAAATGAGAGCCAAATCTTCTCCCACAACCCCCCACGCACAGTGCATGTTTGTAGTATTACACATAGAATGTAACATGCTATAAAAATATGAGTAGCAAAGCTCCGAGCTAGTTGGCTGGCATTCTTGAATAATTACACCCCGGATTCAAGAAGATGCTGCAATAGGAAACCCCCACCAGAGAGGGGTGGCTGAGGGGAGCAATCTGAGACAAAACAGCACCCTGGTGAACGGGGGAGACAACCTGCAAGCCATAACGAAGCAGAGAACAAACAAGGATACTAAGACAAGAGTGGGGAACATGGATGCGATGATGACGAATCCAAGTGAAGGTGCGAAGGGGGGAGGTTCATCTGGTGCTAGTGATTACGACTCTTTGCCTGATGTGTCGAGAGGAGATGGACGACGCGGGTTAGGATACATCCTAAGTCTGAGAGGGTAGGACAGGGTGGTTAGTGCACAGGGCCAGAGGGGAGGCAATGTTGGATAGTGCAACGGGGGGAGAGGGGAAGTCAGAGTGGTTAGCGCACAGGGTCAGAGGGGCAGCAAGGAGGGTTAGGGCACGGGGTGAGAGGGGAGGACAGGGTGGTTAGCGCACAGGGACAGAGGGGCAGCAAGGTGGGTTAGGGCACCAAGGGGAAGAGGGGAAGCCAGGGTGTTTAGTGCACAGGGACAGAGGGGCAGCGAGGTGGGTTAGTGTATGGGGTGAGACGGGAAAGCAGGGTGGTTAGTGCACAGGGACAAAGGGGCAGCAAGGTGGGTTAGTGCACGGGGGGGGAAGGGAAGTCAGAGTGGTCAGCGCACAGGGACAGAGGGGCAGCAAGGAGGGTTGGAGCACGGGGTGAGAGGGGTAGGCAGGGTTAGCTAACAGGGACAGAGGGGCAGCAGGGTGGGTTAGTGCACTGGGGGGAGAGGGGAAGCCAGGGTGGTTAGCGCTCAGGGAGAGAGGGTCAGCAAGGTGGGTAAGGGCATGGGGTGAGGGGGGAAGGTAGGGTGGTTAGCGCACAGGGACAGAGGGGCAGCAAGGTGGGTTAGTGCATGGGGTGAGACGGGAAAGCAGGGTGGTTAGTGCACAGGGACCGAGGGGCGGCAAGATGGGTTAGTGCACGGGGGGAGAGGGGAAGTCAGAGTGGTCAGCGGACAGGGACAGTGGGGCCGCAAGGAGGGTTAGGGCACGGGATGAGAGGGGAGGACAGGGTGGTTAGCGCACAGGGACAGAGGGGCAGCAAGGTGGGTTAGGGCACCCAGGGGAGAGGGGAATCCAGGGTGTTTAGTGCACAGGGACAGAGGGGCGGCAAGGTGGGTTAGTGCACGGGGGGAGAAGGGAAGTCAGAGTGGTCAGCGCACAGGGACAGAGGGGCAGCAAGGTGGGTTGGAGCACGGGGTGAGAGGGGTAGGCAGGGTTAGCTAACAGGGACAGAGGGGCAGCAGGGTGGGTTAGTGCACTGGGGGGAGAGGGGAAGCCAGGGTGGTTAGTGCACAGGGACAGAGGGGTAGCAAGGTGGGTTAGTGCACGGGGGGAGAAGGGAAGTCAGAGTGGTCAGCGTACAGGGACAGAGGGGCAGCAAGGAGGGTTAGGGCCCGGGGTGAGAGGGGAGGACAGGGTGGTTAGCGCACAGGGACAGAGGGGCAGCAAGGTGGGTTAGGGCACCAAGGGGAGAGGGGAAGCCAGGGTGTTTAGTGCACAGGGACAGAGGGGCAGAGAGGTGGGTTAGTGCATGGGGTGAGACGGGAAAGCAGGGTGGTTAGTGCACAGGGACAAAGGGGCAGCAAGGTGGGTTAGTGCACGGGGGGAGAGGGGAAGTCAGAGTGGTCAGCGGACAGGGACAGAGGGGCAGCAAGGTGGGTTAGGGCACCAAGGGGAGAGGGGAAGCCAGGGTGTTTAGTGCACAGGGACAGAGGGGCAGAGTGGTGGTTTAGTGCATGGGGTGAGACGGGAAAGCAGGGTGGTTAGTGCACAGGGACAAAGGGGCAGCAAGGTGGGTTAATGCACGGGGGGGGGAAGGGAAGTCAGAGTGGTCAGCGCACAGGGACAGAGGGGCAGCAAGGTGGGTTGGAGCACGGGGTGAGAGGGGTAGGCAGGGTTAGCTAACAGGGACAGAGGGGCAGCAGGGTGGGTTAGTGCACTGGGGGGAGAGGGGAAGCCAGGGTGGTTAGTGCACAGGGACAGAGGGGTAGCAAGGTGGGTTAGTGCACGGCGGGAGAAGGGAAGTCAGAGTGGTCAGCGCACAGGGACAGAGGGGCAGCAAGGTGGGTTGGAGGACGGGGTGAGAGGGGTAGGCAGGGTTAGCTAACAGGGACAGAGGGGCAGCAGGGTGGGTTAGTGTACTGGGGGGAGAGGGGAAGCCAGGGTGGTTAGTGCACAGGGACAGAGGGGTAGCAAGGTGGGTTAGTGCACGGGGGGAGAAGGGAAGTCAGAGTGGTCAGCGCACAGGGACAGAGGGGCAGCAAGGAGGGTTAGGGCCCGGGGTGAGAAGGGAGGACAGGGTGGTTAGCGCACAGGGACAGAGGGGCAGCAAGGTGGGTTAGGGCACCAAGGGGAGAGGGGAAGCCAGGGTGTTTAGTGCACAGGGACAGAGGGGCAGAGAGGTGGGTTAGTGCATGGGGTGAGACGGGAAAGCAGGGTGGTTAGTGCACAGGGACAAAGGGGCGGCAAGGTGAGTTAGTGCACGGGGGGAGAGGGGAAGTCAGAGTGGTCAGCGGACAGGGACAGAGGGGAAGCAAGGAGGGTTAGGGCACGGGGTGAGAGGGGAGGACAGGGTGGTTAGTGCACAGGGACAGAGGGGGAGCAAGGTGGGTTAGGGCACCAAGGGGAGAGGGGAAGCCAGGGTGTTTAGTGCACAGGGACAGAGGGGCAGAGAGGTGGGTTAGTGCATGGGGTGAGATGGGAAAGCAGGGTGGTTAGTGCACAGGGACAAAGGGGCAGCCATATTTCCCCACTCACCCTGCGCCCTGCCCAGCCTTGCTTCCCCTCTCTCCCCACACTGTAAACTGTCTTGCGTCCCCTCTCACCCCACGCCCTATCCAGCCTTGCTTCCCCTCTCACCCCACGCCCTATCCAGCCTTGCTTCCCCTCTCACCCCATGCCCTATCCAGCCTTGCTTCCCCACTCACCCAACACTCTAAACTGCATTGCTTCCCCTCACACCCCCCGCCCTACCCAGCCTTGCTTCCCCGCTCACCACACACTGTAAACTGTCTTGCTTCCCCTCTCACCCCACGCCCTACCCAGCCATATTTCCCCACTCACCCCGCGCCCTGCCCAGCCTTGCTTCCCCTCTCTCTCCACACTGTAAACTGTCTTGCATCCCCTCTCACCCCACGCCCTATCCAGCCTTGCTTCCCCTCTCACCACACGCCCTATCCAGCCTTGCTTCCCCTCTCACCGCATGCCCTACCCAGCTTTGCTTCCCCTCTCACCCCACGCCCTACCCAGCGGTGCTTCCCCTCTCACCCCACGCCCTATCCAGCCTTGCTTCCCCTCTCACCCCATGCCCTACCCAGCCTTGCTTCCCCTCTCACCCCACGCCCTACCCAGCGGTGCCTCCCCTCTCACCCCACGCCCTATCCAGCCTTGCTTACCCTCTCACCCCATGCCCTACCCAGCCTTGCTTCCCCGCTCACCTCACACTCTAAACTGCCTTGGTACCCAGTCTTGCTTTCCCGCGCCCTGCCCAGCCTGACTTCCCCTCTCTCCCCACACAGTATAAACTGCCTTGCTTCCCCTCTCTATCCACGCCCCACCCAGCCTTGCTTCCCCGCTCACTCCACACTATAAACTGTCTTGCTTCCCCTCTCACCCCACGCCATATCCAGCCTTGCTTCCCCACTCACCCCGCGCCCTACCAGCCTTGCTTCCCCTCTCAGACCACACTATAAACTGTCCTGCTTCCCCTCTGACCCCACGCACTCCCCAGCCTTGATTCCCGTCTCACCCCACGCCATATCCAGCCTTGCGTCCCTTCTCATCCCACGCCCTATCTATCCTTGCTCCCCCTCCCACCCCACGCCCTATCCAGCATCCCTTCACTTCTCACCCCGCGCCCTATCCAGCCTTGCTTCCCCACACCCCGCGCGCTGTCCACTCCCTAACCACCTCCCCAACCGGTCCGTATGTAGACTTGCCCCCCCTCGCACCCCGCTCCCATTGACCATTGCTGCATCGCAAACTCACCCCAAACTCACCCACCCTTGATCCCTTTCTCGTCCCGCGTCCTACAAACGCAGTACACTAGCCTGTCCACTCTTGCGCCACTTCCCCAACCACACCCTGTTTACCATTCCTCCCCTTCTCACCCCACGTCCTGTGTGCCCGTGCTATCCCGCCCAACATCAGCTCTATGTGGCGTGGCCATCCCTCCCAACCGAAGCGCAGAGGACCCTAGCTATTCCCCCCAACCAATGCTGTAAATAGGGTGGCAAACCCTCCCACCCCAAGCTATATTTTCGGCAGATGGATACCAGCTGCGACCCTCCTCCCGTCCCTGCGCCCTCTCCCTCCGTTCCTCCTCCTCCATCGCAGCGTGCTTCTTGCCCTCTCCCCCTATCCGCCTGTCTATCCCCTGTGACAGCGCTGCTATTTTCCTCTCTCCGCCGGCCCCTCTCTCTCTCTCTCTCTCTCTCTCTCTCTCTCTCTCTCTCTCTCTCTCTCTCTCTCTCTCTCTCTCTCTCTCTCTCTCTCTCTCTCTCTCTCTCTCTCTCTCTCCTCCCGTCTTCTCTTTGCCCTCTCCGCAGTCTCGTGTTTCGCCTCGGCCTGTCGGCGTCCATCTGCCATTCCCTAATAGCGCATTTATGCTTACAAGCTTTTATTAGATGTAGTGTCAGCTATGGCGCGGGTCCACCTCCGCCCTCTTCCGGTGGGCTAAGCCCACGGCCGCGCGTCTTTTCTGTTCCTCCGGCGATTGCGGCACGCCGCGCCGCACACTAGCCGTACCCACTTGCGATGCGGCTTTTCCGCGCGTCTTTTCTAACCTTATCCGCTCAGCCACGCTCCTGCCAGGTGGAATTCCAATATGGCGAGGTTACTTATGCTGCGGGAATCTGTCGGGCGCGTCTAGGTAGATACTGTTCTTGTCCCAATCTTGTCCAATGACAAGCGCGCGTAGTCTGAGTTACGCCAGGGCTATTGAGGGTGCTCCTCGCTTGTTTCTATATGGGCGTGATCTTAGAAACTTATGACTCAAGGTTCTTAAACTTAGGAGGCTAGGTTGGCTAGGATACTAGGAAGAGGGCCGCCATGGAATGGCGTGAGGAAAACGGATCTAGGAAGGGAGAGAATGTCGAGAAGAAAGGAGATTGATTAGGAAGAGAGAGGAGTACAAGAAGGGGTTTGTACCCTCTACAGAAAGGTTCAGTAACAACCTACCAAGCCTATATTAAATTATAACTTATATAATTTTAACACACCCCCTAGGCTTGGTAGTCGCACACCCACCCAACCCACCCCCTAACCCCGCACACCCTCAAGCTCGTGCTTAGCCGGGTATCTGACCCTCGTGCAAAGCGTTGACACACCCCCGTACACGAGGCAGCCTACGGCGTCTGGGCGGGTCAGCGTCAAGCAGCAGCGGAGCTCTGGCTCAAGGCGGCTGGGTCGCTGACGACAGGCGGCGACTGCCGCGGCTGAGGGCTCTCGGCGGTGTGGCAACGTCCGGGCAGAAGACAGCAGCTGCGACAGGAGGAAGGGAAGACGCAGGGGGAAGGGAGAATGGGGGAAAGCGGGGCGAGTCTTCAGCGACGCGCCATAAATGGCGCGGCGCTTACTGGCGGGAGGACGGCGTCCAGAGGGACGCCCGTGGCTGGCGAGCGGGCGGCAGGTCCGGCTGCGTCACAGACGTCGCTCGGCCTGCCGCAGTCCGACGATGCCAGCGGCTGCCCTAGACGCCGCCACAGCGCACCGTCAATGCCGCAGCGGCGAGGCGGACGGGCGACGGCTGCACCAAGGGGCCGTCGCGACACCTTGGCACCGCGACGGCAGGCAACAAGGGGCCGTCGCGACATCTTGGTGCCGCGACGGCAGGCAACAAGGGGCCGTCGCGACAGCTTGGTGCTGCGACGGCAGGCAACAAGGGGCCGTCGCGACAGTTTGGTGCCGCGACGGCAGGCAGGCAGAAAACCGCGAAGGCTGCGAATGCAGCAGGAGTACGCAACGGGAACATAGGGAGAGGGTCCGGTGGACACGACCGGCTCTGATACCAACTTAGGACTCAAGGTTCTTAAACTTAGGAGGCTAGGTTGGCTAGGATACTAGGAAGAAGGCCGCCATGGAATGGCGTGAGGAAAACGGATCTAGGAAGGGAGAGAATGTCGAGAAGAAAGGAGATTGATTAGGAAGAGAGAGGAGTACAAGAAGGGGTTTGTACCCTCTACAAAAAGGTTCAGTAACAACCTACCAAGCCTATATTAAATTATAACTTATATAATTTTAACACGTGAGACATACAGTTCCGAACTCTCACGTGTGGACGTCCACCTCTCCCTACCCATTCAATATTTGTTAGAATGTATTTCCAACATATCAAACCGCTCTCCACCCTGTCAAAGTTCGAACTTACTTGGTTATGTAACCGTATGTTCCACGCCCTGAGCGTGGTTGGTGCTGGTGTGCTCGCGAGCTGGCGAGGGGTGGTTGCAGCAATCCCTAGCGCGCATGAATGCTGGCGATGCACAGGTGATTTTGTCCTTTTCCCGCGGGCACATTTTATTGGGTTTGCATTTTGGTTTGCGAAGTTCGCACTCTCTCAAATCCCCCTGGGTGTTTCGTATTCCTGTTTCGCGAGTACTCCTTCCTTCGCGGCCAAAATGGGCCAGAAATCCCTGCAACCGAGCCTCCACCCAACCTCCTCCGAGCCTGGACCAGAGGGCGTTGACTTTCACGAACTAATTTGGGACCTGGGCTTTAATGGTCCGTGTTTGTCAACTGCGGAATCAATTCTAGACCGGCTCTTGAAACACGGAGATGCATGCGACGTGGCGACCTCTACTCAATCGCCTCCTCCATGGCCAAGGGGGTGGTGCACCAATTGTGGGCCTTGCGCATGTGGCATGGGTTGGGTTTTCCCAACCAAGGAATTTGTAGTGAGCTGGAATCAGTTTGCTGAGTTGTGCAAACATATCTTGGGTTGCTAAATCTGCATAGGTTGGAATTGCAGCCAATAGGAACAATTGCTGCCCAACCCAAGCCCAACCTGTCACTTGGTGGTGGAGTGGTAACCACCACTCCAAGCCTATCACCCAAACCTATCTTCCCAAGCTTAAATCCCAAACCTATCCAACCCAATCCAACATACCAAATATGTTCCCGCAACTTCGCGCGCAAGGGGAAACCAGGAACGTCCAGATTAATCGCGATATTTAGACTAGGAGGGGCGGTTCGTATGGCGATATGTTACAATAGCCGCCACAGGCGCGTATTCCTCATACCTCTCCTCCTGATCGCAGCATTCTCAGGCCCACGCCCTCCAGGCTCTCGAAGCGTCCACGATACAAGCATCCCCGATTATAGCATCCCCAATACAAGCGCCGCTGATACAAGCTTCCCCGATACAAGCGCTCCTGTTAGGAACATACCCGATACAAACACTGGCAGACGAACCAGCAAGGCATACTCGATACAAGCAGCCTCATTATCCGCTACAGAAGTTTCTAGCGCCAGACGCGCTTCGTTCTACTGGCGGAGCCTTTCTCCGCCCCTCCTTGTGTCCGCTGCACCCCTGCCTGCGGAGCCTAGAAGACAGCTTTGGCGGCCACCGACTAGGTTCGGGCCGAACCTGGAGGCGAATAGGCCTAGGCGTTCCCATACGCGTATCTCCGGGTCCTTGGAAATTAAAGGCAATAGCAGCAGCGCATCTATTAGTAACGGGGATGGCAACAGCAGGATGCGTAGCAGCAGCGGGAGTAGCAAAAATGGGAGTAGCAGCAGTGGGAACAGCATTAGCAGCAACACCCCCACCTCCAACAGCACCAGTGGCAGCAGCACTACAACCAGCCGCAACATAAGCGACACCAGCAGCATTGCCATGTTTCACAGTGCAGCAAACGGTAGTGATAGTGGCAGTGGCAGCAACAACAACACCAATAAAGGCAAGAGCAGAGGGAGTCACAGCAGCAGTGATATCACTGACTCTAGCAGCAGTGGAAGTAGCAGCAGTGGGGGTAGCAGCAGTGGGAACAGCAGTAGCAGCACCACCCCCACCACCAACAGCACCAATAAAGGCAAGAGGAGAGGGGGACACAGCAGCAGTGATAGCACTGACAGCAGCAGTGATAGCACGGACTCTAGCAGCAGTGATGGAGCCTTTTTGTCATGCACTGGCACCACATGTATAGTTCTAGCCTGTACCTTTCCCATCCTAATGGCATTTGCCTCCTTCATTTTTTGTGTTGTTTTCGTCAGCATTTGTATCTATCGTGATAGGCTTAGGGACCGGCGGGAGCAGGAGTTAGCGCAGCAGCATGTGGTACAGGTGCCACAGCAGCAGCATGTGCAAAGGACCAGCGACGCCAGGGGGCAAGGAGGCCTATCCCCTACGTCGGCTGCTGCACTCTCTTCTGCACTAGCTTTTGATGTTGCTGCTGGTTCTGGAAGGAGCTGGACCAGAGGAGGAAGAGGAGGAGTTGGAGGAGGAATGAGTAGTTTTGCTCTTGCTGGCGCGTATTTGTTGCCCGTGCATGTGATCTGGGGGCAAGGGGGGAGAAGAAGGGGAAGGGAAGGGCCATGCCTAGAGCCCCAACCAGTGATAGGGGAAGGGCAGGAGGTAGTTACAAGAGACTCTCAGACGCAGGGGGTGGCAGGGGAGGAGGAGGGAGAGGAGAGAGGGGAGGGAGGGGAGGAAGGAGAGGGAGTAGCAGGGAGAGCAGCAGAGGGCGCATCACAGAGGGACGCAGCAGCGTTGACACCTGGCATGCAGCAATTGGCTGCTCCAGCAGTGGCCACAGCAGCAGAAGTGGCGGAGAGAGGAGAGGAGGGGTTTTCCTGCCCCATCTGCCTCTGCGACTTCGAACAGGGGCAGAGCATCTGCTTCCTCCCCTGCACGCACTGTAAGTCCTCCTTCTGTCCTCCATTCTTTCTGAAGCAGCTGCAGCAGCACCAAGGCCAAGGACAGGGGAGAGGGGTCCTTTTTCCCCATGCACGCACTGTAAGTCGTGTGCCTGCCTTTTGTTCCTTCTTTCCTCCTTCTTCCTTTGGCTCATCTGCCTCTGCGACTTCGAACAGCGGCTGAGCATCTGCTTCCTCCCATGCACGCACTGTGGGCTCTCTTCTCTTCTCTACCCTCCCCTCCCCTCCCCTCCCCTCCCCTCCCCTCCCATCTCCTCTCCTCTCCTCTCCTCTCCTCTCCTCTCCTCTCCTCTCCTCTCCTCTCCTCTCCTCTCCTCTCATCTCCTTTCCTCTTCTCGTGTCGTATCTCCTCTTTCCGTCTCTCCTCTTCGTTCCTCTCTTCTCGTCTCTTCGGTGCCTTCTGTCTCTGATTCTTTGCCGCATCCTCATGTCAGACGACTTTTGAGGCGCTTCAAAACTCCTGTCTCTCATTCTTTGCTGTATCCTCGTGTCAGATCTCAGGCTGCACCCATCTCTTTTCCAAGACTGGCATTAGGTTATGTGAATGTACCTTGGAAACTTGCAACACCACCCCTGCATCCGTCTCTTTCCTCCCCACTCGTGTCAGATCTTAGGCTCTGCCCAACTTTGTTGCAAGGCTAGCATCAGGTTATGTGATTGTACCTTGGAAACACATGCTCATACCCTCTTCCCCACCTCCCCCTCCCCTCTTTCTCCTTTC